GGACAGCACTCTGCTCCGGGACAAGGAAAAGACTCACCGAATATTTATTCTTGATGGACGAGAAGATTTGCCGGAGGTCAAGTGTGTTGGCGTACATACCAAAGTGTTTTCCGAGATGATCTCTAATGATATTGTCGAGCTGAGCGCCCGAGTATGGGTATCCGTGAGTGTCGAGGTAAATACGAGTCTGGAGAAAACCCGGTAGCTTTACCGAACCACGAGCCATCAGTAATCGCGTCTTCAAAGGCCGAACGAATATCAAAAAAACGATGAGAAGCTGGGCCACGACTGAGGGAAGAAAATGTACACTGCCAGACTTTTCCCCTTGTTTCCGTGGGTTCTTGCTTGGCGAAAAGGCGACCACCAGGTCTCGGTTCAGGAGGAAAAGGTGTCGATCATGGTCGGCGATTGAGCTATTAAACTCAAGCTGCGCAATTTGCTGGCTTCGCGGGTTGATGCCACCCGTTATAGCATGAAGAGTAACAAGCACGCCGACGAGTTCCTCCAATCGGAGCCAATCGCGAACACGACTTCCATCGATCCTCTTCGGTCCGTCATGGAAAACGTATGCTTGAAGCTTTTCCCAGATCACCTCAACAATGGATGCTGTAGCACTACGACTGGTAGTTGATGCGATGAAAGATACCGGCACGCAAGGATTATCCTCGAGGCCAAGAACGTCGAATGTCATAACCAGGTCAATACTTTCTGGATCATCAAGCATGAGCTTCTCGAGTACTCGATGTACTGACTTGACCAAGCTCCATGTTCCATCCTTGAAGCGGTTTACGTCGACTTCGATGGTGCGTGCCTTGCGATGCAGTGTGAAGGAATGACCATTGGGTTCCCAAACTGACTGCGTAGGGGGCGGACATTGCAGCTTCCCGACATGAGCAGCATGCCAGGCCACCCGCACACGAGAGAAGGAAGTGGATTGTTCTACAGTGTCATCCGAGCGATTGTGTGCAATGAGACTTCAGTGACTGGAGCATCCTATGGGGGGATGTAAGAAACGATAAAATAGGCCAAGAACAACATAGACTACGAAGGAACGGGGTCAGCCCGAAGTTTACCAATATCTTTATCATCATCATCGTCTTCAAATTACCTTCGTCTTCCTCCTCGACAATCACAGAATCTAGCTAAGATGGTTATCCAGTTAGTCACTACGTCAAACTGTAATAAACACCAACTTACCGAGACTGAATTATTATCCTCAAAAGGCACATAGACAGCCTTACTGTCTCCCAGCCGAACGATATGAACCGCTATGCACCGAAGCACGTATTGCCATGACGCACACACACCAGTGAACTGACCAGGACTCGCGAATGGAGAATCTCCTTCCAGCATCCCCGTCCTCCGTCGACGAAAAGCACCAAAAAACAAGACGTAGTCGATAGCGGTCGACCACCGTTTCTCTATCGACGGCTGGGCCATGAGGACCGCCTTGAGAAGGTTGTAAGTCTTTTGGTGAAGAGTACCAAGGTCGAGGTCGTCGCCAGACTCGGTTATATAGCGGTACAGCCGCTTCGTTGCCTTACGCTCCTGGGGATCGAGTTTGAGCTTGAAGGGAAGAGGCATACCAGCCTTATTGAGAACAGTCGTGCGCAGGAGGAGAATGAAAAGGCCCATAACAATACCTGCATACGCTGAGGGATACTTTAGATTCCGAAATTGAGAAGACCTAAAGAGAAAAGAATGAGAATCAGCAGCGTGAATTTTGGACGAGACATACGGGGTGCCGATCTCATCCCGTAGCTGGGGGTGTGCAGAATCAAGGTAGCGGTTCGCGTCCTTGATGAAGGTCGTGAGAAATAGATATATGTGCCGTAGGGCATTTTCAACTAGGACTTCATTCGGAAGTGGAGGAGATCTTGTCTCATACAGACTAGGGAGTATCACTAGCGAGAAGAGTTCGTTTTGCGATAAACCCTTGAGGGCATGCTGTAACATCGACGGATACCCTAACTGCTCTAACCATTCCGCATAGACCGGAGTAGGGGTGGAGATGCCAACCGTCGAAGGTTTAAGCGACGTCAGGGCCTGAACACATTGGTATGCAGGACCAGACTGAGGAGGAGGAGTATAACCATGAAGAACAATTTTGGAATGCAAACGTTTTCCTCCGCATGATGGGCCTGATACCTGGGCATAAAAGTATTCATTGGGGTCTGGATGCCGATCAGACGAGGTCGTTCGACGACCGTGCCTCTGCTTGATATGGTCGGAGCGCGGTGCTATAACCTTTTCCACTCCTTTGGGAGACAATGACGAAGTGATGATATGGCTACAGTCAGGACAGCGCAGAGCACGACGAGGTGGGGAGAGATATGGTATCGGGGCTGTGGCCCGGAAATCTTCGTTCCAGGATTTAGTGACGGGGACGTCGAAAGCCTCAGCGATATGCTGAACGAAATGGTCCATGAGCTTTTTTGTATGACGCACGTCTGGAAGTGCGACTGTGGATTTTTGGTCTTCTGGGATTAGAATAGTCCGCTGAAGAAATTATGGTGGTTTCGGAGGATGTGAGTGGTAAGCTCGCCGAGGGGCACGAGCAGCTCGTGTGTGGGGCAAATAAATGCTTTTAGCCCGCGATGGAAGGCCGATGCCGAACCATGGTAGCAAAGCACATGAATAGATAATGAGCCAATGCAGTGGATGGTGAGGGTGGACGCTGGGTAGAGGGATGCACTACATGTCCACATCGGTATTCACCGACCGCATACACCTCGTGTGATTTGCATACTAATACAGCATTTGGATCCGGATCGAGCCTTGGTATGGCTATATCTGAAGGGCTCGAATAAGGCAGACGCCAATCGTCTAATACACATCGTCAGAAGATTAGGAGTAGAAATTAAACTAAAGAGTATACCTGGCAGCGACGGAACCAGGACACAAAGCAACTTCCGACGTTTTTAGGTCTTCTGACATCAGTGAAAGCATCGAACGTGGTAGGACCAGAATCCCTGTCTGCAGCCAAATATTTACGCTTGGCCCCTGGAAATATTATTAACAGAAGATGCGTTGCAGGACAAGAAGGCACCGACCTCGTTTTTTGGTCATGATGAGAGGTCGTTGAAGATGGGGTTTGTTCTCCATTTTCTAAGCCCTCATACTTAAGCGACACCCTAACGACGCTCTGTGGCTGATCCTGTCGTATGGCGCGTGTGGGTCCCCGCTCCATTGTCCCGGACAGGAAACGCCGTCGGTTCGTATCCTTTTCTCTGGGTGTTCGTGCAACAAGGCGGGGCTCAATCTGGTCCTCCCACGCCGAGACTGTCGGTTCAAAGGGTATACACTGTTCATGGCATCTTGGGAGGGAAACACGAATAGGAAAACTGTGGTGGCTGATGTGAACAAATTGAACAGACAATGCGCAATACACAATGCACAATGCGACGTCAACTGTCCCGCCACCTCTTGATAACAATGATCTCGCAGCAACATACGCACCGAGACCTGTCGAAGCCACGTCATGACTACTTACAGACTGTCATGGTCAATGGTGCTACGGGAGGATGTCGAACGTTGCCGCCAGCTACATTTGCACGATTCAAAGAATTATCAAGTACAGATAAATAGCAACACACCCTTGCAGAACAGACAGAGGAGAATCGATGCATTGTTCCTGTATCGGAGAGCACGATTGCCACTCCAGATTGACGTGAGAGACACTTCGAGCGGTTGCACGATTACTATCTCGACTGACTCTCTCGGAGTCTCGGTTTCGAAAAAAATAACTTCTTTGAACTTCCATGACACGTCGACACGTCATACGGCTTCAAGAGTTGCTGAGGATATTAGGCGATTTGGTTGGCTTGAGCCTTGCAGCTGTGGAAAATACTGGAAAATAATAATGTGAAATACGATTTCAAATTTGAATAGGAGACTAAGGAGTTGCCCAGTCTTGGCTTCTACCACCATCACCTATACTCTTTCGCAACATTTTCAGTACAACATACCAGCGGCAATGGCGAATCGCATTTGTGGATGTTCTCTAGATGGTGCCGCCACCCTGCGCTATGGTGTCAGCAATGGCTGGGGGACCGATGACGATGGTGAACAGTACGTCAGGACGATGATGACGACCCTGTTTTCGGCTCCAGAAGGATTTGCAGCTCCATACGAAAATTTGTGGTGCCAAAGAACCTGTCCAGCCTCTCGCCGACATCAAACCTGTGCATCACTGTCGCATCTACGGATCCTAAGGACTCTTTCCCTTTGCCCCCCGAATGACCACCCAGGCCTCATCAAGTTGCACGAGAGAATCAACACTATGAATCCGCCAAGGTGGAGTGCATTTATTAGCTGGCGTAGCTATCACGGTATGTCTGCTTTCCAGTTTCAGTGTATTGACGACGGGAATGTCAGTTGTTTAGTAGTTACTTTATCGCCACAACTATTACAACTTCTATCTGTTTGTTACCACATATCTGTAGGTTCCCGACGCTAGGCTGTAGTATCTATTCAATGCTATGCCGTATTTTCCTCACCGACCTACAAGTCAAAAAGCAAATGACAATTGAGAAGACACCCTTTTCGAGCAGCCACTTTCAGCACAACTGGTACGCGCAGTGGATTGAAATCCAAAGCGTAAATAGAGGCGGAAGGTGAACGTGCAACATGTTTGTGTAACCCTGAAGTTGCAGCCATCTGATTGTGAAAATCTAAAGGATTATACTCAGTTCAGTGACCAATGATTAATTGACTGCTGACAGGCTATGAAACAACGATGTACCACGTTCAAGAGTAAAATATTTACTTGACTGTTCCAGAAGGCCGGCCGACAACAAGGTATCCCAACGACACCTTGAAGGAGAGGCGTTCGGTTTCGAGAGCGCTGATAGCCTCTTCAACGATGGATTTGGATAAGGAATTACTTTCACCCATCTTCAAGATTCAAGCCCAAGCTTCAAGGCCTCATTCTTCAGACATCGTGCGGTCGCCGGGAATCATCTTACAAAAGGCAGGCAACGACGGAGACGGGAATCGTCTGATGGTGGACATATCGTAGACCGGTGAACACTACGTCTCTTTCCTTGCAGCTGTTGCCGATGATAATTACATCGAGGCCGGGACGCCCCTGGAACACTTCGTTCACCTGAACAACCAGAAAAGTAAGTCATTGTCTTGTTCTCTAACCTCTTCATGTGAACTCCACCCTAATGACATTATCAGCAGGGATTTAATGTGTACAATGGTACTACAGTCGTACAAATTCTTTAAGTGATATATCAGCCTCTCCATAAAGGCCTGACCACTTTCAAAACGATCTCTCTGGCGCTCTCCAGTTCATCGCTTAATTTCTGATCGCTAACACTTTCCAACAGACCTCTTTTCTCCCACCTCTGTTCCCTGAAGGCCTTATACATCCTCTCTAACAACTCCCAGTACCCGTTACTTCCCAGTTCTGTTTCTACAGCCGCGAAAAACTTGTCGACCCGCTTCTTCGTAATATCTCTCGGCCCGAAAGTCGATAGGTCGTTCAGCACTGGCCAAGGAATATCCTTGAACGTCAGGGCCTTTCCCTTCCGAGAAAATTGCGCTTCCTCAAACTCGTCTATGCAGTTCCGAGCTCTTTGTATGGCCTTCTTGTTCGGCCAACCATCCTCATGACTATCCTCGCTCTCCCTCCCAAGTAGACGGTGTCGATCTGCCGTCGACATACCCTGGAGTAGCGTGTCTAATGTTGTGCGAAGCCGTCGAAACTCTTCGTCCCTCCCCTCCGACTTGGTTCTCATCTGCGCGAGATCAGACTTCAGCGCTGCTACCTCTGCGGACAGCTTCTTCTTCTCATTGGTACCCACAGCGAGCTTCTCTTCCAGCACAGCAACTTTGGAATCCGAGCCTTTTATCCGCTTCTCCACCAATGCTTTGTCTGCCATACTTGCAGAAAGCTTAACCTCCAAATCCAGCTGACGCGTGTCTGAATCCATGACTGTTCCTCTTGTTACCTTGTTTCGCTCTTTGAGCTCGTCAATCCTAGCATGAAGAACCTTGACCAAGCTGTCCTTGGTAGCTTTCTCCGACTCGCTACGCTCTAACACCTCCCTCTTCTTCTGCTCCTCTGAATCTCGCACCGACTCCAATATTTCCAACTGCAGACCTTTCTCTCGAAGCGCTTCTTCTAGCCGCTTGACCTCACTAGTCAATTCGCCACGCTCCTGCTGGTATGTTTCCATTGTCATCATCATCTGGCGGTCCTTCTCCTCAACCAGCTTGTTTCTCATCTCGAGGTTGAGATCCATATCATGCAGTTCTTCTTTCATGTCATCAATAATGCGTTGAAGCGTACTGGACTTCTGAGCGTATTGTTCTTCTTGGACAGCCAGGGATTCTTCAAGTTTCTGGCATAAACTTGCGGATACTTTGGACGCGTCTTCCAGTTGGAGTTTATACCGCTCCGATTGTTCGAGATGACGGGCATGAGCAACAGAGAGTTCCTCACGAAGAGCATTGATCTTCTTTTCGGATTACCTTGCCATCGTTTCCTGCTGTAGAACCCTTTCTTCAAGGAGATGCTGCAAATCCTGGATTTGAGCTTTCAGCTAACAGACGCGCCATTTCATCAGTGTTTGTAAAGAATCGTTGAAACGAGGACTTGCCTGCTCATCGGTTTTCTTCGGCATGTATCCTACAGTAATTGCGGCGCCGACTATGGAATAAAATGTAGGATTACATATTACTCGTAGAGCCGTAGCGGCTTCGGAAGAATTAACACAATATATAGAATTGTAGCAGAAAGAAATTACCTTCGCCTGCAGTTGCGAATCTTATTGTTGTCGTTGAGGAAACGTTCAGTCTGTAAGAGTAACTGATAAACACACAAGCATGTGTCAACAGCCTTCCTCGAGCTCACCCTGTTATCACACCGACTCGGAACTGCAAAATGGACATCGGTACATTAGAACACGCGCAGGGAGAATTAATGAAAGAAACTTACCATCCTGAGGTGTTGGTACAATCTTATAGTGAGTCCCACACCTTGAAATTTATCCTATACACATGTAAATGAGAGATGATGCTGAATGGAATTAAGAAATGATCTTACTGGTATATTGAGGGATAACACGCAAGGATCATAGTATTCCGTCAAAGAAACATTGTCGCTAATACCCTCATTCCATCGTATCAGAGCACCAGAAAGGGCCTGTGAGTCCGGATTCGCTGCATCCTTCAGTGTCGGGCGACCTGGACAGGATAAGGCTGCCATGCTCATGCCCAACTGGCTTCTGGTCGTAGACCGTGTCAGTGACAGTCTTCCAGAGGAAGTGGGAGCTGGATCTGATTCCGAGTTCATCTTGCGTTAGATTTCCTGGTCGGGTTGAGTAAACGCGTTAGATGAAAGGGAACGGCACCGAGAGTACTCCCTGTAATCGGATAACGGCCCGATGTCCGACCATAGCACTTACCGTAATGAGTGAATCTATGACGCGTGCTGTAGTCTGCATTTGGCAGCGTTTTACTACCTCCATCTGGTTTTCACTATCGCAGAGCGCTCGAAAAACAGCGGAATCTCTCAGTGGCGACGAAGCTAGCACCAGCGCGGTCTCGTAGGGCTGCCGGATGCTGGGACTCCGACCTATTTCTGATTCAGCTAAACTGTGCCCGCAGCTCCAGCCGCCTATTACGAAGCGTGTTTCGCATTTGGGCGATCGCCGACCGCCTATAATATATATGTGTGCTTGAACAACCAGATGACTCCAATGGCTATGTACTCTTTTGATACCGACGAAACCTTGAGCGTCTTTGGGCTGCCAACTGAAGCGACCAGTTCGATAACATACGTCAACTGGGCCCACGTTCCGGAGTGGATCAAGGAAGTATTGGATGGTAGTTGGTGCGTGACGGATGGGCGCGTCGGTGTGGGGGAGGCGAATGCGCACACGCTTTGGTATCTCAACCGTCAAGGCTGTTCCTCGTCAACACTGAGGATCACGGTCTACGTCCAGTCACCGATAGATGCCAACGGGGTCTTGGACATGGCTGCTGCCAGACAAGCAACACGTCGGTGTCTTGCAAGTATTATCCAAAGCACCGACGCCCCTCTCCAGTTCGTATGGACACGCGCAGAGCTTGACGAGTTCGGCGAGTATTCCGTGCGGTATACACGTGGTGGCAGATGTATCGTTGTTGCTGCAGGTCAAACCGTTGTCGAGATATGGAACGAAGATAACTCGATGGCGGTGGAGAGTTTCGAGGATTGCGCTCGCAAACTCCTGGAACATACCATTCGCAGGGAATCGGATGGTCTACCCCTTACTGCCCCTATCATCAAACGTGGTCCACTCGCTACCGGAAGTCATGACGAGCATCCGAGCAAAATCGTGGTCCAAAACGATGGCCGATTTTCGCTCGACTTTGAGCTAGATAAGCCCATCGCTGCTGCCAATGCTACTACCGAAGGATACGGTTATATGTTTGAGAGGTATGTTCAGGAGGTTACAGAAGATTTAGTCACTGTCAAGCTCATAATGGTGGCACGATACGCTGGGAGTCATGTGGTGACAGTGCACTTCGCAGATTCGGAGACGATGATATCGCGATCGCAAAAGTTTGAGATTGAGGTTGAGATTGTTGAATGAGGGGGGTACTAGATGTCTGTACTATCACGATGGTTCCAAATCAGTACACAGATCTGAAACCGAGAGCGATTTGCTTACACATATCTCTGGTGAATTCAGAGGATACCGCTGTAACCTGCGAATTGTGACAAGGACTTGACATTCAACACTCAGTCCATAGTGCCTGAAAACTTGTGCGAGGAAGAGTTATGTCGCGTATAATGGTCGATGGATTCAAGAATTACCTAGGAAATTGGCTTCTTTCAGATTTCATGTTATCTTTCTAGTGAGCTAACGGTGGGGAGTACGGGGTCGGGGTCAAAGCGAATATCCAAATTCATGAGTCAACACGAGTATGCCACTAATTTTGTTCCTAGTACTAGGTTATTAGGCCTACAACCACAAGCATGAACTGACGATACACGTTTCCTCTGCCAGAGGACTCACTAAATCCCCAGCATCAGTTATCTGCGTCACCGATGCAATCGTGTCTAGAGCTTTAACTGTAGATTCCACGTGGAAAACATTCCTAACGTACATCATCTTCCCCTGCTCTCCATACACGAGACGCACAGACAACTTTCCTTCCACTCTCTCCCACTCCGTAACGGGAAAAAAATTCCTCGTGTAAAGGTTACGCTTCATGTCTTGAAGGACATTCCCAGTTCAACCGATCGGGTCACAAATCCTATCACCATCCATTAACAAGTCACAGGGCAAGCAAAATAAACTCACGATGGAGATATCAAGAACACATATGGGATAAGCGTAGTGCTATACCTCTTCGCGTCCTCCCAGGACTTCCAATAATCGCGCGCGCCGCTGGGAGATAACCTAACCGTAGGCGAACCGTACTCGGGACTGCTAGTTCTTCCGGCCATATTGTCAACAGCGATAACGAGGGCGGCGGATGGGAGAAGTAATCGAACATGGCTAGTGCCGTGAGCTGGATGTATGCACGCGATAGTGGACGGCTACGTACCCTGAAGAGGTTCGAGAATAACCCTGTATTTTCCTTGGTGAATCCTGTTCACGAGATCGGTCTTTTGCACGTTGCTGCAAGCATCAACGGCTACTGCCAATCAGAACGAGTAGCGCATGTCGTTGAACCCTGAACCCTCTATAGTGACGAGCAATTCCTCTTGGCCCCGGGTTGCCTATATAATGGTTAACAATGTTCCAAGGTAACGGATAGTGAATCACCTTCAGGTCTCGAGGTAACGCGATGCAGCAAAGGGGTCGTCCATGTTTGCTGGGTTCGAGGTCGAGGTCGAGCACCTTGAAAGCTATGCAAAAGGCCACTTGCAGCCATGCTGGACCATACTAGATGTCTTGGACATCGAAGAAAGGACCTTGAGTTACGAATTGACGCTAGCCTTTGTGGATGTTGGTGTTGAAGCTGAGTTTGTCGATCGCGTCTACTGGCACATGATTCTCAGGCTCTTAGCATCGACCTGCTAGCCTGGAACCCGGGGCGGGGGTAACCCCCGTGGTCGACAAAACTGCCCAAATTTCAAACTCCAAGCACTTGCCGATTCACAGCCATCCACGTGCAACCGTGTACCGCGTTCGCGTCGTTGATTTTTGCTTCCGTCTTCACCTCCACTTCATGTGTGAGAGTGCCAATGCGCTAACGGAAGGCCTGTCAACGCCACAAGAGGTAGAAGTGGGTAGAAGAAATGGGCCATGATGAAGAGGGGTTGCTGGGATATTAGCGTACTGAGAGGGCGTAAATGGGATACAGGATGCAGTGGCATCATCATCAGAGCTTGATACATCTGTTGGGGTATTCGGAGGCTCATATTCTCCCTCCATGGGCAATTGAGGTGCGTTGAAGGAATATCTCACAAAATTTCATTAAGATATAGCATGTGTCATCAGTATTGACAACATGCCGCTCTTGCGGCATGCACCGGAGTATCAAATTTGGACAGTTTTGTCGCCCACGGAGGTTACCCCCGCCCCGGGTACCAGGCTTTATCCACAGTTACGAGTACCGCGAGTATCTATAAAGCCGGCTTGCCAGGCTATCGACCTGCATCGACTCGGACCAGCATCCCAAGATTCCCTTCAATTTGAGGCGCATTGACTATCGACGATACAATGCAGCTGCATATCACATAGATAAATTCATTGTCGACATCGACGCCTTTGCTTGTAGGCTCGGTCTGGTGCCTTCTGGGAGTCGGAAAAGTGATATTTGGTACGTGAAGCTGCATAGTGTTCGTGAAAAATCTAACTTGTATATGTCAGGTTCAATAACTGAGATAGCTTAATATATACGGAAGCCTTCTTCAACCTCTTCACCTCCATTCCCGACTTTCTGGGTCACCATGCCTCCCAAAAACACCAAGTCAAGCAGCTCTGCTCTTTGCAAAAATTTCCAGAACGCTCCCACTAACCCTACCCATATCTTATCTGCCGATACACCTCCTCACTGGGTCGACTTTTATCAAGTACCTGTCGAGAACGATATCATAGCCGGCGTGGAATGGATCTATTGCCTATGAACGCTTTTACACCGCACAGCTCCTCCTTCGTATCGTGCCTTCAAAGAGCTCGATTCAGCAGCTAGAGAGCTGTACAATCTTCTCACACAGTCCCGTTCTTGGGATAGGTGTACCGCCTTCAAGCTGTGAGCCAGAAATCCAACCGCCCTCCCCCTTGCCAGACTAACGCGAATCACTTGCAGTATCATTAGATCGCATGTTCGAACGAAAACACTCCATACTATCTGCGACATTCTCGAATGTCAAGGTTACCTCGAGAGCACCTGCCCTGGGCTCATCGACGATATTCTCCAGGAAATCATGGCCTGCGGCTCGGACAGTGTAGCTTTCAGTGCTGATCTTCGTCGTCGATACAAGATAGCTGCGCCAATGTTGGAGCACAAGATGCGGGCGTTGCAAAAGGTGCTCATTAAACAGCATAAAGTCAGTCAACTCTTCTTCATGCAGTCATGCGGTACACCTTTACTCACCAATCCATCACAAGGATTTCAACCTTAAGAATCATATTAGATTCCTCAATTACCTCTACCTAGGTGCATTGACAATAGCTCTTCTGCGCGCGCTTTTGGCGTTTGCTTCGAGGTTCCTTGATATAGATCACGATTCTCTGTTTGTTTGCCTTTTGTTTCTATTTCTGTCATTTGGTTCTATACTGGCGATAAGGAGTAAGTCTTTTCCTAATGCAAATGATCGTAACTCATCTCCTAGAAGCAGCGCGAATTCTTATGCGTGCAGAGCTGTCTCTTAGGCAGACGCTCTGAACACCGACGCATTCAAGCTCATTTGAGCTGTGAGGAGCATAGTAGGGCTGCTGACCCACATTGCAGACTCCAAAGATTCACCGCTTTTGCATGTATCACATGCAAAACGATTCCTAGAGGCGTTCCAAACTTCGGTATGTCATATTTCTGCTCGTGTCGCTTTTCGTTGTTGACGTAACCAATTACCTTCAAGTTTTTGGGAGGACCTTCAGTTTTATCAGGTCTTCGGCGGTAGAATTTAGCTGGAATGACTGTGAACATGGTGACACTGGAGATAATACAACCCACCAATATGCCCTGTCAACTCGTATTCGATATCCTCGGAGTAGCTTTTCTTGTATTCCTCAATTGCGTCCACACTAAGGCCATTCGGAAGTGTTCCTTGCAACCGTAATAGGAACATGCCGACATCTTCATCTCAGGAACAAACATCGCCCTGTCCTTACAAAAACGAAGGCCAGCAGTACTTCTCCCAGCTCTCGTCTTCAAGATTTAGGGGATGGCCTCTACTCTAGATTGGACACGAGGATTATACATAACAAATGGACGCGCAACGACAGTCTATGTATAGCCTGTTCTTAGAGCTCTGTGTGTAGTTCAATACATCATATGTTGTGAGTATTGATAAAAATTTGGAGACTGAAGCTTTACAGAAGATTTTTACAAGTGTCCTACACCAATGCTTCCTGGACCGATTGCGGGTTGAATACATGTAATCTTCGTCATCAATTTCATTCCTGCCTAAAGCGCCTTCTTGTTCTAATCCGCAGAATGATCTGCGCAATTCCCACCTCTCAATGGCAGATGTAACATTGGGCCAGTCTGTTATTAGACAGTCGCCCTCGTAGACGCCAGCAGTTTTTGTGATGGTGAAAAGCACTTCCTATTTCATTATAGGATTTCAATCAAAAGGGAGAGCTTCAACCCCAAAATAGAAGCACAGAGCGTACTGACAGCTTTGCGAAGCACCGTAAAAGGTACAACCACTTCGCTCTTTGCTTAACCACAGTCACTCCTTCATCTTTCTGGCCCTGAGTCCTCCATGCTTGCTCCTTTACTACGTCCATCCCTGGTAAGCCGACCATCCTTATCCCAGCCTTCCCTTGGTATCAGCTGCTATGGAGACTTTAGTCAATGCATCTCTGCCGCCAAAGCCAAATTCAAACCGTTGTTCTCTTTCATCGTGTTTTTAGGCTTTCTATCGCCTTTCGTCCTTTGGATATATGTACTCACCATTTTCTGTAGTGATCTGCGTGTGTTTGTTGTCAACTCCTCAAACACTGTCCATCCCGTAATCGTTCCTGTATCCAAGAGGATCCCTGTGTCTGAGAACAGTACGTCCAATCTAGCTCCAATGCTGGCCAAACTTGCTGAGTTGTCATTAGTTGCCGTTATTACTGTTGTGGGAGCCCCCGACAATCCTAGAAACCAGAAGGTATGCTGTTTTAAAGCATACCGACTCTTCATTCATAGCCACTGCTGTGACAGTATTCAAGCTGATTACTCGAACTTCGTGATCTGAAATTTGTCTAATCCCGATACCAACTATAATGTCGGTTCTTATCATATTATCCGACAGTCATGAAGAGCTCACTTGCTTTATAGATGTTCGATTATTCTGTCCACGTGCAAATCCTCAACAGGACTGGTGAAGTCCTACGTCTCCTAGATTCGCCCGCGCTACATGGGCATTGGGTTAATATCCCAGATACAATTGATTCCCAATCAAACTCACAGTTTCAGCTGAAAGATCCCGTGTGGCGCACTGGATCCGAGGGACATCTGGACTTCGCGATTCAACGCGTGTCCCAAAACGGACCACTGCCAAGATCGGGCCTGTCAGCTTACTTCAAGTGCCGATACCCCACTGCCCACTGTAACAAGGTTGAAGTTGATTTAGTTACTCCCAAGGCCCTCTACGCTGTCTCTTTCCGTACCTCGGTTGGAAAAAGCAATCGGTGGATTGAAGGGGGGGTCAGTGACAAAGGCCATCCGGTGCATGTGCGAATAACACTTTCTTATCAAACCGCGAAGTACGCATTTCTAGTACAGCAAATCCGCGCAACATTACACCTTCCAGTTCGGAACTCACTCGATGTAACCTATCGCTCCGGCGTTCGGGAACTCTGGAATCTATCTAGCGAGAATGACTCGACAGACGGTCGAAAGGGCTCTTTTCAGCCCAATATCTTCGGATATGATTTTGTCTCACCACTGAGTGACTCGTCTGCCCTCATCGTCACGATAAGAGTATTGGACCCTGAGCTTGTCGGAGCTGAATGTTTTCTATATGGACGGGCTCCAGGCAGTATGGTTGGCTTTCGGAGTGACCATTTTCTCATTGGCGACCTCTCAAGCACCTCTATCACTGTGCGCGTCACCATACCTAACATAAGCTCGAAACCGTTCGCATTGAATGGAGATGTTGAATGGGGAATGACGATAACGCTGTCGAGGCGAAAGGTGGAGTGTCAGATGCCGAAGAAGACACGCCTGGAGCTATATTGGCTTGCTCAAGCTCTGCATCCGGCGTTCGAGAGGCGTGGAATTCCTATCGGATTTCTACGAGCTGTTTTGCCTTCGACAACCCATGCCAAATTTGCTGACACCACTGATTGGAAGAGAGAAATGACGTGGCGGACATTTAGAGACTATTATAAGAGATATGACACGGAATTTGGTATAACAGGTCTTACTTTCAATAATTTTAAACAAGTCTGACATCACTGTTCCCTCTACAGGCCAACCGCATTTCTGGTCTGACACACCAGCTGGTGTATCATTCAATTTGTCGTCGTATTTTAAATGTGACGAATTGGAAAGGCCGGGGGGGGCTAAACGAGTTGTCAATTGCGCTGACCAAGCTGCTGTAGTAGAGCTTGGGTGTAGCCTGGGTCGTCGTGCTGATGAGCCTCCTATGAGCTGGGTGGTGCATGAGCGGTTTGGTTTTATCAATAAGACCCACCTGGTGGGCATCACGGACCAAAACCACCACCACATTCTGGTCAACAACCCGTTCTTTGTCGACAGGGTCGAAACTGCCGTTCTGGACATCAATGACCCCGCACGTAGTGCCTTCGCTCAGCACGTCTACCATTCATTTGGTAACTCAGCCACTTCGGGATCGGAACATGTCGCCGATACTGACTATATATATGATGCGTGCTGCGGACCGTATTTAGGCAATGAGACAGCGGTCACCTACAGAGCCCTGACCATCGACACCACAACACGTCTCTACGACCAGAGGGATGATATGCATCCTCGCATTATCGCTAAACATCCTGGTATCCCTTGTATAGATGGACAGCATCAGACGTCTCCAGAGTCTCTCGGTGCTAATGGAGCCGCTAGCGCAATATTGGGCGTCTTTGGGCTGCCAGTTGAAGCAACCAGTTCGATGACGTACGTCAGCTGGGCCCACGTTCCGGAGTGGATCAAGGAAGTATTGGATGATAGTTGGTGCGTGACGGATGGGCGCGTCGGTGTGGGGGAGGCGAATGCGCACACGCTTTGGTATCTCAACCGTCAAGGCTGTTCCTCGTCAACACTGAGGATCACGGTCTACGTCCAGTCACCGATAGATGCCAACGGGGTCTTGGACATGGCTGCTGCCAGACAAGCAACACGTCGGTGTCTTGCAAGTATTATCCAAAGCACCGACGCCCCTCTCCAGTTCGTATGGACACGCGCAGAGCTTGACGAGTTCGGCGAGTATTCCGTGCGGTATACACGTGGTGGCAGATGTATCGTTGTTGCTGCAGGTCAAACCGTTGTCGAGATATGGAACGAAGATAACTCGATGGCGGTGGAGAGTTTCGAGGATTGCGCTCGCAAACTCCTGGAACATACCATTCGCAGGGAATCGGATGGTCTACCCCTTACTGCCCCTATCATCAAACGTGGTCCACTCGCTACCGGAAGTCATGACGAGCATCCGAGCAAAATCGTGGTCCAAAACGATGGCCGATTTTCGCTCGACTTTGAGCTAGATAAGCCCATCGCTGCTGCCAATGCTACTACCGAAGGATACGGTTATATGTTTGAGAGGTATGTTCAGGAGGTTACAGAAGATTTAGTCACTGTCAAGCTCATAATGGTGGCACGATACGCTGGGAGTCATGTGGTGACAGTGCACTTCGCAGATTCGGAGACGATGATATCGCGATCGCAAAAGTTTGAGATTGAGGTTGAGATTGTTGAATGAGGGGGGTAGATGTTTGTACTATTGGCACGATGGTTCCAAGTCAGTATACAAGTCTGAAACCGAGAGCGATTTGCTTACACATATCTCTGGTGAATTCAGAGGATACCGCTGTAACCTGCGAATTGTGACAAGGACCACTCAGTCCATATAGGAGCAGTGCCTGGAAAGTGTGAGGAAGAGTTATGTTGCGTATAATGGTCGGTGGATTCCCAGTTTGAAGATTCACCTAGGAAATTGGCTTGTTTCAGGTTTCATGTTATCTTTCTAGTGAGCTAACGGTGGGGAGTACGGGGTCGGGGTCATAGCGGATATCCAAATTCATGAGTCAACACGAGTATGCCACTAATTTTGCTCATAGTACTACAACCACGACCATGAAGTGAAGATACACGTTTCCTCTGCCAGAAGACTCACTAAATCCCCAGCATCAGTTATCTGCATCATGCAATTGTGTCTAGAGCTTTAATCGTGGATTCCACGGGGAAATAATTCCTCGTGGAAAGGTACACTTCATGTCTCGAAGAAAATTTGGGCCTAACGCCCCCGGTTCAACGGATCGGGTCTCAAATCATGTTCCTATCACCATCCACTAAAATGTCACAGAGCAAGCAAAATAGACTCGCGATGTAGATATCAAGGACACATATAGAATATGCGTAGTGCTGTACCTCTTCGCATCCTCCCGGAACTTCCAATAATCACGCGCGCGCGCCGCTGGGAGATAACCGAACCGTACTCGGGATTGCTAGTTCTTCTGGCCATATTGTCAACAGCGATAACGAGGGCGGTGGATGGGAGAAGTAATCGAAGAAAGACATAGCTAGTGCCGTGAGCTGGATGTATGCACGCGATAATGGACTGCTACGTACCCTGAAGAGATTCGAGAATAACCCTGTATTTGCCTTGGCGAATCATATCCGCGATATCGGTCTTTTGTATGTTGCTGTAAGCATCAACGGCTACTGCCAGTCAGAACGAGTAGCGTATGTCGTTGAATCCTGAACCCTCTATGGTAATGAGTAATTCATCTTGGCCCCGGGTTCCCTATATGATGATTAACAATGTTCCAAGGTAACGGATAGTGAATCACCTTCAGGTCTCGAGGTAACGCGATGTAGCAAAGAGGTCGTCCATGTTTGCTGGGTTCGAGGTCGAGGTCGAGCACCTTGAAAGCTATGCAAAAGGCCACTTGCAGCTATGCTGGACAAAAGATGTCTTGGACATCGAAGAAAGGACCTTGAGTTACGAATTGACGCTAGCCTTTGTGGATGTTGGTGTTGAAGCTGAGTTTGTCGACCGCGTCTACTGACATGTGATTCTCAGGCTCTTAGCATCGACCAGCATCCCAAAATTCCCTTCAATTTGAGGCGCATTGACTATCGACGATACAATGCAGCTGCATATCACATAGATAAATTCATTGTCGACATCGACGCCTTTGCTTGTAGGCTCGTTCTGGTGCCTTCTGGGAGTCGGAAAAGTGATATTTGGTACGTGAAGCTGCATAGTGTTCGTGACAAATCTAACTTGTATATGTCAGGTTCAATACCCGAGATAGCTTAATATATACGGACGCCTTCTTCAACCTCTTCACCTCCATTCCCGACTTTTCTAGGGTCACCATGCCTCCCAAAAACACCAAGTCAAGCAGCTCTGCTCTTTGCAAAAATTTCCAGAACGCTCCCACTAACCCTACCCATATCTTATCTGCCGATATACCTCCTCACTTGGTCGACTTTTATCGAGTACCTGTCGAGAACGATATCATAGCCGGCGTGGAGTGGATCTATTGCCTATGGACACTTTTACATCGCACAGCTCCTCCTTCGTATCGTGCCTTCAAAGAGCTCGATTCAACAGCTAGAGAGCTACACACTCTTCTCACACAATCCCGTTCCTGGGATAGGTGTACCACCTTCAAGCTGTGAGCCTGAAATCCAAACCGCCTTCCCTTGCCAGACTAACGCGAATCACCTGCAGTATCATTAGGTCGCATGTTCGAACAAAAGCACTCCACACTATCTACGACATTCTCGAATGTCAAGGTTACCTCGAGAGCACCTGCCCTGGGTTCATCGATGATATTCTTCAGGAAATTGTGACCTGCAACTCGGATAGCGTAGCTTTCAGTGCTGATCTTCGTCGTCGATGCAAGATAGCTGCGCCAATGTTGGAGCACAAGATGTGGGCGTTGCAAAAGGTGCTCATTAAACAGCATAAAGTCAGTCAACTCTTCTTCATTCAATCATGCGATACACCTTTACTCACCAATCCATCACCAGGATTTCAACCTTAAGAATCATATTAGATTCCTCAATTACCTCTACCTAGGTGCATTGACAATAGCTCTCTTGTGCGCGTTTTTGGCGTTTGCTTCGAGTTTCTTTGATATAGATCACGATTCTTTATTTGTTTGCCTTTTGTTTCTATTTCTGTCATTTGGTTCTATGCTGGCGATAAGGAGTAAGTCTTTTCCTAATGCAAATGATCGTGGCTCATTTCCCTTAGTAAGCAGCGTGAATTCTTATACGCGCAGCGTTGTCGCTCAGGTAGACGCCCTGAACGCCGACGCATTCAAACTCATCTGGGCTGTGAGGGACATGGCAGGGCTGCTGACCCGCATTGCAGAGTCCGAAGGTTCACCGCTTTCGCATGCATCACACGCAAAACGATTCCTAGCAGCGTTCCAAGCTTCGGTATGTCATGCCTCTACCTCGTGTCTCTTTCCGTTGTTGATTTAACCAATCACTTCCAAGTTTTTGGGAGGACGTACAGTTTTATCAGGTCTTCGGCGGCGGCTGCAAGGGTTGCCAGACTGGTCTGACAGAAATTTCGCGGCGCACTATTGGAATGACTGTAACCACGGCAACGCTGAGGACGATAACGTACCTTGAACCAACCGCTGGATATTCTCAGAGCATCTGACCTCGTATTTCTTGGCTCTCCAGTACAGCATCCACACCAAGGCCTTCGGAAAGGTCTCTTACAGCAACGGTAGGAATAGATGGGTGGACTCATCTCAGTATAGCGAGCGTTGGAATGGCCAGTACAAAAACTGAAGCGACTCGAAAGATGGTCTCTCAACAGTGTTTTATTGGTCCTCGATTTGCCACGCAGGAAACGGAGGTTTCTCCCGGAGAAAAGACATTTGATCATTTGTCTGTGCATGGCTTGCGCGTATCTACTAGTATCCTTCTTCGAGATCTTTATAGCCTAACGACACTCCGATTGTATCGAATCCCGCACATTATACCGGTTCAAAGAGATATCTTGCTTTTCATACCCACAGCCAAGTACCCGAATAACTTCTTCACTAAGCTAGTACGTGCCTTTTAGGATGCGTGTGGTCAAAACGCGATTGACCTCTTTACTACGCGTTTCCTTCCACTTATTTGAAAAAGTCTTCGTAATCCATGCATCTCCCAGATTGAGTACGCCGGACTTGGGGCCCTACGAGATGCCATTCATCCTTGAGGTACTTCTCTTGCTCGTCTAGAGCTTCTTGACGTGAAACGCCTGGATACTCTTCGAGATACGTCTTGAGGAACGCTATAGCATCAAGTACTTCAGGGTCTTCTGTTACTGCATCCTGGGATTCAATCTAAAAGCACAATGACGATAAAAACGCTACGCACAAAAAGTATTGGGACCACCAAATTCTAACACAAGACCGAGGGTGGTGAGTTCTGGGCATAGAAGCGGGCCATAGCGAAACTGCGCTTTGTATGGTTTCAGAGGAACTTGACGTGCACAGGTATGGTTGTGACCTTCAGTGAAATCAACGATACGAGCCTTGCCGCATCGCCAGTCATATAGCAGATGGTGTTCGTATCCTGGCCCTATCTGATTATGATCTGCCCCAGCATCATGAATTTTCTGTAGCGTGCGGGCAATCTTCATTCTTAATTGTTCATCAGACATTTGTGTACGGCATGAGGAAAGAATATACGCCTACCTTGTCTCCGGCGTGTCGTGTTTTGTTCCTCTGATTTGCCCAGACCATGACCACCCCGCAAACTCCATCACAGAGATCACGACGTGCCCAGCCCACGAAGTATTAGCCTCCCAGACTTCGTAATGCCTGGGGTCCGCGTCACCCTGGAGAGTGGGCAATCGATGTGCATAGAAGACTGCCTCGCGCCTAAGAGCTTCGTGTACATTGTAACCTCGAGACCGGGGATCGTCGTCGACATGAAGTACCACCTTGATTGCAAAGTGAATAGTAGGGTGTTCTTCTCGGACAAGTGCTATGTGAGCGAAAAGTGCACTGTCGCAGAATGGATCTTCCCAATAACGTGGAGAGTTCCAACCAAGGAAATCCTTCGAGAGATGTGACAGGGGTAAGCCATTTCCAGTGTAAGGCGTAGAGGAAACGAACGTCCCTAGAGAAAAATCCGGATTTTCAACAAATGTGGGGAGTTCCGTTGCGTGAAAGTCTAGATCGTTTCTGTGAAATGTGATGCGACGGAAGGTGCTTTGTTTCCCTGTCCCTATGAAGGAAATCCGCAACAAGTCTGAAGGCATCGTGGTGACAGTTTCTAGTCCAATCTAAGTGTACCGTTTGTCAGTCGTCCTCTGTACGAGTTTCAAGTTCAGCAGGCCGTTCCGCGGGTGGCGAATTGAAGAGTTAAGTCATACCTGCAATATTTTCTCACGGTCCTCGAGCGGATTGCTCACCCCCTGAGTTCCTTCCTTGTCTATCATATAAGCAGTTGATGATGGGAACAGCTACTTGGAGAATAAGTGAGCGTCTTGCTACGGTTTTAATGAAATTATCATTGACGAGAACCAGCTCTCAAGAAATCTCATTTCTCAACATCTTTTTCAAAACATTTCAGAACTAGCATTCATCTGGACCTTGTACAGGTGTTCGATCAACCTAAAGATTTACACGGAGGCTTCTAGGAATTCTTTGAGGGCTCGAAGATATCTAACACTTTGCGATTAGTTCTCGTAGGTTTGATTTTTAAAAGGCCCATACCTGTCCTTCTCTTCATACAATCCCAGGTGTGTACTGTTCGCGAGTTCCAGCCACTTGATTTTAGGAACCCTCAAGAACCATGGCATAACCGCAACTTCCTGTACTTCGTCATTCGGCGCGCTGACGATCAAGGTGGGATACGTGATCTGGTGAAGGACATCGACAATGGACCAGGTCTTGAGTGTTCCGGTTACATTGAATTCTGACGGTCCCAGCCTTGATAGAGTTCGTAGATCTTGGTGACCCACATCGGAAGAGAAGGGAAACTCACATTGTATGATAAACAGTTGGATTCTTTCCAAACGATTCAAAAGATGCCATGACGTCTTCGGGCCATGGATCCAGTGTGCAGACGTGTTTCTTCATAAACACCATCATTCCATCCTCATACTCCTTCGAGCTAGTCGTGCCCTCTCGTTCATGCTTCCGCAGCATTGCAACGAAATCTGGCGGGAACTTTTCCAGAAGGGCATTAGTCCCTACCTCGTAGAGTTCCGTCGAAGCTGGAGAGTTGAGGATCACAAGGCGCCGCAAGCCCTTAGGAGTACGAGTTGCCGCGTATTGCCCAGCCAGCATTCCTGTTTCGAAATAAGTTTCAACTGGTGCACAAATTTCGAGAGTCCGACACACCTCCCCATGATTGGCCAACGAGGTCGAAGCACTCGGAGATGCCTAGATGGTTGAGGAGGTTATCGAGCTCATCCATGAAAAGTTCTGGTGTCCAAAATTCTTTTGGGGCATCACGCAGATGTGTTGAACGTCCGTTCCCAATTTGATCATACGCCACAATAGGGATTCTGGAGCGCCAACTCAGCCTAACCTCAAAGGTGAGCATGAAAATCACCGTCGCGTACCCAGCAGATTCAGTCAAAGCTTTGTGGACGCTGAAAGTGTTAACGTTGTCAGACTTCACAGCATTCGGTTGAAAGCAATTCAGTTTACAGCATGCTATTCACACCATTCTGAATATCAGAAATTTGACAGTAAGCACCACGAGAACGTACTATTCGTGCGTAAAGCCCGGCCCTCCATGAAGAGTGACGAGAGGTGGCTTGCCCGATTTGAGGTCGCCGATGATCTTGTACCACGTCTGGTAGGTTTCATCGCCCACCTTGAAATCTGCTATACCAGTAGTTTCGAGGAGCATGATGGAAAGTGGACAGGGCGTAAAATATGTCACATTAGACGCTATCTTTGGATATAAATAAGTACGATAGTATGTGAGCACATGATGGAATCATGAGAATTGCAGTCTGCTTACCAAAAGGCCACTGTAACGCAGCGCTTGATCAATGACCTTTCATGGGGAGTTTTGCGCGTAATCCGTGGGTCTTGTGTCTCATGGACGAGCCGGCATAGCCGAGGATCATTGAAATGAGCTTGAGAAGCATAAAGGTGATTCAGATAACGTGGCCTTTCAGTGGATGCAGTTTCCAATGCTGTCATAACATCTGAGAAGAGGCGCCCATCTGTACGTTCTGTTAGTATTTACAAGAGGAGAAGTAGTTCATCACCTTCGCAGTTCGGGTAAGGCGGCCACCGCGGTGGGTGGGGTATGAGCAGATTCACACGTGTGCGTACCGGCGGATCGCATTCGTGCAGTGACTACTAGCGCTAGATGAACAAGTATGTTGATCATACATGTTATGGTTGAAGTGAGTGTCATGGGCTACGGAAGGCTATCATTTGCATATATATGTCTTTTCAAGAGGATAGGTTAATAGAATCATCCATCCGAAAGCAGAAGCGTTGTCCCCATTCGCATTTGATTGTGGACGTGTATGAATCAGAAAATCGGATCCTTTTTGCACATTCCATTATCCCTGAATCTCGGGTTCAGCGATGTGCAAGGAATGTTTATCTTGAGCATGGAAACAGGTCATAAGGCGGAGAAAATTTAATGAGGTGAACGACACTTCCGCGCATTCGAGAACATCTGAAGGAATGAATCAGATGATTCAAAGAGGATGTATAGGTAGGATTAAGAACATACAACAGTACATCCGGGTACATGTTTCTAGCTTTACAGTTTCCATGACTATGAATCCCGACATTCCCTGACGCGTTTACGTTCAGTATCGATGCCAAATGGTACTGTCATAAATGGGCAGGCATCGTGGGAACATCTTTCCATAGGTGTCATTCGGACGTCCGGCCGCTTCGCCTCTTGTCCGCCTCAGTCAGAAAACACCCAACTATTCATCCTGGATAGCATTCTTGTCGGCATACTATTCTTCAATGTCCTTTCATGTTTCTTGCTCCCACATATGGAAGACAACCGGTTATAGGTCGATGTCTACAGTTCAATGGACTGTCAGCTAGGTATAACGCGTCTTTGAGTTGAATATAGGCTATATGTTTACCGACATACTGTTTGTTGTTTTCTTCGAATGCTACAAGCACGTCCTGGGCAAAATGAGCATAAGCACAAGTGGAGGGATGGTAAGGGAAATAACACACGCAGAGCGAAGGGCTGGTAGTATTAAATAAATGATCATCGAACACTAGTCAATCTCGGTTCGATGTGCCTGGGGCACTTCATAACGTCAATTATGATTTCCTATCGTTTTTCGGGGGAAGAATAAGCAAAGACACAGGAGGGATTGCGTGGACAACAGACACGAGTCCGTTCAGCACCTCGCTCGCGCTTGGCCTCGACAATGGGTCCCCACAAACCAGCTCCGCCAAAATAGCATCTACCTCGCTGAAAGTGCCCTGCAAAACACATGTTAACGAGAAAAGCTCACAGTATGGCACTAATAAATACCTGAAAGTTTTCGAGACTGCAACCGAATTGCCAGACGTCCAGTTTGAATGGAGAGTAAGGTGTATCGGGGGTGAGCATTTCGGGGGCACGAGGTCGAGAGTAAGTGGAGACATCCGGAAAGCTGCTGCACAAGGGGTAGCCGGTCATCCAAGGCTGATCTGGAGGATACTCTTGTGCTGTCTCAAAGTCGATAAGGTGGACACGGGGACGAGATACGGATGGGTGGCCGGCGCAAATGGACTCGGGGTACCATTGAACTAAGAAATTGGAGATGAATGCATCCTTGGAAAGCAAAGATGAGATTTGGCGGGTTAGGTGGTATTTGAAGCATTACTCACTCGATGGGCAATGTTCAGATCATGGATGAAGGCTAGACTCTATAATATTGGTATATATAAGCAATGAACGCGAGAGCGATAGAAGCTCACCTCTAATGCTTGCATGACCATATCCAGCACGTCTCCAACGGAATTCTGCACCCGATAACCAAAAGCTTCGTCCATTGGCGCGCCAACCTTGGGGATAAAAACCGAAAACGATGTCTTCAAAGACGAATTCGGCTTGCATTGGAAGGGTGTGATTCTCGCTGATGAGGCTAACAGGGCCTGTCGCTAGTTTTTTTGAGTATTTTTAGATGGTCATGTCCTTCGTTCCTAAGACAATCGTATCGCAAAGTCGCGCCCCTCTTCCGCACGACTGATACGCGTGAGTGGGTCTGTCTAGGGAATGAGCCAATAAGAGGAGCTGAATGATTAATGAGGGACGAACCCATGTTGAGTACCGCTGCAATGTCTGGATGTGCCAAGGCCGTCGTCGCGCTCCCTGCTGTTCGTCACGTACGAGAAGCCATTTGATACGACATGAGCGTCAGGCGGGACCAGTGTGCGGGTAGTGTTGTTGTCCGGACTACGCCACAGCGCAACACCGCGCTCTCGAAAGACCTCGTCCAGCTCTGTCCAGATCTTCGAGTCGTCGTCCTTTGTGTATCCTGGAAGCCGCCGGCCCGTGCCCAGGTTCTTAGGCAGCTAGATAAAACAGAATACAAGTCATTTACTTAAGTATTTCAGAGCTTCCGTCGCGTCTTCTGCGCAGCAGAAATTTGAGAGGTGCATTGAACACTCAGGAAGGATGTGGAGCGTGGGAAGGAATCGAAGCCCATTCGGGAGCTCGTCCCGAACACCGTTCACTCAGTTTCCATGATCACCAAAGAGACGAAACGCTGAGGTCCATTTCCCCTATCGGCAGACTCATCCGTTCCTTGTTTAGTTCCTTTCATTGTCTTATTCCCTGAACAGAACCAGCTTATCTGTGATACAAATCATTGTCACTGGAAACCAAGGACGCCATCATCTCAGGATCCTTCGAAAACCTACAACAGGTCCTCTTAGCCTCATCAGCGAAACTACAACTTCCCGACTTATGCTGAATTTGTCTTTGAAGACATCATTTTCGATTTCTTCCCCAAGGTCGGCGCCACGATGGACAGGGCCTTTGGCTATTGGGTGCAAATTCTCACATGAATAATGCCACGAATGCCGCTTGACCAGCTCAATCCCACCTTCTCTTCCCAAGGATTTCATTCATCTAAAAATGATTGATTCACCGATGTCCCGATTTTAACCGGTCTATGCGATCCCTCCTGGTGTCTCTACTAAGTACGCTGCCGAAGAGAGGTCGGACTTAAGCATGTTCGTGCGTGCGATGTTACTTTCTGTTATCGCTTATATGTAAGCCACTAACTCTCCAGATACAACTACAACTGGTTTCGGACGAGCCCTTGGGTTTCCCTAGGACCATCCATTGCTGTATTATCAAAGGAAAGACAGTGCATAAAATATGGATTCCTCTCAGGTGCCCACCTGCGGCTGATTCATCCCTCGGCCATGTTTGAAGACACTACGAAACAGAGAAAGCACTTAAACATGTCTGCAGCATCGACCTTACCGCGTCTTGCGAAAATACTGGCACCGTAGACTTCAAGATTGGCTTCAAAACCTACAGGATGTAGCACAGGGTACTCGGTAACCTTAAAATGTCGCTAATCCCCTCTTATCTCTCCATAGATGACCGGGATTCGCCCATGAATAGTATGCATCATACCATATTACTGCAATACTGACGTGTGTCTGACATTCTGCAGCATGTTATAGGCTAAATCTGATGGTATGAGTCTCAACCCCCCAATGTCGACGGAGCTCTACCAATAAGGGACCGACCTTCTCCAGAGTTTATAGCCATGCTACGGAAGGACGAGACAGGAGGGTACGACCGAGTAAACGAATACCAAGCCGCTTTATGACCAGTGGCCCAAGGATATTATAATATCTTTCGAAGCGCACATGAGGAACCCAATGGTATATAACACCACACGAGTGTTTCTTTTCTGACTGGCAGATAGCCGAAGGACATCTAAATTCCGAGATCCGGTATCCTCAAAGACACGGTTGATCGTTGATATCTTACAAAAGGACACATATCTGATGCTGTATATCAGCAGTCCTGAGGACGAGGGGAAGGAAACAGCCATCATGTCGTGGCTGTTGAGATTTCCGAAAATCAAGTGGGTCCAGTTGGCAAATACTACGCATTTGAGAATTTATGAGGAGAAGTACAGGTGTTTTGTTCGGTTGCGTACGTGGAAGATGGGGCTAATGTGATTTGTTATAGTGCCCCGATACATATTCTACCGGATCAAGCTCACCTCTCACCGTTGAAATAAGGAACGAGCTTCTTAGTCGCCTCATACACAACTCTGCACATGCAATACTCCCCTTGCTGACCATGATCGTATCGTGAATCAGTACCGATTGCCTGCACCCATTATGTTCCAGCTGGAAGCTCCTGCAATTAACACGACCCAAGATGCGTAGGGTGTCGGCATCGGCAATCTACGACAACGACGGCGGCTTCCCCGACAATCTGTTTTTCATCCTCTTCCCTTCCGCCGCCGTCGTTTTTGTGGCTTTGCGTACTTGATCTTGCCTTCCTGCCGCTTTGATATTTTCTGTTTGCTTTGTGTCGCTTTGATTTCTCTCGCCATCGGATTGCCTCTTGAAACTGTAGTCTATTGCTTTCGTTTAAAGAATATCATAAACCAGAGGTTTTCATTGCTTAACATAACTCGGGGTAATCCACCAAATGAGAGAATCGCGGGCCCTGTCAACCCGCTTCATGCGTACCAGCTAAATCCTCTGTTCCTACTTGCGTTGCTTGCTCTCAGCGACTTGGCTTCTACTTCTCTTCCCCTTGCTACCTTGCGCTTCCAAATGGGACTCCATATCGGAATTGCGTACACGCCGATCGCCCGAAACCATGTAATAGGTTCAGAACGAGGTGAACGGCACGTGAACAGCGGCTCTCGTAAGGGTGTAGAAAGCACATAAAAGAGTCAGTAAGAGGGGGGGGACCAATAATGCAAAGTTGTCATCGAGCGCCGGTCGCTCTCAGTTCGATATGTCTAGAGCAGTTCATAACGTCAGTCATGATTTCCTATTGTTTTTTGGTGGAAGAATAAGCAAAGACGCAGGAGGGATTGCGTAGACAGTAGAAACAAGTTTGTTCAGCGCCTCGCTCGCGTTTGGTCTCGACACTGGGTCCTCATAAACCAGCTCTTCCAAAATAGCATCTACCTCGCTAAAAGTGCTCTGCAAAAACACACATTCATGAAAACATCCATCCACGCAGTAAGGCGCTAACACATACCTGAAAGGTTTTGAGACTGGAACCGAATTGCCAGACGTCCAGCTTGAATGCGGAGTAAGGTTTATCGGGGGTGAGCATTTCGGGGGCACGAGGTCGGGAGTAAGTGGAGACTTCTGGAAAGCTGCTGCACAAAGGAAAGCCGGTCATCCAAGGCTGATCTGAAGGATATTCTTGGGCTGTCTCGAAGTCGATAAGGTAGACGCGGGGACGTGATACGGATTGATGGCCGGCGCGGATAGACTCGGGGTACCACTGAACCAAGAAATTGGAGATGAATGCATCCTGAGGGAAAAAAGATGAGCTTGGAATGGTCAAACGGCGTTCATAACATTGCTCACGCGATGGGCAATATTCAGATCATGGATGAAGGCTAGACCCTGGTACATATAAGCAATGAACGCGACAGCGACAACGGCTTACCTCTAATGCTTGCATGATCATATCCAGCACGTCCCCAACGGAATTCTGCGCCCAATAACCAAAGGCCTCGTCCATTGGTGCGCCAACCTTGGGAAAAAACCGAAAACGATGTCTTCAAAGACGAATTCAGCCTGCATCGGAAGGGTGTGGTTCTCGCTGATGAGGCTAACAGGGCCTGTCGCTAGTTTTCTGAGTATTCTCAGATGGTCGTGTCCCTCGTTCCTAATGACAATGACTCGTATCGCAAAGTCGCGCCCGTCTTCGATACGACCGATACGCGTAAGGGGGTTCTATTCGGGGTATGAGACTTTGAAGAAATTTGACATGGGGAACGAACCCATGTTGAGTACCGCTGCATCCGCCTGGACGCGCCAAGGCCACCCTCGCGCTCCCTGTTGTTCGTCACGTACGAGAACCCATTTGATACTACGCAAGCATCGGGCGGGACCAATGTGCAGGTAGCATTACTGTTTGTGCTTTTCCAGAGCACAATGCCGCGCTCTCGAAAGACCTCATCTAGCGTCGCCCAAATCCTCTCCTCATCGTCTTTCGTGTATCCTGGAAGCCGCCAGGTGTCCAGGTTCGTAGGCAACTATAGGAATAAGAATACAAGCCATTTGCTGAGACATATCACACCTTCTGTCGCGTCTTCTGCGCAGCAGAAATTTGAGCATTGCACATTTACAGCGGTGGAATAGGGAGGACGTAGAGCGTGAGAAGGAATAGGAGGCCTTCGGGAGTTCGTCCCGAAGGCCGTTCATTCCGCTTCCATGATCGCAAAAGAGACGAAACGCTGAGGAGCACCTACTCTGTCGAGCGCATAGGGAATCGATGCACATAGTCTATTCCAACTGTTTACAATTTCACTGAACGGTCGACACCGCGTATGATATTCCAAATCGCGTCACCCAGCAAGTCTGGAGCCTCTTGAACCACCTAGAACCGCAAATATGAGCTGTAGACCCCCGTTTCCCATTGGTGGACTCACCAAATGTCCAGCGTCAGGTATCTGCGTCACAGACGTAATCTTGCCTACTTTTTGCAGGGCTTCTTGTTTCTCTCGCGAGCTGTGACCGGATTTAATGGAAGGAATGTCCCAGAGAAGGCAGCGACGACGTACATCATTTCCTCACGCTCTCCGTACACTAAATGTACAGCCAACTTTCCCTTCACTCTCTCCAGCTCTGCAATGGGGAAGACCGCCTCCTGGATATTGACAAACGGGTACGCCTCATGTCTTGGAGGGCACTTGAGCCTAACGCCACCGTTCGACGTGTCGGGTCGCAAGCCGTGTTCCTACCGCCCATTTGTCAAAAAATCGTAGGGCAAGTAAGATAAACCTACGACGTAGATGTCAAGGATACGCGGATCCCACATATTCCACGGGATACGCTTAACAAGGTACCTCCTTGCGTCTTCCCGGGACTTCCAATGATCACGTCGCTGTGGAATCGCCTGCGCCGCAAGGGCAACTATAGGTGAATCGTGCTCAGGACCTGTTAATTCTTCCGGCCAGATTGTCGGTTCGATCAGAACGAGCGCGGCAAATGGAATATGGTCGAGGAAGGATGTCGCTAGTGCACTAAGAGGAGTGAGCTGGATGTATGCGCGCGATAATGAGTTGCCACGCACGCTGAAGAGGCTCCAGCTGAGTGTCCAATGAGGATGACTCTGTATTTGCCTTTCTGGATCCTATTCGCAAGGTAGGTCTTGTATACGTTGGCACAGGCTTCAGCATAGTCTCTAACGGCTATCGCCAGTCAGAACGAGTAATGCACGTCGTTGGACTACTCACAATACTTGAAATCTGGATCTTTCATCGCCTCTTCATTCAAGGCAGCAGCGTCTCCGTGTGTCTGTGCGTCGACTGCCCAAGCTTCCCGTACCAAACTCAGCGTATCTAGAGCAAATATCCTTTGTATCGTCACCTCCCAATGCTCTTTATCTGGAGAAGAGTCAGTAGTCAATCCTTCCGAACGAAACCAGGGACTCACGAAATCCCGTTCCATGAGCAAAGATGAGAATGAAGCCAGGTCGTTCATCGACGTCCTGCCGGTACCGTTTGACTGTGCATTTGAGGGGGCAGGAGTATTGTGTTTCCACGGTGTAATTGTCGACAAACATCGTAGTGAGAGCCAGGAGTAACAAGCGTCGCCATCAGGTTTGGGTTCGACAATAACGGAGACTGTAACTCCCCAGAAAACGGGAATTTGGAAAGAGTCCGCCACGATGCCGGCGCCCTGGACCGTGCTAGCCTGTGGCGGCCAATCAGTGATCGATGATCGATGCACCGGCTCGGCTGTGCCGGAATCAAATCTAGCTCTCTTGTAGCTCTCAGTTACTTTTCCTCCTCCCGGTCATTAGCGTGTCCAGCGTTGCCTCGACAAATCCTCCAAAAGCTGAAGGGATTCTTAACATTGTCTGGAAGGTCGGTAGGTGAGGAAATATGGTCCTGATTTCATAGATTGGATGCTTACTGGCCTTCAGCACCTTACCCCCTCGCAACCCATCCAGTAAGACTGATGTCTCAGCGCAAGGCACGTCACGGTCGTGTCGTGTGCTTCACATCCGATACGTTGTCCTGTCACACATTATTAGATGACCTGCACAACACCATACAAGCACAACGCGGACGCCGGACACGCAAACAGTCAAGCTCACCGAGTTCGTCCTTTCTCCTACCCCTTTATTCTAGTTCTGGTGTTTGGTCTACCTGACTTCAAGGTTTGTCCCTACTAGTACGTCTACAGGCTCGGACTACGCTAGGGGATACTACTATAATAGGAATGCTGGCTGGGTAATACGCGGTAACTCGTACGTTCAAGGGCTTACGCCGCCTGGTGATCCTCACCTGCAACTCTCCTGCATCATTGGGAACTCTACGAGGTAGGTATTGATGCCTTTTTAGAAAAGTTTCTCGTCGGTATTACGCGGGTCGCAAAAGCAGAAAGGAAACGCGCAAAATGAACGGAACATCATTGAGCGATGATATCATTCAGTGGATGAGAGTTTCCTAGTGCGATGCGGTTACCCAATGATACATGGCCGAACGACGCCAGGAACAGTCTGGCTTTTCTGATATCTGAATAGGATACTGAAGGAAATACCATTCCTTCTACTTATTTAAAGAAATCTTCGTAATCCATGCATCTCCCAGATTCAAGACGCCGGACTTCAGGCCCCACAAGGCGCCATTCATCCTTAAGGTACTTTTCTTGAGCATCTAGAGCTTCTTGTCGTGAAACGGCTGGATGTTCTTCAAGATACTTTTTGAGGAATGTTATGGCATCAAGCACCTCGGCATCCTCTGTCACTAGGTCCTGGGATTCAATATAAAGCAGAGCGACGATAACACGCCACGCACAAAAAGTATGGGGTCCATCAAATCCTAATATACGACCGAGGCGAGTAAGTTCTCCACAGAAAGGCGGCCCAAAGCGGAACTGCGCTCTGTATGGTTTCAGAGGAACCTGGCGTTCGCAGGTATGTGTGTGGCCATGCGTGAAATCAACGATCCGGGCCTTACCGGACCGCCAGTCATACAGCAAATGGTGCTCGTATCCTGGCTCTATCTGACCATTTTCTGCCCCAGCGTCGTGAATCTTTTGTAGCGCGCGGGCAATCTTCATTCTTCATTGTTGGTCAGATATTTCTATACAGTATGCGGGACGAACATACGCCTACCTTGTCTCCGGCGTGTCATGTTTTGTCCCTCTAATCTGCCTATCCCATGACCACCCCGAAAACTCCATCACAGAGATAACAACGTGGCCGGCCCATGAAGTGTTAGCCTCCCAGACTCCGTAATGCCTGGGAACGGCGTCACCCTGGACAGTAGGTAGGCAGTGTGCATAAAAGACTGCTTCGCGCCTAAGAACTTCGTATACATTGAAACCTCGAGACCGGGGATCGTCGTCGACATGAAGTACCACCTTGATTGCAAAGTGAATAGTAAGGTGTCCTTCTCGGACAAGTGATATGTGAGCAAAAAGCGCACTATCACTGAATGGATCTTCCCAATAATGTGGAGAGTTCCAACCAAGGAAATCCTTCGAGAGATGGGACGGGGGTAAGCCATTTCCAGTGTAAGGCGTAGAGGAAACGAACGTCCCAAGAGAAAGTTCCGGATTGTCAACAAATGTGGGGAGCTCCGTTGCGTGAAAGTCGAGATCTTCTTCATGAAATGTGATGGGACGGAAGGTGCTTTGTTTGCCTGTACCTACGAAGGAGATGAGCAACAAGTCTGTAGGCATCCCGGTGACGGTTCCAATCTGAGTGTAGCGTTTGTCGTTAGTACAAGCAGGTGCGTTGAACAGAGTTAAGTTATACCGGCAATAGTTTCTCACGGTCCTCGAGTGGATTGCTCACCCCCTGAGTTCTGTCGTTGCCTTGGTGCTCTGAGTCTGAGCCGTGTCAACCAGTGCCGGCTAGCGCTGATCAGTGATCGATGATCGATACAGCGGCTCGGTAATGCCGGAATCAAGTTATCTTTTACTTTCTCCTCCTCCTCGCCGCTCGGTCATCAGCGTCGCCTTGTCGTCAGTTCGCCTTATAAAGTACCATTAATCTTCCCTCTGGCTGCGATGGCTGCACATGACTGCTTCGACAACTCTTCGCTAAGATTGGGAACCTGAAGAAGTTCATAAGGTTGTCTGGGAGGTCCGTAGGTGAGTAAATATGTTCTGATCTCATAAACCGGACATTTACTGGCCTTCAGTACCTTCCCCGCTCGCAATAGTGGCAACCCATCCAGTTATATGACTGATGCCACAGTGCGGGGCGCGTCGCGTGCTTCACGTCCGATGCGTTGTCCGCTCCCGCATTATTGGATGACCTGCACAACACTATACAAGCAAAACACGAGCATGCAAACAGTCACATAAAGTCGATAACACCTATGGTGTCGTTCTTGGTTGAATGAGTCCTTTCGAGGAGCTCGGTGCTGTTACTTGTCCGCTGTCAACCCAGACGATGTCTACGTGTTATTCTCTTCTAGCCTGAAGTCTGCTCGTGTTAAACGTGTTTGGATTTCATGTATAGCGAAGACGATTGAGCTGACTCGGAGATTGCTCTGTTAAGAGTCAGTGATTCAATTCAAATTTCGGAGTTTGAAAATGAAGGATGTTCAACATTGAAACTGCGATCCTTTTCTTTTCATCTACTTACTTACCGTAATACATACTCCACTCGAGTTAAACTCGGGTTGTCCTTTTTGGAACGGTCCTGCTTCCTATCTCCGGGCTCGTTGATATTGATCGGAACGCAAATCCTTGCACGTCTATTGCGGTTGCAGCGTTTTATAAAGAATTGCCGTTCAATTTTGGCGTGGTCGGTTGCCATTGGCATTGTGAGCCAGAGACTTTTCCTGACACGGTAAAGAAATGCATTTACGCGGTCAGTTTCCTGGATTTGAGATATGGGCCTTTGTTTAACGTGTTTTGGTAGGCATGGACTCACTTACGACCATTCAAGATGACTGCGGCCATCTTCATGTATGCTTGCATTCGGATACACTCCCGCCCATACCTGGAACGACACTTCCTTTTCAAAACCCTGCGGATGTATGGCCCGATGAACCAGAGATTTACATCCGGCGTTCATGGGCGTCGAATGGAATGCCTTACCAGGGATTCCTGCCTACGTGCCCTTCCGATATTTACAAGTGCAACTTATTCAGATGCTTGAATTTTACACCTCTGTCGCTACCTATCTTCTCCCCGTGTCCGGGTTTATGGGCTTTACACCAAACGCTCGCCGAGGATTGGAAGAATTTGGAAGGGCTACTAGAATGTCTCAGGAAAATTCTTGAAGGACGTATTGTTCGTCAACGTAGCGTTGATCACCATAGTTTTCCATTACCATGGCAATATGGTTATCGTCACGCCAAGTCTAGTAAATCAGCAGTGATACTTGCCGCAAAACATTCGCGTGACGCCTTTCTCCTCATGGCTGCAGAAATATCCTTCCTACTCGCACTTGCTTCCGTTGATGTTGATGGTTATAAATTCGATACGTGGTCTGCTCTATTAGCCGAAGAAGTAGGCCATCGATGGGTGGATTTAGTACGCAATTCATGGTTGGTTGAAAAAGACACAGGTTGCTGGGGTGGGTCAGAGTCACGCAGAGTTGGACTCTTTATTGATCCTCGAACGTGCAACTTCGTTCAATTTGTCCGGGCCTACGTTGCATTTAACGTGCCAGTATGGTTCGATTGGGGACCGTCAACTTGCATATTTTCCCCGGAAGACCCGGACTTGCTTCGTAGCTTCCCTATTCAGTTACCGCCGACTCGAATCTGTCCACGGGTAGCAGCTCCCCTTTATTCTGCATCTACGTTTGATATTATTACAGGGAAATGGCGGAGGAGGATTACCGGAGAGGTGTTTAAATTGGAATGGAATAACCACGGTGACGATGTTCAACTACCATGGAAAACATCTATCATATCCTCATCCGAGGAGGAGTCGAAGAACCAAGTTTCATCAGAACCACGAGCGCCGGAAACTATTTCTGATGTGTGTACATGTCAACGATTGGGCGAAACGTGGCAAGAGTTTTTCACTCGTCGTGAGCTCGAAGCAGAGCAATTGATTCAATGTGAATCAGCTCGAGATATGCAGAAGCGCAAGGCCAGGGAACATGATGCTCAACGTAAAGATTGCCCAACGTATGGAGTAAACGTTTTCTTTTGGGGCGCAGTGGATGGAAAAGATTATCTAGTCCGACAGCACATTCCCCTTCGTAACGTACCTGATATCTGGGAAGATTATACTCCATCTCAACGACGCTACTCGTCGCTGTGGAAAGAATGGGATTTGAATCATGAATTTGATGGTACCATTCTACACGTTACTGAGTGCGCTCAGACTGATGACCGGGAAGATGTATTCGGTTTGACGATGGACTTAGAACCGGCTTGCGACGATGGTCTGATATCCACTGATGGGTCTGGTTCAAGTGGTAACGGGATCTTGAAGAATCTTCAGGAATGGGAAGAGGCATATACGCAAAAGTATTCTTTCATTGTGAAGCAGCTTGAGTCAAAGCGGCGGAAAGGCCCTACTTTGGAACGGGTGCTGCGATATCGATTTGGGTTAACCATTCTTCCCTCATCATCACCGACCTCGCCTTTAACTCTGATTGAGAAAAAGAAAGAAGGATTGTGTCAGAAATGGCTAGGATCTTGCAGTGCACCACCCGATAATCATAAACAATTTCATGCCATGGATAGGGATTTGATCTGCTTAACAGAAGGATTTGAATGGGTAGCTTCAATAGTCACAGTTGGCACAAACAAAGTCAAAAGGTACTCTGGCCAATTTCCGGTACATTGGTGGGACCTCCAACCTCGATCTCCCCATTATTTGGCTTCCTTTCCATCCTCTCTGAAGGTCACTCCAGTCCAATCTCAAGACCAGGAGTTTACAGGCTATCAGCTTGAAATGATTTCATCTTCAGACAAAGTGCCTTATATTCTCCTTGTTCATCGTGCTTCTGATGTTCTACACTGTCTGAGATTATCAAATATACTATCTCTTGACAATGTGGTTGAAGAGCTGTGCTCTCTTGGTATTGCCTTCACAATGGCTCTAGGCACCAAATCTCCAACATTGTCTTCAAATTCTTCACAACAACCACTGCATAATCCTGAACCCATTCTCTACAGACCTATTGGTTTTAAAACCGACCTCTCTGATTATTCCTATTATCTTTGGAGAAGAGCTGCTCTGTTTGCTCATCCAGCTATCCTTAGAGCTGCTTTGATGCAAGGAGGGATTATCTGGCGCATTGCTCTTGATCATATCCAGGATTCCAACTTTGTTTTATCAGGACCAGATAACTCAGTTTCTCAAGATGGGAAATCTTATGAATTGAGGGACAAAAGAACAGGAAAAGTTTACTCCCAGATTTGGGCAGAAAAACTTCGCTCAGATCAGCTGGATGTTATATCTGGTGTCTTGTTAGCCACTAACTTGAATCGACTTAGATCGAGCTAAGGTCGCTACTCGCACTTCGGTAGACGACGCTTTAGCAAGTCAAAGGCGACGTAAGTCGATGGGACAGATAGTCACGAAGAACGGAGTTCGATGTTAGGTAGAATTAACCTTAGCCGAAGCTGGGGTTCAGACCAGCTGAGGCTCTACTTAAATACACGTGAGTATTCTAAAAATACCGCTGCGCAGTCAGTCCGTGATGATCGCGCACCGCGTAATCCGGCTGACTAAAGAAAAAGAAAAGAAAAGAAAAGAAAAGAAATAAAGGAAAAGAATAATCCGTAACATTACCCCCTCCTTAAGCCTCATTCGTCCCAAATGAGAATATATCTCCTTCCTTCCACACCAGCGAGTCGAGGGGCTCCCTTCTGCTTTAAAACGGGATTGATTGGACCTCCGCTATGCCATAAAAGGTCGCTCGTTGCGTTCGGCCTCTGACCCTCTCTCCCCCTGGACTCAGGTTCCTATAAATCCTGAGCCACCTTGCGCCGGTTAGGCCTCGACTGTCTGTCGGGATCCGCGATCCCTAAGGGTTCAATGCTCATGATTGAGCGGTGGAAATCCCCTTCTACACCATAAGGAATGGCCTATCTAGGCCGCGCTCGTCTGGAGTGAATCGTTCGAGTCTGCTCCCTCGCTTGAGGTGGATTGTCGTGACTGTGAGTAGAGCGACCAGGTATCGTCATCCGTGTCGTCATCTCCATCGGTCTCCGTTTCCCAGTTCTCCCTTATACGTTCAAGGTTTTGGAGATTCACTTCTTCTTCGTCATCCGAACTGTCGCCGAGCAGGGCGACTTGGTCAATGATTTCGGAAGAGGCATAAGAGTCTTGTTGGGCATCGGAGTGCTTCGGGTTCGTGCACTCGGATGAGTAAACCGTTTCGATATCGGTGACACAGGGTGTGTCAGGGTCATGGTATTCGGCCGGTAGGTTACGGGGAATCTTGTCGTCGAATCCGATTGTTTTCCCCTTGTCGTTTACCGTCCAGATCATCTTTTGAATGCGGGCTTCATAGTCGTTAACAAGTTCCTCGGCGTTGGCCATGTCGGAACGCTTCACCCACGAGTTTTCTTCTGCCGGATATCCTTTCCATTTGACAAGGTACTCCGTAATGGTGCGACGCGTTCGTCCGCGCCCCCGAACCCTGTCCCTTTCTCCTACGATCTCTTCAATTTCGTATTCCTCTTCGTCGTCAATCAGTTCCGGAGGCGGTCGCTCAGGCCGTGGCTGATTGGGGAACTCGGGAGCTTGGTACGGGGTTAATAGTGACTCGTTGAATCGGTTGTGGATGCGCCACTTCGTAGGCAGCTTTAACTCGTATGCTGATGCTCCTTTCTTGGCCACGATTGTGAAAGGCCCTACTCGTCTGTCTCCTAGTTTCTTTGTCGGGCGAGGGAGGTTCAGGTTGGTGGAGTCCAGCCACACTTTATCGCCGACCTGATAGTCTCGCGCCTTCCCTTTGTGCTTATCGTAAGCCTTCTTCATCGACTCTGCTGCTCGCTCGAGCGATTCTTTCACCTTCTCCTGTACTTCTTGAATCCCTTGGACCAATTTTGAAGCGGCTGGTACCGCGTCTGGGCATTGTGCCGCTTTGATTACTTGCCCATCGCGCCCAAAAACAACCTTGTACGGGGAAAAGCCCGTGGCTGAGTGTTTTCGGTTATTGTGAGTGAATGCGGCAAGAGGTAACCAGTCACTCCAATCGTCTTGGCGGTAATTGACGAACATCTTCAGGTATTTTTCGATTTCTTGGTTGACTCTCTCTGTCTGACCATCCGTCTGAGGGTGATAGGCCGTGGAGGGATTCCCGGTTACTTGGATGAGTGCGTAGAACTCCTTCATAAATTTTGATACAAAGACAGCTCCCCTGTCGGAGATGACCTTCTCCGGCATCACTCCATACGGCACGTAGACGTAGTCTTGCAAGACTTTTGCAAAGCCTAAGGATGATAGCTCTTCCGTACAGGCAATGAGAATGATCGTTTTGGAAAATCGGTCGACAATGACGAGAATAGAGTTATTTCCTTTCGAGTCGGGGAGTTTCGTAATCATGTCGACTGAAATGTGGGTCCAGGGACGTTCCGGGACTTCATTCGGATGCAGTGGCGCCTTCTTTGGTCGGCGATCTGCCTTGGTGCGCTGGCAAGTTTCGCACCCCTTCACATATGCTTCTACCTCTGGGCGCATTTTGGGCCACCAGTAGTCTCGTAATACGAGCTCTTTGGTCTTTTCAATGCCGGGGTGCCCTGCGGTAGCATGGTCGTGTCGCAGTGCTATGATTTCTCCTCTCAACCGTCTATCCCTTGGTACATAGACGCGTCCATCGTACCACAGCAGGTCTTGATCGCGAGAGACCCCCTTTTCATGATTGAGGGAGTCCGAAATGCCGCGATCCCACTTGCGGGGATCGTGAGTAGCTAGTCGGATTTTTTCTTGAAGTTCCTCCGCAGTTGGCATAACCAACGCCCGGAAGTGCGCTGGTTTCAGGACTATTACATCTTGGTTGTCCTCCTTTCCTTGATCGTGATCCGCTCTTCTCGATAGTAGGTCTGCTTTTCGATTTTGGGCCCCGGGTTTATGATGGAGGGTGAATTGGTATTCTGCTAACTCCATCACCCACCTGGCCTGTCGTCGATTGAGCTTTTGCAGTTTTCGGAAGTACTGGAGGTTGGAGTGGTCCGTCCAAATCTCGAAGTCTTCCTTGGCGCCCATTAAGTACTGTCGCCATTCTTCCAACGCGATCATTATTGCCAGGAGCTCCTTGTCGTAGATCTCGTAGTTTCGCTCGGTGATTGACAGGGATTTAGAGAGAAATGCAACTGGTCGCCACTTCTCCTCTTGCCATTGGGACAATACGGCCCCGATCGCCCCCTCACTGGAGTCCGCCTCCACCCTGAACCTTCCTTCATCGAGGGGAATGGTCAAGACTACGTCCTTGCGGAATAACTCCTTGAGTTTTTCGAACGCCTCCTGTTGGGCCTTTCCCCAGTTCCAGGCAACCTTTCCCATGAGCATCGTGAGGGGTTTGACGTGTTTACTATAGTCTCGAATAAACCGTCGGTAGAAATTGCAGAAACCCAGGAAAGATTGCAGTTCCTGTTTTTTGGAGGGGACGGGCCAGTCCAGTAGCCCCGCGATTTTGACGGGGTCCATACGAATCCTCCCTTCACTGATGAGTACGCCCAAGTACTCAGTTTCTTCCACTTCGAACTCGCATTTCTCGGCTTTGAGAAACAGTTTGTTTTCTCGGAGAATGCGTAGCACTTCCCGCACAATACGCTTGTGGTCCTGCTTGTTTTTTGACGCAATTAGTATGTCGTCAAGATAGACCGAGACCTCCCCCGCAGTGATGAGATCTTTGAAGATATCGTTCATCATCCACTGGAACGTGGCGGGTGAATTGGTAAGGCCAAAGAACATAACCAGGGGTTCGTAAAGGCCCCGGTTAGTTCGGAAGGCTGCCTTCCACTCATCTCCCTTCTTTATCCTGACGTTATTGTACCCCCATCGTACGTCCAACTTGGTGAAGTATTTGGCCTGCTTGAGTCGATCCATGAGTTCTCCGATTAGCGGCAACGGATACCGATTCTTGATGGTCATCTCGTTGAGCTTTCGGTAGTCCTGTACCGGACGTAACTTGCCGTCTTTCTTTTTAACAAAGAAGAACGGTGAAGCCATAGGTGACTTAGAGGCTTGGATACACCCAGTGGATAAGTTTTCGTCTAAAAACTTATCCAGCTCTTCCTGCTCCATCGGGTTGAGAGGGTAGATTTTACAGTCCAAATTGGCGTTGGCATTGGGGATTAACTCGATGGCGTGATCCCACGGTTTCCTTGGGGGCAGCTCATCAAAGTTTTCCCTGGCGAACACATCCTCAAAGTCCCGGTACTCCTTTGGGACTATTTCTTTGAAGGATTTGGTGACTTTGCGAGCGTTGGCTTGAGCGGCCAATTCGTTGGCCTTGGTGCCCATTGCCCGCACCTGGAATGCCTCCTCGAAGTCGATTACAAGGATAGTATCCCCCTCCTCGTACTCATCCCATCGTGACGTAGGGTCGGTGTCCGGGAGTGAAAAAGGAATTTTTCGACAGGCACAGCGGGCTAGGGTAACAGCTCCGGTGTCCCAGTCTATTAGGGGGTTATGTCTTTGCAGCCAATCGTGTCCCAAGAATAAGGGCGTGGAGCCTAGGTCCACTACGGCCAATTCAATGCGTTCCACGTGATCTCCAATACGAAGCCGTACCTCAGCGTACTCGGTAATATCCCCGCCCTTGTTTCGGGTGCCATCGGCGTTATAAACCGGGACAGGTCGGGCCGCCTTTTTAAGGTTTAGGGCATGACTCTGGGCCCAGGCGCGGTCTATGGAGCTGCCGGTAGCGCCGCTGTCTACTAGCGCTTTGACCGAGTGGGTCTCTCGGGTGTCTAAGGTTTCCAGCTGCACAGTGATGGATACATTCCGACCTTTCCTCCCTCGTATGTACATGGGTGGTTTCGTAAGGTCCTCCATCCATTCCCACCTGCTCCTCGCCTCCGTAGCCGTCTCGGGCTGTTCCTTGAGCGCTTCCCAAAGCTCCTTTGTTACCTCCCCTGTGCGACGGGGGTGTACCCATCGGTTGAGAGCGGCAAAGGCGACCGACTCGTTTGTAGCGAGTCGCAACGCTCGGCGGGTCCAGTGGGGCCCGAAAGGTTCATAATACGTGTCCCGAACGGGAGTGCGTTGCGTGCGAGACGACCATAGGTTGGTGTCTTCTGGGAGTTTCCTTTTTGGCGTAACAGTGGGGATGTCGGACCGAAGGTAGGCTTCTTCGTCTTCTACTTCTTCCACGGAAACCGAGGGAGTCTTGCCTCGAAGTGGCATTTGGTCACCGGGACGAGAAAGGTCCCGAGGCGGCACTTGGGCGCCTTTGGTGGTCGAGGTGGTGGAGGAGGGCTCTCTGCCCTGTGTTCGGCCCTGGCCACGGGCGCTTGTGCGCGGCGTTGTAACCTCCACTGTAGTTCCGTACTTACTGCTCTTCCTAGACCCGGCAGTACTTCGGGCTGCCCTTCGCGGGGGCACACATATTGACTCCCTCGAGGGGTCTGCACTGTTTGCCGTCGGGTGTCCCTTGGCTACTAGGGGCAGGTGGTCCCTCGAGTTCCCGGCCTCAGCTGCTTTTCCGACGCTTCCTGCTAGAACAGACGCCTCCACAGACGAAGACGCAGGCCCAGCAGGCTGGGCTGACGGCCTTTCTCCCACTCCGGGGTGACCTCCCTTCGTCAAGGGTGCAGTCGAGACTCGACCTAGGGGGCTCTGCCCTCGAGGGGCTTTCCCTATGCGGTCGGCCGGGGGTTCCTGAGCTGGGACGGCCCCTAGGGGTTCATTTCCCGGCGCAGGCTGCGCTAGGAGGCGGTAATCCCCTCCTACGCCGTTGGCGGTGTGCGATTCCTTACTTTTAGTTTCTGATTCTGGTAACGCGGCGAAAATGGTATATTGCTCGTAGGGAGTACCTACATAGGTAGTATAAGTCCGACTATTGTTACAAAGGGGCGCACCAGTAGAAACTAAGTCCTTGGCCGACGTCGTCGAATCGCTTATTTCGACGCCGGCTCGTCTTTTGACGACTTCTCCTCCTTGACCTCCTCAACTTTTGTGGTAACGGCTAATTCCTCTTTTTCGGCATCTGCGAGTAGCTGACGAAGGCGGGCGACGTTGGGCTTTTTTCGAGGTGGGAGTTTAACGGGGATCCACTTCGACTTATCGTCAGGGCATTTATGCTTTGGGTTCCACCCGGTGTTCCCACACTTGAAACAGCGCTTGTCGGACCGCAGTTTGTCGATCTCCATCGGCTGTCCTACTCCCCCGTACGTGGTTCCTGTGGCGTCCTTCTTATCACCACCAGAACCCGATCCTTTTGATTGGTTGCCTCTACCCGGACCGCCTTGGTTCGGGGAGGTCTTACTTGCGAGGCCCTGGGCCACGTCGTATCGATAGTTGGCGTCGATCCGTAGGACTCGCGCCTTCCATTGCGCATAGGTTGTGGGGCGCTCATTGTCCCCATGCATAACTGTCTTGCGTACTGTCGGCCTAATCGCCGCTTCGACTGCTTCGAACATCTGCTTTTCATCACCAAACTCTCCGCACTTGTGGGCCAATCGTTCGAATTTGGCGAAGAACTCGACTGCGGATTTAAACTCCGACTGTCGCACCTTCTTCCACTCGGCCTTCCATATCGCGACCTCCGCCACTTCTCGGAATTTGATCGTCAGGTCCTGAGAGAATTCCGCCCAAGTGGGAAACCTCCAGTGCCCCCGTTCATCCCGATAGCGGTAGTACTGATCACCCCACCACTGTTTGGCTTTCTCCCGTAAGTATCCCTGAGCGAAGGTGATCCTATACGGGTTCTGCCCTTGATCGTTCATCGTGAAATGTAGCGGGAATACTTGAAAGTACATCTCGCAATGGTGAAGAAATCGGTTGATATCTTCCGATTCCCCGGTGAAGTACTCGGGCTGTGTGATGAGTTTAGGTTTTACGTCGTTCCACGGGTTGTTTTCCTTGCCCGCGGCTAGCGTCCAAGGGGGAATTGGATCGGGCGGCGATGGTACCGAGGGCGGTACCGGAGGGTTGGGTGGTCGAGGTAACGACCGTAGTCGATAATTATCCCCAGGCAGCGGGTAATCCCCTGGGTACGCGGGTCTTCACGGGGGTTGTGACGGCGGTTGAGGTGGAACCGTGGACTGCTTTCCCTTGTCCGAGGGCCCAGCGCCTGGGTCATCCATGTCATCATCGTCAGGCCCCGCACCAGCCCAAAACTGCTCAGTTGCGAGCGGGTTAGGCATGGGTTGGGGTCGACGGTAGGGTTCACATGGCCGCTGAGGTGCTTCAGGATTTACCATGTTCCATACAATGGCCGCCCGGTGCCAAGTCTCTACCTCTAAAATGTTTTTCATGAGGTATACGTCCCCCATGCTCTTTGCGATGAGGTAGTCCTCCCCTGCCTCAGTAAGCATCCACTGTGCATCTTTCTCCATATCTTCCATGATGATCTCGTAGAGGCCGTGCCAGGGAAGAAGCTCAAAGATGGCGGGTCGAGGGACGGGTCCTCTAAGAAGAACCTGTCGCACCGCCGCCATCACTGTTGGCTCCAGAGCCCGGCTCGGAGGGCGGCTGGGCATCCTCTGCCTCCTTTCTCTCTCGGGCGAGGCGGTCGAGCTCCCTGTTCCGCCGCCACCTGCCGATGTCTGAGTCCTCGTTGGAGATCTCCTCCTGGTATACTCTCCAGGCTCGGGCCCTCGCCTCGAGGTCTGTTCCTGCCCTTCGGGCGTATCCGGTGTAGCGAACGGCAGCGGCTCGTATTCGGTTGTCGATCTCGGCGGGCGTGGCGTCGGGCTCGACGGGTAAGTCCCAGAACCCGTTAGGTCCATGGAGGGTGTCCTCCTCGGCGCGTCGGATGCGTGCATCGTGCGCTCGGCCTCGGTCCATTCTGGCCTGGACTTCTGGGGACTCCCGGGCATCTCGAGGGAGTCCGAGGGACTCGACGTACGTGTGATATAAGAGTGGCCATGGGCGCTGGGATAGAGGGACGGGGTCGGCGAAGGCTCTCGACGAGATGGACGGCTCCCAACCTGAGACTCCGGCGAGTCGCTCGGAGGCGGTAATTGTTCCAAGTTCGTTGGGACCGTAGTCTGGGAACTCGCTCCAAAGCTCCCCATTCGTCGGCTCGTGCGAGGGGACGGGGGCAGGGAGTACTGGGACCTCGGCCCCTTCAGGGATCGGGTCGGGCTCTCCGTCGGGCGCGACTCCGGCCACAGGAGCCTCTTCCCCGTCGTCGGCGTAGACCCAACTGGTGTCGGGGTACCAGGCGACTGGGGGGCCTCTATCGGTTGGCCAGGCCCTTGGAACAGGCTGTGGGACAGCTGTACCGGTGGTAGCCGTGGAGGCTCCGAGGCTAAGCTCTCCGGGATCGTCGTAGAAGTCGTCTCGGCGACCTCGGTTGCGCACAATCCTCGCGCGGTCTCTGGCGTCGTCCGCTGCAATCCTTTTGTCGCGGACCTCCTTCCACGTTCCTTGGTGTCCCCACCCTGAGTGGGATCTCCCGCTCGAGGGGCCTCCGGTATCGGGGGCATCTTCCTCCTCACTCGGGTAGAGGTCGTCGAGTCTGGTTCTTTCCCACTCGGTGAGCTCATCCCCTTCGAACTCGGTGTCAGGGCTTTCTTCGCCCGTGACCAGAGGCCTGGTGCCTTGTCTTCTGTCTCCGTCGTCGCCAGACTCGCTTTGGATTGGAGGCTGGTCGAAGAGACCTGGTAAGGGCGAGTCTCCTCGGTCGAGGAGTACCCCCCGGGTATCGGTGATGTCGATTGAGTCGACTGCTGCGCTGGAGGCGCTTCTGTAGGAGTCGGTGCTCGACTCGGAGGATCGCGAGCTGGGTCGCGACGATGTGTAGAGGGATTCTCCAGATCTCCTGGAGGCGCTGGATTCGACATCCTGAATTGTTTGCTGTGATGCCAAGGGAATGTGAATTACCGGCGGTGGGTACGCCGGGGTGCTGGGGATGTAATGAAACGGGAGTTGTGCGCGGACCCGCCTTTGTTGTCGAAAACAACGGTGTATCCGGTATAAAGTAATGGACAATAAAAAGAGTAAAAAAGTCGCGAAGACGGCGAGAATGGATTCGGACCAGGGCATTCGTCCGGGAATCTATCCGTGGCGTAAGTCGACGATGGACCATGCAAGCTGGTAGACAGCAAGGATGGTGAGCACAATGAGAAGTGCGATGATCAAGCTGAGGTCGGTCACGTAGTTGGAACCGTTCATCAGCTGGATCTCGCAAGAGTTGTCGGATGGAGAACTCGTCACTATCAACAATGCAATTGTTAACAGGGAAGCGAGTTGGAGGGCGAGAATGAAGGGTTTAATGTTTGGGTACGTGGTGTCCTTAAACGAGGCGGGGATATAATACGTACAGGGCAACTAGCAGGCTTGCTAGTAACACTGCTGCTATTCCGAGTCCGATTAGGACAAAGGTTAAGTATACAGTCACAAAGACTGCAAGGATGAGGTCGTCGAATAAGATGAATTCAACAATCAGGTCGATCACAAGCACTAGGAGGAGTAGGCGGAAGGGGATTACCCAAAGGACTACTGCAACAAGAAAGTGTATCGGACGAATGTTGGATACGTGTGGGTTGGGCAACGATAAGTTTGTTGGGCAACCAAAGGCGAGCTTCGGCTAAATGTTAGCCACTAACTTGAATCGACTTAGATCGAGCTAAGGTCGCTACTCGCACTTCGGTAGACGACGCTTTAGCAAGTCAAAGGCGACGTAAGTCGATGGGACAGATAGTCACGAAGAACGGAGTTCGATGTTAGGTAGAATTAACCTTAGCCGAAGCTGGGGTTCAGACCAGCTGAGGCTCTACTTAAATACACGTGAGTATTCTAAAAATACCGCTGCGCAGTCAGTCCGTGATGATCGCGCACCACGTAATCCGGCTGACTAAAGAAAAAGAAAAGAAAAGAAAAGAAAAGAAATAAAGGAAAAGAATAATCCGTAACATGTCTATAAAGTCTACAATCATTCTTTGACTTGTAGTAGCCCAACACAAGATGTTTCTTTTTTTCCAAAAGTAACTGTGTTTCATGGCTCAGGATTGGATGTTGGATACTGGAGTGCTGATGCAGAAACTTGGTATATAGGGAGAGTACAACTTTATCAAACTGGGGATCCTCTGGGACAGTGCAAGAACCAGACAGAGTGGAGAAGTGCTATTCGTTTATGGAAGAATTCCAATAAGATATCTCGAGGCTATGATATCATTGCAGAAAATTTCATCAAACAGCATGTTTTGACTTAAACAAAAGATGATCTTACAATAAATAGGAGAATAGTAGAATGCAGATATCTTAGAGAAAGAAATTGTTCGGAAGTCTGCATATTCTATAAAAGATCAGAAAATAGAAAATTCCAAACTCTCAGCAATTCCCCACTCAATCTGGCCTCAATGCTAAACTGTTCATGGTAGAAGAAAGTCAAGATGTGACTGTCTCCGTTGCCTCGCATTGGCCCTGTAACAGGCCCCTGTTTGGCTGACACATCAGATCACATGCCACAACGCACCTGGATTCATTAGTCAAATACGCAATGAAGTCTGTAAGCACTATGGAAAATCTATACACTCAGCATGGTATATACGTGCCGCACAAATATTTTGTTGTGCTTGCCAATACTTCGAATATTGACTCTTGAGGCGAAGTTGAGAAAAGGGTTGCCTCTGGCAGAAAATGCCGTCGGCACCGATGGCTGTGGCAGTACCATCTTTTTGCGTCTACGCGAGGCAATAACTGGTTCCAGATAACCTTGACGAGCGAGGTGACTAGGCTTTGTGATAGATGTTACAAGTGAGGTAAAGGGACCTGCAGACAGATCAAGGATCATTACTCTGTGACAGCTAGACATTATATCTGCGCAGGTGTCGAATCCAACAAAGTAGCTCTAGATATCGAGAAAAGACAGATCCCATCAATTGAACAACTACGCCCATCCTACAATGCCCATAAGAGAAAAGAAGGCAGAAAAGCGATAGAAACGTACCAAACTGCTCATATGTCCAACCCCAAAGCGTCCCGTTCACCTCCATGTGCTTACTACACAGTCGGTCATTCCGATCCAGACCACTAATCCTCTTCACGTCCTCAGGGTCCAAGACCGGAAGCTAGGTGCAGAAACTATGAGAAACACTCACACCAAAACAGCCATGACAACCTACCTTCTTATTCTCCTTCTGTCTGCCCTCATCAGCACTCTTCGGGATAATCACCACACCTCGTGCAAGATGCCATGCAAAGATCACCTGTGTTGGCGTAGCATTGTATTTCGCCGCCAGCTCGACGATAACTGGATCCTTCCTAACGACATCCGTACCCGAAGGAGTGTACGCCACAACAACGATGCCCTTCCCTCGGCAATACTCTACCAATTCTTCCTGAACGAGATACGGATGCAACCTGTTCGCTCGCAGATCAAGTTTCAGAAAACGCGAACATACTAGTCTGACTCACTCGATCTGATTCACGGCAGGTATGATCTTGGCCGTCGTATAAAGTTTTTCCAATCTGTTCAGCTGTGAGTGAAGGTTACAAGCAACAGTAGACCGTCAAACATACGTTTTGATAGAAAAATTGCTGACACCAATCGCCTTGCACTTTCCCGACTCCAATAATTTCTCCATTACCTCCCATGATTGGTTGAAATTCCGTTCTTCAGTCACGCGGAGTGTCCCATCAAGATTTCGAGGAAGAAAGTTGTCCTCTGGGATAAATCAGATTGATAGAGATCACCGGGGGAAAGGTCTTACTCTCGTAAACGACATATTGGGGCCAGTGCATCAAGAACTACGACGGGGTGAATGAAAGTACGGGATCGGCCGCAGTAGACGTACCAAATCTACGTAGTTCGTTCCTAAACTTTCCAGGCTTTCATTCAATGACTCTATAATTCTGCCGTGATAGTTCCACCTACAAACGACACGTTGAGCTCCCACATCCAAAAAGGCAGAGTCCAGACTCACGGAAATTTGGTACAAATAAAGAACTCTTCCCGCGGGACACCAGACTTGCGTATCGCCTCTCCCAAGGGCCTTTCCGTACCTGAGGAAAGTTCAATGCAGGACGAAAATTCACAACCTAACCCACGCACCATAGATCAGGGCTGTATCGAAGTGTCTGTAGCCAGCCTACATGGACGTTAGCAGAAATTCATGCTAGGTCAATGCTTCGCGCACCTTGATAGCTGTTTGTATCCACTCTACGGACTCTCGCTGTGCTTCAGGATCCATCCCAGTCCAAACACCAAACCCTACACCCAGGCAGTCAGCATTGCAAACCAAGGAAAGGCTGATGTACACACCAAGGACTGGAATCGAGTCACCGTTGTTCAATTTCACTGAGCAGGATACGTCCATGTTTCAAGTCGACGAGTAGATATGGTGAATGTCGTTCAGATTATATATATGCGAGCGGCATTGTAGTGTCTGACGAATCAAAAGGATTACATATCGCTCTCCCATGCCGGACGCGTCATCCCTGCCTTGCCTAAATGACGTAGGTGGACCGCATTGATCCGTCAGGATCCCGCTCGGCGATATCATTCAATATCGTTCTGCGTGTTGGCAGCAGAAGACAGCGGCAGCCTAGCACGCCAATAAGCCATGGTGGAAAGCATAACAAAGAAAAGGAAGTGACACACATCGTAAGAGTGTAGCCCAGCCCGTAACAATATGGTAGCTCTTCTCTTTCATCGACGTACCAACACTGAATAGCTAAATCCAGACATACCGTCACGGACCCATGCCTCAATGGCGATGCGCTGAGGAGAATAAAGATAGACGGGGATACCTTGGAGGCGCGACGATGTAGATGGTGGTGGTGTTAAACTTACAGGCGCCAGTCGGACGGTTGTCGTAACGTGGCTGTGTCGCATCACGTGAATAGCGCGTCGTTCGGATCCGTTCCGGAATCCGAATCGCCGCCTTCGTTAGCGGCAAGTTGGCGGTTTCAAGCGGAAGTTGACGCGTCTGACGACTCATTTTCATTACAGAACTTCTCGCGCCACTCCGTGGTTGTCGTGCTCGGTATGTTTTCTAGCCGACGTCTGTCTATTTAATGGTAACTTCGCCAACTCTTGACGACGGTTCCGCCAACTTCTCTCAGTAAACCTCTTATGCTTTCCTCAGGACATTTCAGCTGCTCTAGGACCGTCCTTAGCGGCCTGCAGGTCGAGGCTAATCTTCTCGCAGCCGAGCCAAGGTCCATTCCGTTTGCTTCTTCGCCACCTAAAGAACGGAATACTGGTGAACATATGACAGGTCCTGCCATTGATAAGGAGAGTCCTGAGCCCACGGGAGAAGCTTCTTTTGACATCTAGTCCCCAAGGACCAGTTCTAAGTGTGATTTACCATCCCTGCGGGCGATGATCTCCTTGAATAGTACAGCTTTCTCACCGGATATACCAGCGGCCTCCCCCGTTCTCGGATACGGATACGACAGTCGGTCTGTCTACACTTGACGAGCGGGAAAGCGACATCTTTCTATTTGCCGCAGCGAGCATGACAGTTTTTTCGTGCTTCAGTTCGACTGTTGTATGTATCACGTCTGGTGCCCAACCCCGGGTTACATCAAGACGAGGAACTCCGGAAGGGTGAACACTCTTGGCGCAGCATCAGGCAGCATCTCATGCTCATCTTATCAGTTGAGCCGCAGGTATAGTCTGTGGCGTGTACGTGTTCCATCGCATCTCGGCCCCTTGCAACACATTTGATGGAACGGCAGCCAAAATAGGTGCTAGAACAGGGCTCACTGAATAGAGCCCTGTTCTTACTCTACAATCCAGTTTCGAAGGGGAACGGCACCTGCAAGCCCACGGCATTGTATCTCATTGTATGTACAGACACTTTTGCTTCCGCGAGCGAAATTCAATTCCATCTTATATCTGAATCTCTTCGTGATCGGCTAAAAATGGATCCACCGGCTGAATCTGCTCCTTTCTTCCGTGCAGAGCCTCGAAAGTTCTAAAGCAGTTCGTCTGTGAATCAGATGTCTGTCTTGGTTGAACATTAAGGGTTCCCGGGCGAGATTCGCTGTATCATGGAAACATGTGTAATTCGTAACACAGGATGACTCAGGGCAGTCAACGATCCCTTTGCCGCAGCTATATAAAGGGGTACCAAGACTGCGGGCGCTCTTTTCATTTTTTATAAGGGCGATCTCTCTACCATCATCATCACCACCACTACTACCATGTCCAACGCCATCTCTTCACCATCGTATACCAATGTCGGGCGCCAGCTCCCATTTCTCGAGTCGCCCGCACAACGAATCGCCAGGGTGGACTTTATCAAAAAGCGGGAGGGAGACAAGCGCGTAGAGGCGTGGGTGCGGGTGCAGCAGGAGCATAAGCAGTCGCTTTGGGGAGCACCTACCACAGCCGCTCGCGGGGAACCCTACATCACCACCCCTCACCTCCCTGAGGACCCTATTCGCTCGAACTCCCCTTTCCTTTCGGTGCCGTACATCCACCCAGAAGACGAGGAACCATTCATCTTCTACTCCTCCGCGCCGTTGCAGCCCACGTATATCCCGGAAATCATCTATTCGACGCCGCTGCCGCTCCCAGTGAAGCCTAAGCCCCGTCGGGTGAAGCAGAGCAGGCACCGCCGGCGCCTCTCCGATTTGGACTCCATCCCGGAGGAAGTTACTATAGAGGGATAAGTGGGAAAGGGAATATGCCGTGTCTTGATGATGCATCCCATTGGCCTCGCCCGCCGTCGCTCAAACAGAGCCGCCGCTCCGCCTGCAAAGGCGTATATATAGCTACCCCCTCTATGCACCGACATCCCTGTAACATAGGGTCGACATTGTCCGCGCAGCTCGAAGATTTTTGGGAGAGGAAGATGCATAGAATTATGATTCGAGTAATAGTATTATTTAATGTATCGTTCTGCTATGAATGCTACTGTGCCAAACTGACACGAAGGGGCATCATCACTTCGTCTCCAACGAAAGCCTGTGTGGTCGCTGCCCTGAACTCTTCCACTTTCGCGCCGGTTCGCTCAAAGGAGAAATCCCTGATCAATAACGCTAGAATCACCTTGAACTCAAGAACAGCTACGGAATGGAGAGTCAACTTCCATCAGAGCTCAGGTCCATCGAATACGCACCAAGCCTCCACCCAAGACAGTTCCGTGGTCCATCGAGGAAGGACGCAATCCCGCTCATCAGGTCCCTCGAGGAAGCTGATCAGTTGGGTATCACCGTCTCAAGCCAGCGCGAGGGCTTGAAGACATGAGCATCGGGACCCCACACCTCCGGATCAGTGTTCAATACTGAGGTGGGAATTTGGATAATCTGAATAGAAAACGGGTGGGTTTAAGCCTATGCTTATCTCGACGGACGTACCTGGCCTGCTTTGATGGGAAGCGAGGTGATGGTTTGTCCCTTCGCTGTGACGATGGACCTGCTAAGGGGAATAACATCATCTTCTAGGGCAACACGGTCCGTGCGGGCAGACGGCGCATGGAGACGAAGTCTATTATTCGTTGCCGTGAGATAAAAATAAAGGTGGGTATCCATCATATACTTACCCTTCCCGGATTACCGCGTCCAAGAATGAGAGGTTGCTGATACTGTCGTAATTCAAATCGCTTCCGAGTCCGTGAATTTCTCGGCGAAGTTTTTCTTGGACATCAGGTTGACCGGCTAGTTCGTACAGGCTAAATATTATGGAGCACGAAGTCGTCTCGTGTCCGACCATTCTACAAGGATGATATCAGATTTGGAGGCATCACCGCGCAGTAGGAGTAGTAACTAACAAGAAGGTCGATATCTAGTAACCGGACGCCGTGAACTTGTCCACAAACGGAGGAGGAAGGGTTAGGACTTACGTTCGCCAACAAAGTCTCATCAGACAACCGCTCGCTCTCTTTCCTGTTGTGCTTCTGATTATCCAACAGTATCGAAAGGATATCCTTCCCAGAGCTCTCTGCGGCGCTATCCTTCAGGATCTGTGATCCCAATCCGATGAGCAACTTGCTTAGCGACTGCCGTCTGTTTTCAGCGCCGCTATCGGAAGCTTCTGAATCCATGGAAACTTGACTAGCAGAATCGGCGCGAAGAATCCCGCAAAGGTGTGCGCCAGGAGCACGTCGTGGTGCCATGACTTTGCGATGTTTTGAGCGTCCTCCGATATCCCCACACCAAAATCGTGACCAAACGCGATGCGGCCGATAATGTCGAGACTGAAGAACGAGATAAGTGGCGCTCAACAACAAAAGGCAACGAAGAACTTACGTGCATGACGAGATGAATGGAGACAAGTTCACAACTGCATCACCGCCTTGTGAAGCGAGGTGCTTGGAAAGCCTTATCGCAGTCTGGGAAGCACCGAAATTAGTTTTACGGTTTTTCATCGGAAAAAAGTGACGGTAGGATACCCTCTCTACACATGCGATGACATCGTCCGTCATTCCCTTTACTGCAGCAAGCCTGCGACAGTCGGTCAGTACAAAAGTCAAGGAATGAGTTACATAGATCTATCACAGAAAACATACGTGAATGCTGGAGCGAGCAGTCTTCTCTGATGTTTATGCTCGTCCCCTTCAGCCCAAACTACACCCTTGCCCAACCACCTCTCAGCTGTCGGTCGGAACTCTGGCGCCTTGACATATCGATAGCAGTGTTGCAAGATATGCTGAGCAGCCGTGTTGTCCGAGGTAACAACCTAAGAAATGAAAAACGTTAGCGTATTAAAACAAGGCGGACCGTGTGTGGCGCATGACTCAATCGTACCACATCATTTCCGAAGAGAGGTGCTTTGATTCTGTACAAGGGTCCTAAAATTGTGGCCCACCTGCTGTGCTGGGAGTGCTTAACGTTGGCCTCTGAAGACCAAATAGCGTATTCATGCCCCCAAAGCCAATGAGCTTGCTCCAACGGCTACGAACATTATAAGTAATTGGTTTTCAGCCATGAGCTCGACCAAAAGAATAGCTTACAGCGCATTGGAGCTTGCTGACCGCCCTATTCCGGCGTTCGACGCAGTGGTAGGCAATCACAGCCACAGAAATGAGAAAAGCCAAAGAAAGATTGCTTAGCAATGAGGCTGGCATCGGAGGGGATCAGCAGAAAGCGATGATGTATGCTGAGAAGGAAGAAAGGACATCCCAGAGCTTATAAGAGAACAGCATCCCATACATAGTCAATCATTTGCTTGTAAAGAAGCGGCTGCAAGTTTGCATTTAACTTAATTTCTCCTCGATATCCTAGGAAGCGTGATATTAATATTTCTTTCCTTGGTAGGCAAGGAACGCACGCACCTTCCCATACTCCATTCAAACGGAAGACTTAATGGAGCATCTGCTTGGTTGTAGAGCTGAACCCAGCGTCAAAGAAGCACGCCGCAGTCCATCGCTTATCACTGAGGAAGAAGATACGCACAAACCACACATCATCTTTGTCAAATTTCGCTTGAACAGGTAATGTTTGTGTATTTCGATATCAAAGAAGTAGGAAATTGCAGAGGTAGAAAAAAAGACAAACATGACTAGTCGTTTCGTAATCGTTTAGTATCCCGCGGACTTGCGCTTCAGCTCAGATTCAGAGGAATCCCTATCGAATAGTTCACCAGCAATCTCGCGATCTTTGGCGCTTCCGGGGGTACCATATGATGTTTCCGTGAAGGTTTGCATCTACGCCGGAATGTATGAACTAGCCGTGCATAATATGAAGGACAGACCCTACCTGCACATGTACACCGGCCACTGCGGTCTTTGCGGGGACGTCAATCCGCGCTTGTTGACTCAGTGGATGTGTCCTATTGTTAAGCCCGCTCGATGTATCACCACCGCTAGCACTGAAATTGCAGTATGTGAGAGCTGGGTAGCAAGGCGTCAGAGAGTAATTGACCTGTATATTTCGGCGCCAGGACCTCGGAACCGGTACAATCGACGTACCACACGGCAAGAAGCTACCTGGAGTAGGCCATGAGTACATTTCGGTACACAGAAGATGAAATTGAACGAAACGCTTCGCACCGTAGCCAGAATTGAAGCCGGACCATCGGCAATGACGCTCATAACGTCGTTAAGATCCAAGAGAGAAAATATCTGCGAGGAATTAAGAGGGCGTTGACATAGATCTTCATGAGGTAACACACCGCTGCGAGGAGATTGACCACAAATCTAGGGAAAGATTAGCTATGTCCGACATCACTTACATATAACAAACTAGTCACTCACGCCAAGCGCAAATATGCCAAACCATCGACGAACATCAACTTCATGATCCTACTCTTATGCTGGTGACGCCGTTTATACCACAGCTTATACACCATCAAGCACATCACAGATGAAATCCGTTCCCATCGTGTAGAGATACATCGCCGCGAACAACGTCGACTCCGTACTATCAATACTGCAACCCGATCCAAAAATGAAGGACGCAGTGGACATTGGTCACGGATTTCAGAATAATACCAAACTGGCCGCAGATCAACGCTACGAGGGGAACGGTTACATATAGGCTTTGACCCCAAACCTGCGATACTAACAAGACGTTTAAGAAGGGGGTGCGAGGGGAGAGATTCATGAACTTACGTGCGAATGGAAAGGTTGATACTGGCGACTCCAAGACAAGTGTTCCCCTACAATCTGAATGAAGAGGAAAAGGACCCTGACAATGTATCTGCCTACAACGCACATTAGCAAAGTGCGTCACTTTTAATTGGAAGGTAACCCAACGTTCTGGTCACGTTTAACGCGAACAGCACTACACTCAAATAAGCATATTGCCGATTCTGTTCGACGGTTCATAAAACACCCACAAGCCTATCAACACGCCAAGCATTCCATAACGAGCGTAGAAATAGAAAAACTTTCAAGGGTAAGCTTGGAAGAGAGAGAGAGAGATTGAGAGTAAGATCAAAGACCTACCAACGGCCACCGGAACTTTTGCTCTCCACTGATCACCGCCCAATCAAAGTCAAGGGTGTTGACGAATTCCCATCTTCAAAAGAACATGAGATTCAACCCGGCAGAACCATGATACCAAAAACTGACAAGTATAGACCAATGAGGCAATGTATGCTTTTGGTGAACGCCACTAAAGGGTTCTGCGTTGAGATCATGAAGAGAGAGAAAGGAAGAGATCTGCACTCACGAGCATTGTCCTGGAGGACTTCGGGGGAATGCCAGTCGACCATGGTGGGGGTTGAGGTTCAGAGGGAGAGAGGCACCCCGGAGTACGGTAGATATAAACTCGAGAGCCCCCACCCGGGCCATCGAGTAAGTCGAGAAAAGGAAGAAGAGCCACTCTGATATCAGAAAACGACACGCTTTGATAGAGTCCGCTTAACGGGCACAAGTGACTCGAAATGGTACGCCACAGTGATAGGATTGGCTGGGAGAGTACTGGAGTCCATAACCCAGGGTACGAGAGTGCAAAAACGATAGTTATCTCGTAAGGGGACCAAGCAGATGCGGTCTTCGAGGCCGAAGAGAGTTTATCGGCTTTGCAACGAAACTTCTCTGATATGGCAGTCTTCCGTTACCACAGATCCTTTTTAGCATAGCCAGAAGGTTTCCTTAGCGCCCTGGGAGAATAGAAAAGGAAGAGTCATGGGCCTTGTTGAAATTCTTGTTCAACGTACGTAAACGATCTGTTTTTCAACGTCTCCACGTGATTTCAAATGAGAAAATGTACAATATTGTGCTACTTCGACATAACCTACAAAACTCTGTCTGCGCTGATGCTCTACAATTCTTCCTGTGCCTTCTTCGTCGCCTGACCTGCCTCTGCTGTTGCTTTTTCCCACTCCTGCTTACCCTTCGTCCGAGCTTCTTCACCAGCCTTTACCCTCCTGCAATTTCTCCTCGGCGCTACCAGTCAACATCTCCCACACCTGAGTTACCTTCTCTCCAGCCGCGTAAGCAATATCCCTAATCGAGTTGAACAATGATTGGGCCCCAGACTTGCTTTGCGAATACCTGATACGCGTTTCCTCTGCGGTCGGAATTAAGATCGTCATCCGTGATGATGAAAAGAAGAGTACATACGTAGCAAACCCGGTCGAGAAGTAGGAAGCTCTTTCTCACTCATGCCGTGTTCTCGGAGGAAAGCACGAAGCCGTGCATCGGGCCAGGTGAGATAAGCCGCGGCGCGTGATGATGCGTCAGAGTACCTAGATATAAATTAGAGGACGAATTTGTTGGAAATAGAATTGACGTGCTTTTGATTCATCAACTTTACGAGTTCGTCTCTTTTGACTTGCGCGTCAGAGCGCAAATAACCATTGTCGATGAGCCACAGACGGAGTTGAGAATCGCTCCAAGCGTTCCAAAACGAATCATGTGTGTTGTAGTAATTGTCTCTGCAAGGTCATTAAACAAGCAGATCTTAAATGAAATTGCTACACGTACTGAATGAGCTTGGCCATCTTTTCCCGCTTGATCTTGGCATCGTCCTTGATAATGTTATGCTCGACTAGCCACGCTTTGAGGTCACTGTCGCTCCAAGTATCCCAAAAGTAAGAGTTAGGAGTATAGTAGTATTTGGACATTTGAGCCAAAAGCGCGTCGCGATTCTTCTCTAATCCGGAACGGCCATCGAGGACATTGTGAGAGGCAAGCCATTCATACTACGATGATGAGCAAACGGAAAAGCGAAACAGGCCTGAAACATACGATGAAAGAATTACTCCATCCCTCCCAAACTGGGTCAACCACACTGTAGTACGCGTCTTTCATCATAGCGAGAAGTTCCTCCCTCTTCTTCTCCGCCTTTGTCTTGAGAACGCCCTTCTGCACGAGGTAATCTCGGAGCTGATTGTCGTCCCAAGTCGAATACACGTAGTCTTTGCTGTCGTCCATGGCCCTCAGTACGCCCGAGGTTGCTTGGGCCACAATGCTAGACACCGACTGCGTCGCCTGGTGCTGAGCGTTACCGTACACCGCGGAGCTCGCCGTCACGCTAGCCTGAGATGCGAAAGAGCTGGCGGCATCTGTGTAAGACTTGTATCGATTCTTGGCGAGCAAGACAAGCTCCTCTTTGTGTCCCTTCGGTGCAACAATTCCCTGCTCCAATAGGAACTCGCGAAGCCGAGACTCATCCCAGGTATCAAACGCCGAATCGCGCAGCGTCGAAAAAGACTTTTGCGCCGAGAGGTACTGGTCGTAGGACCATGCAGCTGCACCGTTCCAATTCGACTTGACGAGCTCAAGGAGGTCATTGCGAGAATATGTATCAAGAGACGGTGTATTGATGTGATGGTCGTTAAGCCACTTTTGGAGATCTTCATTCGACCATTCCGTATATTCTGCATACAAGAGGTCAGCTATAGATTCCTTTATTGCCTTGGGGACGTACGAGGCTTGTCAGAGCCGAACCACGACGCCTGGGCGCCAACGGCGAGGGCTGCCAATAAATAATGGAGGGTTTCATGGTGATAGACAAGGAAAGTTCACGAGACTTGAGGTATATATACGGCGCATCGTTGCAATGCTGACGTCACAATATTGGAGGGAATGACGTTCAGACGGCGTAGACACTGGAGCGTCGTGGATGACGTAAGATGAAAATCCCGAGTCTAACGCGAAGTTATAATAAGTTATTTAATGTTTCTGATTTAAAATAATAGTTTTCGTGATACAACTACAGTTTACGCGCCTCGCTATTTCATTAATGTGTCTGCCTCCTTGTGTAAATAACCTCAACCTCAAACATCTGTGACGTCGAAACCATTGTTTCCGAGTCTGCAAAAATTGCATGCACCTCAACAAGATGGTGACCCGGCATTGCGACTGCAAATGTAAACTTCACCCTAACGTCCTCCTCAACTACACGACTTTCAAGTGAAATGGCGTCCTCAGACCCCTCAACAATAGCATCGGCGGCGGCAATGGGTTTTCCCAACTCAAACCAAAGGGAAAATCGTGGAATGACAGAACGAATCTGGATCTTTTTCGGGTGGGACTCGTCGTGTTTGTCGGTCAGGGATAATAATGGACCTCGCTTGATGACGGGTGCAGTCAGGGGTGGACTGTCCCTGCGAACTGTATGTTCCAACAGCTTGCGGGCGTAGCCTTCAAAAGCCTCTGCCGTCAAATACATGGACCCACGATCACGTATATCCAATACCGTCTGTCCTGCGACAAGGACAAAACGTCCACCGTCAAGGTCCTGCACGGAATACTCACCAAATTCATCAAGCTCTCCGCGAGTCCATACATCCCTAATATCACGAGAAGTGCTGGTGATGATTCTTGCAAGCTTGCGAAGTGCAGCCTGTTTAGAAGCAGCCATGTCCAAGACCCCGTTGGCATCTATCTCTGACGCAACGTGGACATCAATACTGATCGATGTCTCAGTGCTTGTCTGTCGTTCCAGCCGCCAGCATGCACTTGCGGTCGTCTCTGTCACACCAACATACCCCGTCTTCGCGATTGTGCGCCAATCGTCACCCAACACGTCCTTGATCCACTCTGGAAGGTGCGCCCAGTTGACATATGTTATGGAACTGATAGTAGTCCCAGCTTCAGGTAGCCCGAGAATGGTCAAAACCTCGCTACTAGAGTCGGTATGATCCAGAGGAAGCATCCTATACCACTGATTTACGCAGGTGACACCACTGAGTTTCGTTATAGAACGATGGAATTTGGTCTGTGTATAGATGCTCCAGTTATGTAATCGAGGGACTCGCGCGACGCGTGATTCACAATGGTCACGTGATCATACTCCCGTCATGTCCCGCTTTTCCGTCATATTCAGAATTATTCACTCTCTCCTCTTCCCACCACGACCCAAGCTGCCTTCCTTCAACAAGTCCAGTATGTCCGCACACCCTTCCATCCAGTTGGCAGCCAGCCACTGTGAACCAATCATATCCTACGTGTTTGTATTCAGACAGCGGTGCTCCCATGTCGCCTGTCCCTGACTCCCTGCAGTCAACCAGTCCATGCGGTTCCTATCCGGTATGGGACCTACAGCACATTATCGTCATCAGCAACACCGATGTCGCCTTCAAGATTATCATATTCTTCACGCTCAGGTGCGTGCATCGTTTTTCTGTTGACAGTGCGCTGACCTCCAAATTCTTCCCATACAGCAGACTCTGTCCACACCCTGCGCCATGTAAACATTTCACCATTCGGATCGCGAACATATTCCTATTCCTATACTGAGGGGCCCTGGGAAGAGGGAGATTCTGCTGACAAAGTCGAGGCGAACCTCAACAATTTAGACGATGAGCTCGACGAAACGGAAAACGCGCTCTCAGCGTGGTCATCCTCTGATCCCCGCTCTTATATAGACTCGTATACGAGCACCGGCACATACACAGGCTCGCTATCTGTACTACCGCTTCCATCTTTGCTATAGGCTGGGCAGATTGGAGGAATTTCTTCAGGGTTTGTGTGACAAAGTTCCTCCACCCCCGATTTTTGATCGACGGCGGATGCGCCCCAAGAGCGACGACACGCAAGAGGACCATTTCCAGGGCCGTTATAGTACGCATCTTCCAGGTTGCACGAAGGCGCATATTTACAGATTTTTTTTAGCCTAACTTGTACGAGAATCTGCGCCGCCACCATCGCAATTGGGTCGTGATGAAGACGTTCGTGAGGAGGGTTGGTCACGGCACGCCACCAATCATACTGGAGAGTTTGAACGGTTACCACCCGATCTGTGCCAGTAACGCCACTTAGCATTTCGAACAACTCTCAGCATCTGTTGAAGACACCCTCCACCCCTTTACCGACACCCTAGGTTCGCACCAGCACGGCGACAGTAACGTAAACTCGGGTGACCTTCAACCGTCGCTAACGCGGCTTACATCCATGGCCTAGCACGAGAACGGCCCCTTGTCATTTAACTCATGAAAAGGGAGTCTCGAAGAATCCATGCAGGTTCGTAACTTATTTCGCGTATTGACGTATGTATTAATGATTCATCATGTAGCAGTATGGTGCGGACTCCGTGTATGGGCTTAATGGCGGGATGGACAACGACCGGTTATGATTCTTACGGGTTCGAGGGTAGCAGTACCCCATGGCGGAAGCGCCAATTGCTTTAGTGCCTTGTAATCTGGATCTCGTTATGGATTAGTCGCGGGTCGGGCTAGTAATGTTGTAGCTGATGGCAAGATGAATGGTTCGCACGGCCCCAAGCACAAGCGGGGTGACATTGACCAGGAATGTGTGTCGCAGCTAATTTATTATTCTTCTACATGTCTCACTACCGTTGTCCTCATCAAGAACTTGAACGGCAATCGTGTTATTCAGAAGTATCTCAACGAGTCGGCTCCCGAGGACAAGGGCCAGGTACGCTGTTTTGTGAAGATATGTACGCATGCTGACGATATCCGCTGTAGTTTATGTTGCCGTCAACTGCGTGGAAGTTGTGACACATTGTCATGGGTGTTGTGTTCTTCAGCCTGTATTGATCATGCATCGGACAACCAGCGCATTCAGCTCATCAACGAGATTACCTACAATGCTCTCACTCGGGTTCAAGACCCAGATGGTAGCTATGTGAGTGCATCTTCATCGTCCGATGTAGGTCGTTAACTAATTCGTTTTAACAGGGTCGTTCAGCACATCCTCGATCTGAACGACAATCGCTTCAGCGATGCGGTTATACGTCAGTTCGCCGGGAACGTCTGTGCGCTGTCGGTCCAGAAGTTTAGTTGCAACGTTATCGAAAAGGTGTGAAATGTTTTTTTTCTTCGGTTTAGAACTGTTCTGACGTTATGGATAGTTAATAGCGGATGGATGGCTTGTTTGTCAATGAAGGGCCCCCGAATATCATCCAACATTACCAGCAGATCCTTCGAACGACGTGTTTCCGATACTGGCAGGAGACAATCATCACGATCCAAGGTTATCTCAGCTTCTCTCCGTTGCTATGCCCTATCAAGCGGTAGTCATGCCTAGGCCGACATCTCTGGACTACCTTTTGGACAACGCTGCGATAGAGATCATGAACCAAGGCAGCGACAAATTGACATCCTACTGTGATAAGGGTATGTTATTCCCTTCCTCGTGATCTAACTGAGAGCTGACGTCGTGTTAGTTTGCGCGAGCTCGCATCTGAGGTCTTGCGGGTCGAAAGAGCTGGCGGTCAAGTGTCGATTTGTTATCAGTGCATTCCTTCCTTTTTCACTAGGAATCTTGGTTGGGCATACACTCTGTATACACAAATGCCGTCAGCATCTGTATACATCTATGTCGGAAACATTTACCTGTTTCAGTACTCGTAATAAATACGTTAACGAGCTTACCTTCTCTCCTGTTATCAGAAAGATCTCGTTTTCAGGCGCAATGATTAACAATATTCTGGGCCCTAAGTCGGACCACATACCTGCCACAGCATCCAACATTGTGCGGCCATGTATTTTTGCTTGAACACGCATCAACTTCGCGATCTGGTTAAATAAATGAAGAAAATTGGCAATATATTATTACAGATTGGCAAAAGAGAAACGAAGACATGTTCGAATACTGTAGGGAAAACGCGCCATTCAAGGTGTCTGCTGAGTGTGAACAACCTCAATCTCAAATGTCTGTGACCTCGAAACCATGGTTTCCGACTCTGCAAAATATGCATGCACCTCCTCAACGTGGTGCCCCAGCCTTGCAATCGTAAATTCGAGCTTGACTGTCCTAACACTTACACCCTTCTCAACTACCCATGTTCCACTTGAAATGGCCGGGGCAGATCCCTTGACGGTGGCCCTAGCAGCAATAACAGGTTTGTCCAGCTCAAACCAAAGGTAAAACTTTGGATCGACGGAGCAAACCTTGATTCTTCTTGGGCGCAAGTTGTGATTGTCGTCGGTCCTAGTCAGGGATAACATCGGGCCACGCTTGATGTTGAGAATAGTCAAGGGTGGACTATCCCTGCGAATGGTATGCTCCAGAAGCTTGCGAGCATATCTTTCAAAAGTCTCCGATGTCAACATATAGTTGTCATCATATATCTCAATGACGGTCTGACCGGCAGCAACAACCCATCCACCGCCACCTGCAAACTGCACGGAATACTCGCCGAATTCACTGAGATCTCCACGAGTCCATACTCTCTCGATAAGGAAGTCGGTGCTGTCGATGACTTCTGCAAGGCGACGTCGTACTGCCTGTTTGGAAGCAGCCATATCCAACATCCCGTCGCCATTCGCCCGAGTCTCAACATGGACACTGACTGTCAGCTGCACCGAGGGGTCTGCACTGAGTCCGTTATGCTTCAGATACCAGAGTGAGTGTGCAGACCCTTCCCCCACACTAACCCGCCCATATATCACACACCAACTGACATCCAACACTTTCTCAATCCACTCTGGAAGGTGCGCCCAGTTGGTGTATGTTATGGAATTTGTAGTCGTCGCCCAAGTTCCAGCATCCGGCAGCCCAAGAAGGCTCAAGACTGCATCGGTGGCTTCATCAGCGTTGAGAGACAATGCCATGTGATTCCTATCTATGCAGGTGATGCCGGGATGCTTATGATGGCGCCAGGACGTGTATTTGGATCACCTTGGGGATATAGATGAGTTTCAGTGTCGATAGCCAAGGCTCTGTAATCAGCCATTGTTTCACTGCCCAAATATGCACCGCAGCATGCGTCATACTGGTCGTAGGACCATGCCGCTGCACTGTTCCAATTCGACGTGACGAGCTCAAGGAGGTCATTGCGAGAATATGTATCAAGAGACGGTGTACTGATGTGATGGTCGTTGAGCCACTTTTGAAGTTCTTCATTCGACCACTTCGTGTATTCTGCATACAAGAGGTTCGCTATGGATTCCTTTAGTGCCTGGGGCCGTAATACGAGGCGTATCAGAGCCGAACCACGAAGCCTGGGCGCTGGCAACGGCGAGGACTGCCAATAACATAATGAAGGGTTTCATGGTGATAGACAAGAAAAGTTCACGAGATTTGAGGGATATACTCGAACGCGAAGTTTATAATAATATTTCAGAGCTTCTTGGTTAAATAATAGTTTTCGTGATACTAGTAACTACTACAGTTTGCGTGCCACAACGGTGTCCCAAATACACGCTATTTCAATGTGTCTGCCTCCTTGTGTAAATAACCTCAACCTCAAACATCTGTGACGTCGAAACCATTGTTTCCGAGTCTGCAAAATTTGCATGCACCTCAACAAGATGGTGACCCGGCATTGCGACTGCAAATGTAAACTTCACCCTAACGTCCCCCTCAACCACACGACTTTCAATCGAAATGGCATCCTCAGCCCCCTCAACAATGGCATCGGCGACGGCAATGGGTCTTCCCAACTCAAACCAAAGGGAAAATCGTGGAATGACAGAACGAATCTGGATCTTTTTCGGGTGGGACTCGTCGTGTTTGTCGGTCAGGGATAATAATGGACCTCGCTTGATGACGGGTGCAGCCAGGGGTGGACTGTCCCTGCGAACTGTATGTTCCAACAGCTTGCGGGCGTAGCCTTCAAAAGCCTCTGCCGTCAAATACATGGGCCCACGGTCACGTATATCCAGCACCGTCTGTCCTGCAACAAGGACAAAACGTCCACCGTCAAGGTCCTGCACGGAATACTCACCAAATTCATCAAGCTCTCCGCGAGTCCATACATCCTTAATATCACGAGAAGTGCTGGTGATGATTCTTGCAAGCTTGCGAAGTGCAGCCTGTTTAGAAGCAGCCATGTCCAAGACCCCGTCGGCATCTATCTCTGACGCAACGTGGACATCAATACTAATCGATGTCTCAGTGCTTGTCTGTCGTTCCAGCCGCCAGCATGCACTTGCGGTCGTCTCTGTCACACCAACATACCCCGTCTTCGCGATTGTGTCCCAATCGTCACCCAACACGTCCTTGATCCACTCTGGAAGGTGCGCCCAGTTGACATATGTTATGGAACTGATAGTAGTCCCAGCTTCAGGCAGCCCGAGAATGGTCAAAACCTCGCTACTAGAGTCGGTATGATCCAGAGAAACATCCTATGCCACTGATTTACGCAGGTGACACCGGGTTTCATTATGGGGCGGCCAGGACGTTGCTGTGTATCCATGCTCCGGGTTAGGTATTCGGAGATGCTTTCAGTTCCTAAATACGGACCAGAACATGCGTCATATACGATGTGACGATCGAGAGCGTGACTGGGTTGACCATAACCGACTGCTTGGTAGGTATGACAGCCGAAGGGTTTACGAGTGGGGTCTTGAGGTCGAAGGTGACTGCGAGTCTGGTCGGTACCAAAATACGGGTTGTTGACAGTCAATAGGTTGCCATCACGGTCAACGACGCCAACAAGATGGGTATCCTTTATATAGCCAAAGGGGTTCTGTGCTACCCAGTGCATCGGAGGATCGCTGGCCCTAAGACCGAGACTGCACGTGAGCTCCACGATGGCGCGTCCCTGGTCTCCCTGATTCGTCAGACATAAAATAGTTCGCCAACTGAAAAGGCCCGCCATCAATCTTTACGCCGAAGGCTGCCCGACCTGTAATAGTTCAAGTCAGAATGGATGCATCGAGGCTTGAGCTCATGGATCAACATACCCTCTGCAGTGTCATATATTTTATGATACTCTTCAAACGCGCGCCGCGTCATTTCTGTTTTCCAATCGGAGCCGTCGGATAAGTCAGAACTGGGTGTTGAAGGCAACACCACGCGCAAAAATTCGACAGGTATCCCACCACGCTTGAATGCTGGATGCAGACGTTGAGCAATCCAGTAAAGTTCTAAGCGCGTCTTCTCCGGCCTGATGCACTCCACCTTTTGCCCTGATAGCCTCAGCGTCATCTCCCATTCGACATCTCCATTCAACGCGAATGGTTTTGTGCTTGTGTTGGGTTCGGTGATATGAATGTTGACCGCAATGCTTGACAGAGTGCTAATCAGGAAATCGTCGCTCTGTAAGCCCACTCTGCTGCCTGGAGCCCATCCGCTAATATAACACTCAGCTCCGATGAGCTCGCAGTCAAGAACTGTTATGGACATGGTGAGGGCGGACAAATCGGAGAGTTTCGAGCCAAACTCGTATGCGAAAGCATTCGGCCGTAAAGAGCCTGTTCTACCATCTATCCAACCATCCGCGCTGGATTGATTCCAGAGTTCATGCGGCTCGTCGGTGCGGCTTGTTTGGGTATCGCGAGAGTTGCGAACGGGATGATCTGAGAAGGCACTTATTCGCTCGATCTGGAAACGATACCTTTCTATGTCCTGGTAATCAACTGAACTAACAACCTTAACCGGATTCCCCCCAGCGTCAACCTTTCCTTTAGTCCAGTCTTCCCCACTTGAGGCATAGAATGAGGCGATATAGAGGGCTGCAGGAGCAATACAGTCAATGTCGACTTTATTGAGCTTCTTCCTGATAGACTGAACACAACCCAGGCGGCCTGACAGATACGTGTTTGGGAGTAGATGTTCGTTTCGGTCTCCACGTCGACTGCAAAACTGGAAGGAGAACCACCCGTCAGTTCCGGTAAGCCCTATAGAATTTTTGAGTCGACATGTTGGTGAGGCTCCCGGCCTAATCTCATCCGGGACATCCGTCCATTTTCCATGGTCCGTGCCAACATCGTGTCGCACTAGGGCTTCACCGGTGTTGTTTTCTATCGTTAAATAAACGGAGAAGTCGAGGAACATCTACAAGGAATCAACTCTTCATGACCGTCATATAATATAATCAAAGCTACCTCTTGACTGATGTTTGCAAATTCAGTATGGTCACTGGGGTTCACTGCGAACAAACTAATTGACCTGGTAGGATGATAGCAACGGTCAGTAAAGTCGGATGTGCCTAAAAAAACAGCGTACGTTCTGCTCGCTTAGGTCGCCAAGGTCCTGGACTTGGAGAAAACCACCCTGGTAATTACACGAACTAACAACGTCAGCGAGGTCAATGTTAATTGTTGGAAGGGCCTTGGAAATACCCACTTTTATGTCGCGCAATCGAAATGTTCTGGCAGGACAGAATTTGAGACCCGGCAAGACGCTCGCCTCAGAAAAGAACGGACCGTGAGTCTGCAACTGAAGACCACTTGAGGATGAAAGGATTGGACTAGCAGAAAGGAACGAAGGGACACGTAGACGAAAAGGTGCTTGTAATTTTGAAGCCGTCAATATTCTATGGTTCTTTTTGCCATTTGGTGTCGAAACCTCCCAATAAGTCACGGCTCGGTTCCATGGTTCCTCATTCGAAGCCTTGCTCATTGTACTATCCACCTGCAGAGGCTGTCAGCTTCAATTAAAATGGCGGGGCCAAACAACTTCTATGCCATTCATAGAAGAAGTAGGAAGCATTGCGAAGATCGTTCTGCGGATAACTGCAAGAAGGCACGTCGATCAGGGCGAGGTTCAAGATTCGAATACAAGATTCAAGTCCTCTTGTACAATGCCGATAGTTGTTCTGTCTAACGAGGTTTCCGGTTCCAAACCTAAATCTCATCAGGAATCTTATACTGAAAAACGTCGTCACTTGTACAAATGCGGAATATTATTGAAAACTACAACACAGCGATTTCTTTATTTTCTTCTGCCAACACCATCTCTTCTAAATGGTAGGTACTTGTTAGTAAACATTTATCCAGTCCTCTGCGATTACAATCCAGCCTTCTTGTCCTGCACAGCAGCGTACACCAAGAGGTCGCAGACACGACGCGAGTAGCCCCACTCATTGTCGTACCAGGCGATCAACTTGACAAAGTTCTTGTTGAGTTGGATGCCCGCCTTGGCATCGAAGATGGACGAGGCGGAGTGGCCGACAAAGTCGGTGGAGACGACGGCGTCTTCGGTGTATTCAATGACACCCTTGAGGGGACCAGAGGCAGCAGCCTCCTTGACGGCAGCCTTGATGTCGTCGTAGGAAGCATCCTTTTCAAGACGGGCGACGAGATCAACGACCGAGACGTCGGAGGTGGGCACACGGAACGAGAGACCACTAATATACATGTTAGCAAATAAAAACTCATCGGTATTATGACATACGTGAGCTTTCCGTTCAAGGAAGGAATGACCTTTCCAACGGCCTTTGCGGCACCAGTGGAGGAAGGAATGATGTTGTTGTTGACACCACGGCCTCCACGCCAGTCCTTGTTGGAGGGACCATCAACAGTCTTTTGGGTGGCAGTGGTGGCGTGAATGGTGGACATCAAGCCCTCAACGATACCGAACTTGTCGTGGATGACCTTGGCGAGAGGAGCAAGACAATTCGTTGTGCAGGAGGCATTGGAAATCTGCAGATACAGTGAAGGGATGAAGTCAGCGATGAATTGAGAAGGACGTACGACTTTGTAGCTTGGGTCATAAGCATCAAGGTTGACACCGACGACGAACATAGGCGCATCAGCAGAAGGCGCAGAAATGATGACCTTCTTGGCACCGCCCTTCAAGTGAGCAGAGGCCCTATCGACCGGAATCAGTACCCCGCATTCATCCGATCACGAAACGGAGGAATAATAACGCACTTGTCGATGGTAGTGAACACACCCTGCATATCGGAGATTCATTATACCGCCAGACAGATCAAGACATGAAATACATACGGTGGACTCAACGACGTATTCAGCGCCGACGGAACCCCAGGGAATCGCGGAGGGGTCGCGCTCGCCGTAGACAGTGATGGGCTTGCCCTCAATGTAGAGCTTTCCGTCCTTGGCTTCGACGGTACCCTTGAATCGACCATGGACCGAATCGTACTTGAACATGTAGACCTAGGCCCTAAAGTGAGACATGCCGAGTAGCGGAGCAGAACGGGAGCAGACCATGTAGTCAAGGTCGATGAAAGGGCTGCATATATACGCATCAGTAGACTTATCGATTGAAGAAAGAGAAGAACGCGCACTCGTTCACAGCAACGACTTCGATTTCAGAGAACTGGAGAGCATTTCGGAGGACGATACGGCCAATACGACCTTGTATGCATTGTCAAACGACAGTACCAAAGCGTTCCACCATTGAATACTCACCGAATCTGCAAGGGAAATGCAGCCCAGTCAGATACTACCACGAAATCCGATCCCCAAAGAAAGCATACCCGTTAATGCCAACTTTGACCTACGAGATCACAACGGATGAGTACGGACAACATGGAAGCAAAGACAAAGACGATACCATGATGATTGCAGATGTATCAGACGATGAGTATAATTCAAGGTGGTGGTAATGAGCGAAGAGGAGGACAGGGTACCGGGCGCCTTTTATGCAATCGCGTAATCTGATCAAATCTGGGGTCTCCCAGTCCCAGGGTCTCTGCTGACCTTTGGGGTCTCGCCGTCGTCAACTCTCTCCATTCCCATGTCAAATATTCATAGTTCTGTAGTATTCGGCATGGAGAATAAGGGCATAGTAGGACCGTAAAATTACCAGTATTCTAACTTGTACGCCTTGCCCCGGCACAAACTCCACCCGCAGACTTTAGATTTATTCCGTCAAGCCCTCACAAGACACCTTTTCAGGAGTCCTGTCGTCAGAACGGTCGTCCGGCTCGGGTAGAGTCGGACGATATAACATTCTTGCCTAGCATTGTACACAAGGATACTTCGAACTTCGAGATGCGAACGATGGCATCCAGACCGTGAGGGTGCACGTTCCTTGGGCACTGCACAGCCTTACTCATTCCTCAATTCAGTTCCTTGCTTCACGGTAACGGATTTGTGTAGTGGATAGTGGAGGCCGGCGTGATAGCCATGATGAGTCATTATCTAACTACGCGCCCTAGCCTAGCCTCACTGCTTCCCGTCGAGATGGCTCGGTAACAGCCCATCCCTCTCACCCCTCCCTGCCCAGGCCTGACGAATCCTCCACGCAGTCGCTAAATTGAGCGCACCAGCCACTCCAAGAACGACCTCGACGATAAGCTGGCGATAAACACACGCGCCCATCATATTCACGAGTCCAGTCGCGAATACCACGCAAAAATCCGATGTGGGAACATCCACATTCACATCGGACATCCAAGCCGATATTGAGAAACTGCACACGTCTTAAATTTAGGAGGAAGGGGGGGAGGGGTTCAACCTACCCCAAGTTAACCAGACCCGTCAAACCTAGTACACACATTGAATATAATACAATAATTCATTAATAAAATACGCACGCCATCTGTACCGCAACGATCAGCTCCTGAGCAAAATATTCAACTCGTGAGGACTTACAGGACATCTACCCAATTAACCATCACGTTTCACTGCGGAGGTTTGACGTTTTGCGGGGGCACATGAACAATCACAGTCTCCTAAGAGGCCTTGGTTTATATCCTATATCCAACGCCCAGCTTTACGAAATCCCCTAAAGCCGCTACATCTCCAACTTCCAAGTCCATGTATCTTCTCAAATACAAATGTCCCATGTATATGTGTATGTACAGACAGAAAGGAAACATGCAGGCGGTATAGGTGTAAGGTATATAAAAGTCAGTACAATAAATCCCCACTTCACGACGGTAACGGCGGCACAGGAGGAGCTCGTTGCGAAGGCCTCTTCAACCTCCGCTGCTCCATCTCCTTGGCCCGTTGCTCTTGTTCGGCTTGCATCTGTGACATGATCTGAAGCTGCTGAGCGATAAACTCTGAGGTGCCCGGTCTATCGGCCAACAAATGTTATCAGTTTACAACCCAGCGCAGCACAACGACAATCGCACCTCATTCGTAAGATCTGCAAAATCGTCTCTCCATTCGAGACCTCCTTCTCCTGTCGTTTTTCCTTCTTACGCTCCTTGATCGTCCCAAGATTCCGTTGAGAATATACGCTCTTTGCTCGTCTTTTCATCGTAGGACTAGAGCTCAAGCTCTGTTGCATCATCCGAACACATTCCTCCATCAACGCGTCCCTGTGGCGTAACAATCATCAAGAGCCAAGCACTTGGCGATAACACTCGACTTACGTATGCCAATCATAATACAGCCGTATGGAAACGACGTCTCGGTACTTTTGGTTTTGAAGCGCCTCCAGAGGAACGGGTCCTTCACCTCCAGCATAGAAGTAGTCTCGTAGGAACTACCAAAAAACCAATCAATACATACAACATGGGAACCAGAAAAAACTCACTTTCAGCCACTTGAAGACAATATCAACCTCTTTGTCACTGAGAGGCTTCATGTCGCTCGATACTTCGGATAGCGGTGGAATGAGCAGCCCCTCGATAACATTCAGAATTTCCTTCCAAACACGTGTCATGACCTTCTCCTTCGCCGTATCACTCAGATACGTATTAAGCGTCTGCAAGTTCGCATCAAAGTAGTCGAACAGAGGCAATATAGCCTGTTCAATCTCCACATCCGTCAACTCCTCTGGCCTCACTCGAGGCTTCTCGGCGCTGGGAAGAGGTATCTGCACATCACTCCCAGCCGTCCCAATCGCAGACCGGTACAGTGCTGTGACATTACCCAGAGCACGATTGTAATCCAACCCAAGATTACCACCTTTCATCAGCGTCTTCACCACGCTCCGCGAAAGACATTGTCGGATAAATGGTGACATCTACCGCGACATCAGCTAATCATATATTATTACACATTGTGGAACTGACCTTATCGATGAAAATGCGGAGCATATCTGCTTCAGCCCGCTTTAAAGAACGGAACGCGCGCCCGAAGTAAAATTGTATATCGTCCTTCTCGCCTTCCATACTAACTCGGACCAATATCCGTCCTTGAGTATCCAGGTCCATCCAAAGGTCGTGCGTCAAAAAGTCTCCAAACCGCCGAGGATCGAGGCACAAATACGCTCGTCCAACAGTGTCATGCCTCCCCACTAGCGCACGATCCCGCACGCTGACCATCAGCCACAGAGCCTTGTCCACGGATATATCAAAAGTCTCATCCCCTATACAGCCAAAACCTATCAGTACAAAGATACTAAAACGGTGGCTGCAGATAAGACTCACAACGCGGATTCGTCGTCTCATAAATCGTCCGTGTTTTCGCTAGCCGATTTCCCGCTTCGTCGCTCAGTGTGATAAAAGTGTCAAGCTTCGACGTAGGACTCGATTCTAGCGGGACAAGACCCTCTGCAATCACAACCTTGACAGTGAACAAGAATCGTTCCCGTTCCACCTTTTCAGGCACTGGAGGAGCACTGTTCATGATAACATCAGCAAGCTTGTCCGCCTCCATCTGGTTGTACATATTGTCCAACAATCGCCGAGCAGCCTCGACATTGTTCAACTTGACACACGATTGAGGCTGGAAGTTGAAAGGTTCAACCCTCTTCTCTCCTGTGATGGCAAGCTGTCGCGCTCTCTCCAGCCAGGCTGAAGATCTTTGAGGTTGCAGGTAGTCACTAGGACGCGGGAACATCTCTGCCAAAAAGAGGCTTTCCACGCTTCGACAGTACTGTTCGACGGCTTTGGAAATAGTCTAACACCCAATCATTATGACCTTCGCGAAGCATCATAGAAATAACTAGGTACCTTGGATAGCGCCGTGAAGAATCGTGCGCCCTGATAATCATCTTCCCACTCCAGATCTTGCAGGAAGTTTATAGGGCTTCGTAGGGAATCAAACAAGTCGACAATCGAAGAACTATGTCCTTCTGCATCCTCCGCTTCAAACTACACGGGGCTTAGTTAAGACATAGAAACGGAATAGAATGGGGAACAAAAATACCCTATCTGCGGCGATTGCCTATAGTCATGGATAGTTGAACAATCTGCATCACAAAAACAATTCACTGTCGACTTACTGCTTCAACCCAATTGCCGGTTTTACTATCGGTGTTCAAGAGCCATTGCCGCACATAAGGCTCAAAGAACATATTTATGTCGAACTCTATTTGTCCCCTGTATATCCTTCTCAGCTGAGTTGCCAAATGTGCAGCACTGTTCCACTCACGATGGACAGAACGCAGCAAACATCCCTAGAAGCGTCTTCGTCCGTCGATACAACGCAAAAATGTCTTGTATCGGAACGTCCGGCGTCGGCCCATTCATAGAAGACTCGAACAGCCGCTTCTGGGAATTGTTCAAATCTGCGACGAAACGCGGTATTTGTATTTCAACCATCAACGATACCAAATCGAGTTGCCTACACTATTATTTAGAATGCATCGTTAGAAGCTAGAAGTGACGTACCCTAATATAGGCTCAGGGAATCGCTTATCCAGAAGCTTAGCTGACTTCTCAATCTCATCCGTCATCAATAACAATGGAAGTGCACGGTTGACCCCGGGCGCAGAGCTCAACTCATGCATCTTCCTTTCATAGAACTCACCAGCCACCTGTCGTATTCGCTCTTGAACGTCAGATAACCGGACATTGATGTCTACGTCAAACCGCTCGAGTAGTCCGCTGTCCCGCACCTGTTCAAGCACGGACAGATATGGCTCTATGTCTGCTGGTTTGAGCTTCACAAGATCGTCCATGGCATGGTACAGCGACGACAAGAAAATGTTGAACAAGCTCCCATAGATACTTGATAGATATTCAGTCTGACAGGGAAAGTTAGTGTTGATGATACATGCACTAGGAGGAAATGGCGCCTTACATCCTGTGTCGGCCACTTTTCCAAGTCCAAGTCATTCATAGCTTTTGCAATGTTCTGCAGACCTTCCGGTATACACTCTAACGGAACATCGCCACGTTCATAGAACTGCCGGACTAGATCAAGGAAACACGCTGCTCGATAAGAATGTCCAATCCTCCACCGAACCGCGCATTCGTTCAAAAGATCGATATGTGGTGCAGAGAGGATGCCTAGCGAGACTTCGTCGTTATCGTCCACCTCAGGACTGAGCATAACCTCAAGGTCCGCTATTAAGCATATTTCCAACAGCCTCTTGTAAAATCGCCTCGGATTGGGGGGAATGTACGTAAAGTGATGGCCGACCTGAATATCATCGTCATCTATGTCGGTAGCATCTCCATTGAAGTCTCCATTGTTGAGCGCGTCATACAAAGAGCGTCGGCTACTTATCGAAGGAGTCCGAGATGCAGCAGTAGGGGTATCCAGGGGCGCATATACAGATCCAGGTCGCCTTGTAGGAGGTGAAACGTCTGATGGGGTCGACTTCGCAAGTTCTGGGTTGTATTGGACCATTGCCACCATCGTCTGCTGTAGATGGGTGGTCTCCAATGTCTTCCAGTGCTGCCAGGCAGCATCTGAGTCGAAATCTTCTCTTCGTCCTGGAAAGGGCGCTCCGGCATTGATGTTCTTGAGACATGTCTAGAACAAAATTTAAATATAAAGGCCGTGACTGTTAAGACCATAAGTAGATGCACCTTAAGGTCTGTGAGGGCGGCTTTGTCTGTACATATGCTCTTCATCTGATCAATCTCCTGCTGCACTGCAGACTCTGATACTTTAAACAGACCAGCGACGATACGGACTAAATCCATGTCTGCTACATTGCTGCTGACTGACAGTGAGAATGTTGAATCGCGATCCCGAGAGGTCGAGGATGATTCGTATCCAGAGTCGCTCGTCGACTGAGCAGGTGCGAGCTTGGCTGTATAAATATCCAGTCGCGAAAGCAGCTCTGGTGTTACGTGGCTCAAATTTTTGAGGCACTCCCGGAGCAATTTGATGAAGAGGGCGATTTGGTTGTTTAGTTCCAGCTTCCAGCCTTCGCCGGCAAGAGTTGGCTCCTTCTTGAGAACCCCGGTAGCATGCGTGGCGAACATGAGGATAAGTTCCTCGATTTTGCGGTTTTCCTTCATCTGACGCTTGAAACTGTCGACCATGAACATTCCGTAGAATTTGGCCATTGTTCTCCGCACAAGTTGGTCAGAATAGCTAGGACATCGACTCAGTATTAAGATGAGCATGAGAGTCATGGATACACACCCAGCATCCTTCCCCATTGCAATGTCCTGAAGTTTTTGCTCCAGCACTTTCAACAGCTTCTCCGGAAACTTGACACTCTTTGGCCCATCTCGGATGTCCTTGAATATATCGCCTATGGAAAAGTTGGATAAAGCAGAAAGTCTTGATATGTGTTCGCGCTCCTTAGATTCCGAAGCTACATTGCTGGTTGTTTCGGTTGTCTTGGGAATCAACAGATAACTCAAGAATCTGAAGGCCAGTAAAGATCCGTTTGGGAAGATACGGAGAGTGGTACCCACGATACACGTAAAACATAACTACGAAGCCAAAATCAAGTACGCGACCGCAGAGAAATAGAAAAGGCGCACTTGAATAGCTCATCATCCGTGACCCGATACTTGGATAATCGCTTCTCATGCGCGTAGCTATTGTGACTGCGCCTTGACATTAGCAACAGATAAGAGGACCAGATGAAGTAGATTAGAGGGAATTCCGACGTAAATTCTCGTGAATGACACTGGAAATGCTACAGTCGGTCCAGGACTGTATCAGGGCGGGTGGGATGGCACATGCAAGTAGCTGAACCCGCTTGAGATGATCGCATGGCCCCGCCGACAAACAGCAGCAAATTTTACCGTCCCAATTTGGAACCGGCTGCTAGTATGCCGTACTACTACGCGATCATAGCTGCGGTACCTCAAGGCTGTATGAACAGCTCTTCTAGCACGATTTTACATCCACAAAATACTGGGAAGGAACCAGAGCATTCGATGGAGCGTTACTATCAGCCCTCCGTGTGAAAATCTGATTTTTATGCAAGGGAATAGATGTGCATTTTAGACCAAATGTCGAATGTGCATCTTGCTCAGTCCCGGCAGCCGTATTTGTCATATTGCTTTAGAACTTGCCATATATTTTCAATTACTTACGTTGACGATTATAGTTCAATGCGGCACTCTCCGCCAGCTGCCGCCATACTTCGCGTTTACTGATTTTCGAAGGAAACCTTGTGTGCATTTCTCTGCACTTCTATCCCACGTTCTGTCCATTGTCGCCTTCAAGATACAGCCCGCATCTACAACAGAAGCTAACCGCTTTACATGAGCGGTAGGATTTCCCATCTATCTACCCCACAGGCAGCACTTCCAATGACCACCAGGTTTACACGTCAACTGACGACAACAGAACTTCGTGCACATCCCTCTACAATACATTCAACCCCTTGCTGCTCAAATGCACTCATCATTTCCCTGCTGCGAAGCAGTGATCCTGCGCCTTCGTATACAACCACATATTTCTTCAGCTTTCGAACGTTCTTGTCATCACATACCATGTGATCCACAATCCCCAGCAAGACAGCGGCGCCGGGGCTGAGCTTGAAGCAAATTTCCTCCGTCACATCCAGAGCGGTTATATACAACGAGAGTAGAAAAGCATCTTGCATGTCGTTAAGATGAAATTCTACACGCTTGGCCCGACACACAGACGGCGCCGCTTCAAAACTGATCTCACGGTGACAAAACGGAGGGAGATTGACAACCAGGACGAGGTTATCAAGAACAGGTGCCTGACGCAAGAGTTTTAGTAGCTCTATGTGATCCCTTTGACTGTCGATCGGGACTCGAAGGTGGCGCAGATTTTGAATTGTCACTGCTTTGCAGATATCAAGCCATCTGAAGTCGTTCCTCACGCCCGAGGCGAATTCTATGCTGTCGACGTGAATCGGGTTTGTTGCCAGTGCAGGTGGGGTTGACGGTCTATGCTCTGTCGCGCCCGTCCCATAACCCTCGAAACGCAATTTCCGTAGATTCGGGCCGAGTGCGGAGAAGGTGGCAAGAAGGTGAAGGTGGCGATTACTATTCGCAGAACCAAAGGTGGCTGCATGGAGACGACCATGACTTCTCAGGCGTTCTGCCACTCGCCGCGGCACCATTGCCGGGCTGGATCTGAATGTTACATGCTTGACGTTGGGGAGATGCGCAAGGAGCGCGTCCAGACTCCGTGACTCCAATAGGTCGCAAGAATCGCCAATGGTCAGGCTGCGTGTACGCGTTAGTAATTCCCCCTTGGCAGTATATTGTAGGAGATTTCGGCACGTTGACGGCTTCGAGACGGTAATGGTGTGAAGCAAGACAATCTGCGACGGCGTAGTCCAAGCTCTAGTGACCAGAGAGCATGCTAGTAAGGTGAGTGTGTCTCTAAAGCCAACGTCGTGTAGGATGATCTCGATGAGTTCTGTAGGTAAGGAATCCGCCATTCTGAACGGTTCGACGCCACCGATAGGCTGAGAGAGTGGGTGGTTCTAGGTGGTTCTTTTTTTTGGCTTTTTTATATGCTTTTATATGTCTTCGAAACGCAATTCACGTGCACATGCAGGTATTGTTCTTTTCAATTACGTCCGAAACCGCGTTCATTGATATTGTTCACCAGAATAATGCTGAATTTTGTGGCTCTTTGACCATGACGCGTACGAAAATTATCAATCCTATACTTAGTCTGCCACCGATGCGCTTTTCCAATTGATGGGCGCGCGGCCATCCTCTAGATGGGGTCGCTGTACCTGTCATCTATCGACCTAATAATGAGCTTGTGGCTTTGCTTGGGATTAAATTGATGCCACAGGCTCAGCCTTGGCCTTTCTCTCATAGCGCTGACGACCAAGACAACGTTTCCATGGTAGCAAAACTACTGACCTCTTTGTTGATACTTTGGTACCGGCTTCGGCTACTTCTCCCGGTGGAGAATAGTACAGGAGGTCACGTATAACGGTGGATAAACTGACGGACTAGGTTGCGAAAAGATCGAAAAGAGATAGCCTATTTACGCTAATAGACACAATACGGTAATATCAATAGATTCTGTAGCTACAGTACATATAATGTACAGTTATATAGTAGAATATCTCAACTCTACAGTCGGTCTTGATGTAAATCAGTCCTTCCACAACGGTTTAACAACCGCCCACACAACTTCCCTGGCGTTCTCCAGCTCGTCACGAAACTGCCTATCAGCGACACTATCCAAAAGTCCCCTCCTCTCCCACCTCTGCTTCCTGAATACTTTGTACATCCTCCCCAATATATCCCAATACCTCTCATCACTGAACGATTCGTCTGCCATCTCAAAGAACTTACCTACCATCTTCTTCGTGATATCCCTTGGCCCTAATGCCGACAAGTCCGCCAAAACTGGCCACGGAATATCCTCAAAAGCCAACGGCTTCCTTCGCGAGAATGACGCGTCTTCAAACTCTCCTAGGCATCTCTGAGCACGTTTAATGGCCTTTTTGTCAGTCCAAACATTCCTGCGACTGTGCTCTTCTTCCCTCTCTCGCTGGAGTGCAGTAAGATCATTCTGGAGGGAGTCTATGCCCACTAGAAGATGTCTGATCTCGACATCCTTATTTCTTGACTGGGTGCGCAACGTCTTGACCTCTTTAGAAAGCACCTTCGTTTCATCCAACCCCATGGATACGATTTTCTGCATCACCACGGCTTTGGCGCGCAAGCTCTTTGTCTCCTTCTCCGCCACCTCCTTCTCTTTTACAGCCACAAGAAGCTTCGCCTCCAAATCAAGCCTACGCGTCTCCAGACCGACGGCTGTGCCCCCAAAGTTCTTATTCTTCTCTTTCAGCTCGTCAACCTTGGCATGCAGGACTTTGACTAGGCTAGTCCTTCGCTGCCATCTCCAAATCGCAACGAGCCTTCTCATCTTCCAACTCCTTCTTCTTGTTCTCCAAATCGCTCTCCTTCCTGCTCCATTGCTCTGACTCAAGCCTCATGGCATCCCGCTCTGTTACGAGCATCTCCAATTGACGATCCTTTTCCAAAAGCATCTTCCGCAGTTGGTCAATCTCGCAGGTCATCTCACAGCACTTGGACACGTCCATCTGGCGTTTCCCCTCTGAGGCCATCAACTGGCGGTCTTTGACCCCAAGCAGATCCTCCAGCTCTTTATTTCTCTGCTCGAGACCACTCAACTTGAGGTTCTGGGCCTCCACATCCACCTTCATATTATCGATGGTCCGCTTGAGTGCATCAGATTCCTCTGCATAGACCTTACTTTGGGAAGCTAGTTCCAGTCGAACTTCATCGAATTGGCGGCGTAGTATCACAGATTGAGCGATTTCGTTCTCCAGCTCAGTCTCGAAGCCCTCTGATTGCTTGTGCTGTTCTTCAGCATAGCTCTGTGCGAGCGAGAGCTCCTCACGGAGAGCATTTAGCGATTCAGATGCTTGAACATCCGCAGCTTGCCGTAGCATTCTTTCATGCTTCAAGTCACGAATGTGAGCATGCAGGTTCTCGACTTTGCTAACAAGTTCGAGTTCACGGGAAGACCCCGATGGCTATTTCCAGTGTTATTAATAAGAGAATGAATAATTTAAGCTGGAAACGTACAGGTAGAAGGATAGGATTCGGTAGTATGTCGCAGTAACTTATATTTACTTCCCCACCGGCGATGGAAGAAAACGCAGGACTACGTATAGCTTGTACAGCTGTAGCGGCTTTAGAAAATCAATCAATCAATCCATTGTGCACAAAACATGACTCCAGAGAAGTTACCTTGTTCTGTGTCGGCGAACCTGATCGTGATCGTTGAGGAAACGTCGATCCTGGCAAAGAAAAAAGATATCAAAATCTAGCCCGGGTAACATCACCTGAAGCAACACTCACCCTTTCAACTCGCCGAACTGCAGTTAGAACAATCAGATGTGAGAAACAGTTGTCGAAAGTAGAAATTGGGCCGTACCATCCGAAGGTGTTGCAACAGCTTCATAATCCAAGGTCTAGCCTGGGAGCCTGAGAAAGCAAGATTGTTCTACATAGATAAAGCATCAGCGGTGCCAGTAGACACAATGCACGGATGCATTACCTCTACTTTCAGGGATATCAGGCAAGAATCACTAGATTTCCTTTGTCCATCTCGGGCAACTTGCGTTTCGTTGTAGAGGCGAGCACGAGAAGGGTTGCGAGCGATCACATAAGGATTACCGGTATGCTTCATGGCGACATTCCATCGTGAGTCAGGGTATTGCATTGAGAAATTCAAGCAGGCAATCGATATTGTCAGAGGATGGCGATGCTGTTGTTGTTGTTGTTGGTGGTGGTGGTGGTGTTATATGAGCGCTAGAGGTCAAGGCGGACGTCGGATCCGTTTCCGACTGTATGACGCATCGGACCGGCAAAGAGGAGTTGCCACTGCCAGGCCACCAACGATGACTCGAGGAGTGACTTAAATACATGCTTGCACTTAACCTCATCCGATGCATAATTTCATAGATGGTTACCGTTCAGTGAAATAATTAGCGCCTCTAAGTATACTGGTATTGGATAAGTATCATCTACCAAATTACAGTTCATCTCGTATTTCTTCCGGTGGTTGTAACGGCACCCGCTGTTCATCAGTCCGTGGTATCGACTCGTCCTCCTTAACCTCCTCCTTCACCGTCGCTTCCACCTTCTCAGCTGTCGTCGTCGCCGTCTTCCTCGGTCTTGGCACCTTTCTCTTCCACAGCTTTTGCAAATGCTGCTCTAGCACCTTTGCTCTTGCCTTCATCTCGGTCGTCTCGATCACCGGATCCTCGTTTAGTTTGACCGATTTTTGTTTCTCCACCCATGTGTTCAGCCACGTCTCATGCTCCTTCAGCGTCTTCTCTAGTGCATCTAGTTCCTCCTTGGTCCATTTTGACGGAAGATCTTCCGCAAGTTCCCTTGTGAGATTCTGTCTCGCCTCTGTGAGGAACAGTCGTGTGCTCCAGTTCCACATCTGACTGTTGTTTAGTGCTTGAGGGAAGTTGGCAATTTCAGTGTAGCGATGCACGATAGGCCTCTCTAGGGTCCTAAAATAGCAAACAGGTCAGCGAGAACACAAACACAAAAACACAACACGTACTCTAAAGCTATACGCTTGTCCAAGAACTGTGACGTTTCAGAGACATCACCTTTATCGTGAAGCCACGTTATCGTCTCCTCCAGCTTTTCTGCGATAGCGGCGCGCTCTGAGTCTTGTGAGCACTCCTTGAAGGGCGTATCGCGGTTCTCGGGGTCAAGGAGATCTCTTAGTTTGTACAAGTAACTCTCTAGCGTGTTTCTGGCCTCCTCTTTGCGGTTCTTCGCGGCCTCGTCCACATCGACTTCTCTTAACCTGGAACGACACAAATTCAGCTCAACAAACAAAAGGAAAAGACGCGACCGGACCTTCGACGAGCCACCCGTTTCTCTTCAACAGTCATCGGAGGTATAGATGTGAAGTGCACAGTCAGGTTCAGAGGAATGGTCGTCAAATCTTTCAGATCCACTTTCTCAGCCTTCGCTTCGGGTGCTGCCGATGTAGAAGGTGCAGCCTCAGAGACTGAGGGAGCTTCAGCGGCACTTTCAGTCTCCGTCTCTGCGTCGGACGACGATGAGCTACCGGCTCCGAAGAGACCTTTCAGCTTTCCTACACGATGGAATTATTAAAACTGATCATTCATTCGTAACGACTTGACGTACCTGCGATAGACTCGTCCTTTATTTCCCCAAAGGCCACTGCTTCGGTGACAGAAACAAATCCAGATTCCGAAAGCATCAGAGTAGCCTTAACCACAGGGTCGATGGCGCCACGCTCAGTAAGATTACCAATAGCTTCAGCGACGCCCGACACTTCCACTTCCAGTATGCGAGTAGGGAAGCCTCTATGCGAATCTTAAAAACAAGTACGACATAGCTTGGGAGAGTGACTTACGGAGCAGGTGCAGTCTTATAGTCCAGGTATATATCGAAATCCTCCTTCCGCTTCAAAGTCAATGTCTTCTTGGAACCCGTCTTGGATCCAGCTGGGAATATTGTGGTAGATATGCTACGAGGCTTGGCGTTGGAAGATGCTGGTGCGGCAAAATAAGCCGCTTGTATATCGTGAACACCAATGTCCTGGACCTTGATATTCTTCGTTTTGAATTGACGACTGAGGCTGGCGCCGTGAAGACCAGCACCCAACACGGCAGCTTCATCAGCGTTGACATTGAGAGAAATTTTGTCACTAGTGAAAATTGATTAGCACTGAGAGTAGCACGAGGACAAAGACAAAGACTAACTCTCCAACAGCAGCTTTCACGGCAGCTTGGATCATGGGCGTACGCGTACTCCCTCCCGTCAATATGACAGACGTGATATCATTCAGACTAAGCCCTGCCTTTGTCAACGCATCGTATATTGGCTGGGTGTACTTTCCCTTTAAGTCCGCACAAGCAGCCTCGAACGACGCCCTAGTAACCTTTGTCCGGAAGTCGATATCAAAGGCTACACTCTCCACAGACGCAACAGCATCGGTATTCGCGCTGAGGATGGCCTTGACGCGACTCGCCTCCTTCCACAGCTTCGCCATGCCCCGCTTGTCCTGGCGTATGTCCCTCTTATGCTTGCTCACAAACTCGTTAACCAGCAGTTCCCTTAACCGGCGGTCCAACTCTGTACCACCGACTGTGCGGTCATAGCCCACACCCGCAACAGCAATGTGCGTCGCTGGTGTATCACTCTTCAATGATGAATCAGTGCTGAACGACACGACGGTGGCGCGAACAGACGAAGCACCAGCATCATAGATGATGTGGTATTCCTGCTTGGGAAAGGTGCGCGTCATGGCATAATTCACCGCGACAGCTGTTCCGTCATTGATGAGGGCAAGCGTCCGTAGGCCTGATATCTCGATGGCGTCTGCAACGGCGTCCCGTTCGAACTGGGTGAAGTAGGGCGGGACGGTGACAATAACATCGGAGATTTTTTCCTCACCAAGCGTCTCAGCGAGAGATTTGATGTAGGATAATTGCATCGCAATGAGCTCTTCGACACTCCATTCGGTTCCATCGCTCTGCCGGAGAGCGACAGTCTTGCGCGATGTTTCGACAACGTCAGCGGTGGAGATGGTAGTATAGTAGGATACGGCGTCCGACTGGAATGGTACGGCTTGGAGAAGTTTTAATGACGAAAATGAATCAGAAGGAAATCGTGACGCCTAGCAAAAGTTAGGAACGTAGAATTCCAGGCGTTGAAGGTATTACGCACCAGGTTAAAGGCGTCCGTGCCAAATAACCTATCATCCTTCTTCCATGCCACGACCGACTGTATCTTTCTTTTCGAGTCCTTGTTCAGCAACACGTCGAACGGCAACCCTGGCTTCATCAACGAAGCCTTGATCCATTCCGTGCCGTAGTCGATGGCGAGTACGGACCCGAATGCCGAGGGAAGAAGGGAAAATAGAGAAATAAGATACCAAAGGTATAGTATACGCATTTTGAAAGCTAGTAGAAGGAAAAGATGGGCATGGGCTCTGTCGTGGAGGTTCGTTAACGAATCCAAAAATGGCAGTCGGCCACGTATTGAGCGAAATTTCCAACTTGGGGTTCGTTTGGGACGAAATTTGCGGATCTTTCGGGCCGGAGCCACCTTGCTCTGCCGGCAGTGCGCTGGCAGGCCACCAACTTTCTGTTTAGTGACGAAACTTCATCTAAGGTCATGATGTCCCGTCTCTAAGTCACCGAGGGTTATTGCACTAAACTTCTCTTTGTATCCAAGGTTACAGTGCTCCAGCAACACGCTATGAAAGAGAAACAACCCAAGGCCTTGTGAAAGTAGTATGGTACTACATTAAAACAACACAGATGTTCGTCGGTTCAGGAAACTTCAATTTCAACTACCTGTGTCCTTGATATCATAGTTTCCGAGTCAGCAAAGTGCACCTGGACAATATAACTTCCCAATTTTTGCACCATAAACACGAGCTTGACAGTAACAGATTCTTCTGTGACCTCTTCAATCACGTACTGGTCAAACACAAGGGTGGACCTTTCGGTGGTAGCATTGGCAGCGGCAATGGGTCTTTCGAGCTCGAAATAGAGTGAAAGTCGTGCATCGACACTGCGGACCAAGATTTTACTTGGCAAGTCGTGATTGCCACCAACCATGGAGAGGAATGGGCCACGCTTAATGACAGGCATAGTCAGCGGTGGACTATTTCGGCCAACGGTATACTCCAGAAGCCTGCGAGCGCAGCCGTCAAAAAGCTCCGCCGTCCGTGATATACCACGGATGTCCACGACTGTCGGGCCAGCGACAACGACAACACGTCCATGGAGAATTCCTTCTGCATACTGCACCGAATAGTCTCCAAATTCATCATGATCTCCACGAATCCATAAAGACTTGACATCATTGGAAGTGCTGGCGATGATACTTGCAAGCCAGCAACGTGCTGCTTGCTTAGAAGCAGCCATATCTAAGACTCCGTTGGCATCTGTCTGCGACGCGACGTGAACATTGATGCTGATCACCGGAGAGGTGCCTATCTCAGCTCCTTCACGTTCCAGACACCAGAACGCATGCGTGGTCGCCTCCGTCACGTTGATATACCCCAATTTCGCGACCGAGTGCCAATCGTCACCCAATACGCTGTTGATCCACTTCGGAAGGTGCGCCCAGTTGGCATATGTTACAGAACTGGTAGTGGACCCAGTTTCAGGTAGCCCAACGAGGCTCAAGACTGAGCTGGTATCTTCATCGGTGGCATAGAGCATGAGGATAAGTGCGACACATCGTGGCGGTGCTTTGAGGGAAAAGGAACGGACCGGGATCCGGGGCACCGCCACCGCCAACCTTCAGCTCTCAGCGTCGACGTGATATCCCTCTAATTTGACAGTTGCAACGGTATATAGGTCAACGCAAGAGAAGGACATAAAATGTACCATACTGTCGACAATGGAGTACAAAATTGCATCGTTTGTGAGTCTATTCCTTCCTACAATGCTTTTTCTTCACGCCAATACTGCGACCATTTCCTCACGTCTTCACCACCCAATTGCGGGAAGTTCGCCCCATAAATCGATCCCGCCAAAAGTTGGGGCAGTCCGAATGCCTCCCTGTTCTTTCGTCCGAGTGCCTCAGCGTTACGTTTGTAGTATGGAAGGATACGCTTCGCCGGCAATGCCGTTGGATCCAAAGACGATTTCTCCAGCGCTTGTAGCCAATGGCCATAAGGAACGAGTCTGACGGCCAACTCGTGTGAAATGACTCGAGCTAGACTGGCCCACAAAACAGGCTCCGGGTGAACAAGATGCATGACGGGACCAGGAAAATCCACATTGTCGACAATGGCCTGCGCCGCTTCGTGAACTGGTACCCAGGATACGAGCTAATAAACCATCAACAAACAGAGGTATAGTACAGAACAAAGGTACACACGAACCTTATCGTCGTCTGGCAGATAAACGAGCACCGTGGAACTATGGATCATCGAGGGAATCCACTCTTTCACGTTCCAAGTCCCTTTAAGTCCTCCAGTGAGCTGGCCGACTCGAACGAGGTAACGTAAGCCAGGAGCCAAGCGCAACAGCTCCTCCGACACCCATTTAGACTCGCCGTACCCCATTCCATGCGCGACTTCTGCGCCAATGTGGGTTTCTGCTAATGGCCGATCCTCGTCGGCACCTAGAAAAGTAAGTTAATGTCTGTGAGGCTCAAAATGGATAAGTTACTGACTCTGGAAAACAGCAATAGAGCTTGTGTAGATAAGTCGAGCTCGGGAGGTTAGGGCCAGATCAATCACGTTGCGCAAGCCTCGGATATTAGCCTCGAAGGAAGAAAGGCCTAGGTTGAAATCCACTCGCCACGCTTTAATCAAACTAAAATCAGACAGGTCCGATACAGTCAAAGGGCCAGCACATTTCCTTGCCATTGTGAATGATATGCGTTACGGAGCCTATAACCTGAACGAGGGAGCAAAGGTAAATGCCTATTCAATCCGCAAAAGCGACAGTTCGTACCTCAGCAAGAACCTGTGATTTCGTCGATAAATCAGCTTCCACCAAGGTAACCTTCTCCAAGCCGACATCTAATCCATGACGGGAAAACGCTCGCTGTTGCCTCTCGTTGACGGACGCGTCTCCAGGTCAATTCACAGCGTAGATGTGCTGAACGTTCTCATCCAAGACCAAGCTGGCTAGAATATGAGAACCGAGGGCTCCAGTAGTGCCGGTTATGAGCACGACTTTCCTGGTCCTCGTGTCGGAGTTGTTTTCGGGAATAACCACAAAGTCCTTGCAGTACTTGTCGACCATCACTCGCATCGCATCTACCGGAGAGCCTGAACCAACGGCAACATGCTTGCCTTGAGCTACTGATGCAAGGAACTTTGCCAGTTGAGCTATATTCGGGTACGTATAGACGAAGTTATCCGTAGTTTGGCGGATATCGAACTCGGCTGAATCCTGGAGAGCACGAAGGAGGGTGTTTCGAATCCACGTCGCCTGTAAACTATCAGAAGGAATCAGTATTGACGCATGTGGCTCGATAAAGATGCGATTACCTATCGCAGCCGTGTTGGAAAAAGTCGTCGTTGTCGGAAATCGAGTGAGAAAGGACCTGTAGAACAACGGTACGGACGAATTCCTTCGTGGATGCATCGTCCCATTCCGGAGGTGGGGGAATATTAGCTTGCGTGCTCTCTGCTACAGTCTCGTAAACAGCTAAGATCTCGTCACTGTAGTCTGTAAGAGTAGCCTGTCGCCTGGACATAGAGCACACATCATCAAACAGTCCTTACATCTAATGAATAGACCATACCTTGCTGTGTTCTTTGCCGTATAGGTGAAAGGCTTTGTTGGCTTTGCCACGATAATCATCTGCGACCGTTTAGTCAAAGCCAACCATCAAATGATATTTTAGCTTACCTCTTTGAATAAACGGGAATGCTGTGGTGCGAATTCATTCATCCTTTTCACAGTAGGCCTGTAATAAGAGACATCGTGTCAGCGGCTTCTTGCCCCCGGCCTACGAAGATTTAATCACCATATTAGATTCCGGAAATTCGCAAGTTTGGTCTCGTCAGCAGGATCGAATGCGAATTGAGGTTTCGGTTCAACAAGAACTCCCGCCTGGAATTGCCCTCGTCCAAACATGACTGCAGCGGATACATGGGGATCTTGATTGAGCATGCTCTCTGTCGACACATAAACGCTGTCAGCATTCGTATACATGTATGTCAGAAACATTTACCTAGCGGTACAGGGTTCGTCTGGAATAGTACGGCGAAGTTTCAGTACTCGTAATAAATACATTGACGAGCTTACCTTCTCTCCTGTGTTATACATAATCTGATCGTCGGTGCGCCCGAATATTTTCCATAATCCTGGCTTAGTCGGGTGCGGCATCAAGAGATCTGACGTCGTGTACGCGTCAACGCCATTGATTTTCGTGTTGATGACACTAGGTACGCCAAAGTCATTTTTCTGTAATGCGAAAATGAAATCGATGGCAAGATCAAAGGGGACAAATCGTACCACCATCACAAACTCGTAGAGGTTATTTCCATTTAGCACCATTTCTGGAGTTATGCACTTGGGAAATTCGAAGTAGTCCCAGTCGTAACTAGATTTAGCTTTGGAAGGTGGCGTTAATACACAAGTATCGACTGTTACGGGCTTACTCACCAGGTAACGTAGTACTAAGAATACCGCCTTCGGTGCTTTATATAAGTTGGGGTAAGTCATGAATTCAGTTTCTTGGACCCTGCACTCACAATCCATACACAATGAAAATGTCAACGCCTTTAGACGTTAGGTCGTCTCCAATGACTTTATTCAATGGTCCTCCGCTGTAGAGCTGAGACAAGTTAATCGCATGATCTTATCGAATGCGAGATGAACGTACCACTCCCGAACGACTGGCCAGCCACTCGACATACTCCGGACAACGAGACCACGCCTGAGGAACGACTTTAGTATATGCAACGAAATCTCTGGTCATATAACAGACCTCAACGAATGAAGGAACACAAAAGATCAAGTCGCTGCTGGTTGCCTTGGCTGAAGCAAACAGTTTATCTGGCGTAGGAAGTATGGCAGGGGATTTGGGTTCGAATACGCCTACAACTAACCCCGAGGATGCCTACATGTGACAATGAGAAAGACCCAATGGTAGGTCAAAGGAAAGAATTACTGTCCAGCAAAGCTGCGTAACGCCAAGGCCATGATACATGGGCATCACATGAAGGGCAGAAAGGACGTTGCACAAATCTCTTTCCCCGAACCAAGGTGTGAGACTTAACTGAACAAGACGATGTCCGCTCCAAGGAATTGGTTTCGGGTATGCTGTTGAACCTGTAATGAAATATGAGCAGGATTGGCTGACAAGAAGGGGGAAAGCAGTCACCAGATGAATGCAGGTACATGATGGTAGAATCAGGATCGACCTCTTTGAGAGGAAGATCCTCAGCACTCGTATTCTTCTGCCATTCGGGGAGAAAGAGGTCTTCAAAGGCCGGAGCCACAGATGTCTCCGGCGGCTCCGTCACTAGATATTGGGATTTCAGAACCTCGAGTGCATCACGGGCAAGAGCTTGCATGGACGCGTCTCTGCCGATAAGGACATGCTGTACGCCCACCTTGTGCAAAAGGTGTGCAACCGCCTGCGCCGAGTTCCGTGGGGAGATGGGGAAGAACACGTAGTTGGCGCGTAAAATGCTCATCATTGTAGTAAAATAAGTGATAGAATCTGACAAGATCCGTAAGTGTACCCAATGTGTGCCGAGTCTTGAAATCTCGCACCGGACATCGTTAATATGGCAATGACGGGAGGCTTGTCAGAATTGAACGGCACAAGACTCTTTATCAAACGAGCGCCAGTGTATATGGCAACGACTGCCTCGGACCAACATATGGTCCTTATGCTGCCGTCCTCACGTGAATACACAAAGAGGCGGTGATTAGGAGAGTGCTGGAGATGCCAGTCATATATCTATTGGAGGGTAAGCGATCCATCAATGGGAGGTGGTTGGAATGTGTCGCTTTCCACAGCTTGCTTGTGGGGGGGAGGGGGAATCACTCTGTGAACAGAAAAGGACATTTCAGATGACAGATACTAATGGTACTGCGCACTTACCTTGGTATTTATGGACCGTGAATACTCATCATTGCGCGCGCTTCAGAATCCATAGGACCCCAGTCACGGCCAAAGCGAATCATAAATTTCGTGCTAGAAAAGGTCGTTTTTCTGGTAATGATGGGAGAGCATACGAGGATTGTGGACGTCAGGAGCATCACATGACCCGGGGCCTATTTTGGCACCGACATCTGATCCGGAGCCGAAACAGATCCCAGTTGTGGCACCGTGTCTGGAAGAAAGGCTTGGGACATTGGAAGGATAGGGTTCAGGACGTTGGAGGAATAGTTCGGGACGTTGGAAGGATTGGAGTTGAGGACGTTGGATGGTGGGGTTCAGGACGTTTGGGGGTGGGGTTCAGGACATTGGAGGAATTGAGTTGAGGACGTTTGATAGTGGGGGTTCAGGACGTTGGAGGATTTGAGTTGAGGACGTTTAGGGATGGAGTTCAGGACATTTGAGAGAAATGCTCGGGACGTTCAGGGACAGGGTTTGGGACATCAGGATATATGAGTTCAGGACGTTTGAGGATGTGATTAGGGACATTGGAGGATGCGACTGGGACATTTGTGGATTGGGGTTCAGGACATTTGTAAATAGAGTTCAGGACATTGGAAGATATAAGTTCAGGACATTTGAGGAAGGACTTTGGGACATTCCAGAGGATGAACTGGGGGGTGAGACCAATGCTACTGCTAATGTCTCCCGAGTGAGATTCCAGAGGGTGGACTCCCCAAAATGGTGTGAAGAGCCACAGACGGTCCTTTGGATGCTGCTCCCAGGTTTAGAATTCATTCATATACAATGTTTGCTTCTGACATGCCACTGGACTCAGTGACCATCAGGTTCAGACTCCTGGGTGTGAGGTACTAGGGACTCTAGGACCCTATAAACACGCACTTCCAAGCTTCTGCTCGCTTGTGTGGTATCTACTAGTCCTTGAAGAGATATAACATTCCAACAGTGACATGAACTCCTGGTTCTTTACATGAAGCCACATAAACAAGGTGGTAAACTAAACATCTCAACGTCCTGAACCAATCCTCCCAATTTCCTGAACCCTCTCCTTTCAATGTCCCCAACCTAATCATCCCAACGTCCCAGGCTTCATCCCCTAAACGTCCCAAACCCCTTTGTCCAATGTCCTGAACCCTCTCCTTTCAATGTCCCCAACCCAATCATCCCAATGTCCCAAGCTTCATCCCCCAAATGTCCTGAACCCCTTCCTCCCAATGTCCTGAACCAATCCTCCCAACATCCTAAACCCTCTCCTTTCAATGTCCCATGCTTCATCCCCCAAACGTCCTGAACCCCTTCCTCCCAACCCGCAAACACATGGTCCGGGATCACGCCGGCGAATCCGGAGTAAGTGGCTGTGTTCGGAGAACAGATCAAGTGCGAGAACGTCGGAAACTCAAAGTACGCACACCCTGAATGATGGTGAGGGGCAGTGATCGGAGAAGCTAAAGCGTGGGAACTTATCGGCTGATCATCCGAACCATGCCCTGAGATGGTTAAGCGCTGAGCTGTCGACTCCAAAACGCGATACACATGATACTTGGATAACTCCGAAACACGCCAGGAAACGAGTTGATCATGCTAGAGATCAGAATACCAATACACACGCGAGTTCGAAACACGTCTAGGCAATCATAGATCAGGTCAGCTATTTAATGGTACATTGAACGTTACTCAATTGACGTTACTGCTGATTTACCTCTGGACGCTTCTCAGTTCACCGTGAAAAGATATGGATATTTCTCTGATATCTGTTAATCTTGCAACCGCGGCGGTAGAAGGTGTTTTATACGGTGTATTCCTCATCCTCGACGTAACGTCGATAGCGTTACTCTTTGCTCGCGAAACTTACATCTCAAGAGCCACTCGCCCATCTAGTTTTCAGGCCATCCGACGGCCCATGTTTATTGGCGCGGTCATATTGCTTGTATCGGTCACGGGGGTAAGTCAACTTTTTGGCACTTCTTACGGCTCTCCTGTTAACCAAGGCATGAACACAGCATTGGATTTGCACAGTTATCCGGCTATTCGACGCTTTCGTCAAATTTGAAGGCGGAACCCAACCTTTGAAGTACTCTGCAAACCTCTCGCAGATCACAGAGGTTGTGAAGACAGGTTTTCTGATAGGATCGGTGGTAACTAGCGACGCCATGATTGTGAGGGTATTTACAACTTAGAATCGTTTGAACCACGACTAAGTGAAAGCTGTAGATTTATCGCCTTTGGGTCGTCTGGGGATATAACTACCGCGTCATCATATTCCCGCTGGGTACATTGGTAGGGCTTACCGGTAAGTCAGTTTTGGAATTTCTTCAGGAAAAAGGATGAACTCTGTCTACGCAGTATGTGGTGCTGGGATCACGTACCAGTTCGCAAAGTATACCCCCGGTCAGGATGTCTTTGCTACAGCCGCAGGGAGATGGATCACCAGTGATTGTGTTTTCACGCTTCTGTGCGTATAGTATTGCTTGGTATCATTATGACGAATAGTTGACGTCCTTTCTTGCAGGACCAACGTCTATAGCACAAGTGAGCAATACACCTCAAGGCGAAAATTATTACTTACGATACCGGCAGCCATGATCGCTTGGTACATTTACAGAACACATAGGGCCGCATCGTCTGCTGACGGAGCTGGGCAAAGTCTCATGGTATCGTTAATATTGCTTTATCTGGGTAAGATACTTACTGACTTCAATGTCCTAGTCTGTGCTTTCCATATTCGTTGAGAGTGCTGCGATATACACGCAAGTGGAACATTCCTGTATATTAGCGTACCGACTGACAAACCTCTCAGAACATGGACCACTCTCTTCATGATAATCTATCTGACAAAGACCAATATTCAATTTAATATCGTCGATTTTTGGCCCGAGGCAGCAGGCATTGCCTTCAGCTTGATCAATGTTCGTGTTGGACTAGGCTGGGCACAGAAAGCAGGAACATCAACACTAGGGGGGTCTTTAAGCTCTCGAAGTGGCTCTGCGCCCGGTACTGAATTCCCCTTATGTCCATTAACGATCAACATTTCGCAAGCAATGGTCAAGGATAGCGGAGAATGCCAGACAAACGACAAGAACCCGATCCCCAAGTCAAGAGGTTATGAGAATTTGGAGGCCTGAGCGTGATGGATGGGAAGGATTGAGCTCACATAGCTAGTCAAGTCTCTGATCATGTATGATTATTCTTGAGCTGTAAATAATGATGAGCTGAATTGAGCAACAAGTTGAGCTGAGGAAGGAGTGGGTGTGAGAATGAATGTAGAATTGATGGAAGCGGAGGCCGTTGTCAATAGATCCTTGAGGATTCTACTTAACAATAAGACCGATACTCGCACATTTCATCATCAATCTGAATCTTATGCCGTTTTTTTGCGCTTCGACAGTAGCATCGACACATTTTGATGATTCAATCTGAGCATCCATCGACATCGCCATTATCGCCTTTGGTAATGGAGTCATTTCAGTGACTACAAAAGTATCCTGTGTCTCGAGCATCTTTTACAAGTACTATTTCCCTAATGGAACGATGAATATGGAACCCTAGAGAAGGGAGAGTGCATAGGATATGGGAATGAAGATGCCGTGATGAGTGAACCCTATCCAAGGATTCATCCGGGGAGCCAAGGGGATAGTGATTATTTGCCAGAAACGGGGTGGAAGGTGGCTGACTATCTACACCGCCCTCCAGACCGGATGTCGCCAGGATATGCCAAGAATCCCATGTGGCTATGCTGCCATCGGGATGGGTAATATGTTTCAGCCGTATTCGAAAAATCACACATCATAAATCATGAATGTGTCCTTCGACGAGATATCCTTGTGACATTTAGGAGAATGTCTGACCGGCAGATATTTTATAGTTCAAGGACCCATTTTACCTGTACCTTTCTTATTTGATAGTGTAGCCTTAATCTCTTGTTGATCTGAATCATTCTGACAATCAGGATATATTCCTTTCAGTACAATCAAAACCATTCTTTTATTTCCTGCTGAGCATACATATAAACTACGACTTAATCCTGTTCGACTTCCAGCTCTGAGGCGACTGCTTTGGGGAGGCTGTCAACATCTTCCGGGTTGGTCAAGTCTCCATATGTTTTCCGATCATCGTCAAGGATCTTGCTCATGACACTGGTCAATCACTTATGAGCATGTTATTTCCTTCAATAATTAAGTGCCTACCGATTGATTCAGGTCTTATCATTGTTCTTGGATTTGCGGATCTTGTCAAGGGCCTTGTCGACCTCATCCCAGTACATTCCAGATACTCGGCCTGTGCTATTGTTCTTCGGACAGAGTGCGTAGGTGTGCCACTATACAGTCTTGTTAGTCAAGTTCAAATTTAGTTTAAACGACGTACCAGAAATGCAATGCGACCAACCAGGGGAACTGAGATGTCATGCTCATATGACCGACCTCCAACCGCCGTAATGATCTCTGCTGTGAGTGCGATAACACCTAAGGATAAGCCGGTGAACTTCCCAGTCTTTTCATCAAATTCTCCAAAGGACATTGCAATCTTCTCGCAGATCAGAAAACAACAAAGGTCAAAGCAAAGATGATTGAACGTACCGCCTCCTTGGCATCATTTCGGTGATGAATAAAGCGATTACTGATCTTCTTTCCGATGACTTTCATAGCAGACTTTTGACCCTGGATAGATTGTGTGAGGCCACTTTCAGCAGCGCGGTTCTTCAAGGCATTCTAACAATGTGATAACAATCAGACAAAGATTTTGCTAATGTCAAGAGAAAAGCATACATGTAACTTTTTGTTGGGATGGTCTTTGTATGCCGAAAGCGTTGGATCAAGAAATATCTTCATGGAGAGATCATCAATTTTCCCCTGCAATGATGGACTGACAGTTAGCATCGGAAGACCACTGAAGCAGTTCCATACCTCAAGGACTTCAGGTATCTCAAACTTGGCATTGGGAGGTTGGATTACAGCCATGGTCTCCTTCAGAGAGAGAATCTGGCCTGCTTGCCAGACCATCGCCTCACTCGTGTTCGGAAACTGGCCAGAGAAGTAAAAGTCAGAGATGGCAATGAGAGATGACTGGTACGAACTCTGGAAAACTTGATTAGCTCTTCGTGAGCCCCTGCTTTGAGCCCCAGATTGCGAGAAAGAGCAATAGCGAAGTGGCCCATATCTGGGCAGACTATTACTGTTGTGGCTGCAAGTTGATGCGATCTCTCTGAGCCAGGGAGCTGAGATGACGGTGTATGGGAAGCAGAATTTTGAGGTAGGTTGGCCTCCTCTGAGTCACGAAAATCTGGAATCGGACTCCCGGGAGGTGAGCTATCAAGGTAACTATCAATATCAGCCATATCCAAATTAAACTGGATAACTTGTATCCAGGCGTGATCCTGAGATGCAGGACTGCAATGCGAAGCAGAGCACAAGTTGGAAGAGAGAAGAGAGGAAAATTTCACTCACAAATATTCTCACGGTTGACATCATTGCAGCAGAATGTTATCGACAGGGGTGGTGAACGCCAGATTAGTGTAAATAGCACTCTCACATTTAAATGCCTCCACAACGAAACCCAAGCAGTAAGCACATAGAATTATAATGAACCAATATAAACTGACCCACAACATCTAGTTTTTGCGCCATTTCCTGGTGATCGTGGTCAAATAATCTGTCGCATCTGTTCTGACCTGCCAGAAAATGAGAGAGATGTCCACTTCAAAAAGACATCCAAACCTGGCCATATTACAACAAAGATGCATAGACGTGCACTTGCAGCAACCTCTGAGTCTATACCGCCCAGTGGATTAAATATCTCGGTGCATCAGCTCAATCAGCCAGGATGCTCACTTGATCAAACGACGACTGCCCATAGCCACTTTGCGACCTTATCCTCACTTGACGATATACTGCGATCTGATTCGGAGACTGAGGACCATATGCAAGATCTAGTAGCATCTAATATGCTCAGTGAACTCGAGATGAATGGTATCACTGGCTTATATCATGACAACTTTGGCAATGTCGTGGATTTTTCGGCAGGCCAGCAGGATGAAAAGATGGTTGAACAGCAAAGAGGCTATCTGAATGAGGAACTAGACAACCTCTCACTGCTCCAAAGACACACCTTGTTTGTGCAGTTCGACGACGATATCTCTGAGCCTGATGACAGTCTTGATGACTCTCCTGTTGTCCAACTGACGGCAAATATTGAGGCTCTTGGTATGTATAGCTGGTTGAATAGTTCATATATGCCTCTTGACTGCATGATCTTCAGGTTGCAAGTCAGACGGTGATGAAGAGAATCATGGTGACGAGTTAAGTTACGATCACCACATGCCTGATGCCTCAGAATGGCATCCCCACGCCTCCAAAACAGTACAGTCAGAGAGCGTCCTTCTTCTTTCCCTTTATGAATATGCCCTTCGGCTTAAGCAGATGTTTATGCTGGATTTACTGGACAATTTGCCCAGACTACGACTCTCAGATGATCACCTCAAGGCTATTCTATGGGTAATGAGAGAGTGTGGGACACCCAATGTTCCAGCATTTTCTGCTCTTCGAAAAATGCAGTCGTCTCTGGCTCGCACAGTCAATCTCACTCCGAAACATCATACTTCTTCGCTGGGCAACCACTTCTATATGAACCATCCCTCTCAGCTGTTTGCATTGGTATGCATGCTCGCCTGCTGGTCCACAAGATCTACCCTCTTACTTACTCCTTTACTAGGATTGGAGTAATCCCTTTGTTCGTAAGTATATTTGGCCTTATCCTGAGATTGGTGGTGCTATTTGCGAGACGTGGCAAGCTGCCAAATGGCTTGAAGAGATTGAGCTTGAGGAGCTTTCGCCTATGTGGGCCAATTGGGAGTCAGTGATAGATAGGCATCGTCATTTCTATGTTCGGGAGTTGGCACAGACATCAGACAGCTCATATGTTGTCCTCTTACGATGGGTCACTGTCGCCAGTGTGGTTCATGTGGACATTCTGAACGTAAAACACCAAGATGGCATCTTTTCTGTGTGTGCTGGTCCATCAAAACGCATTCTTGCCACCTGTCTTGTTCGGAATATTTATGATATCCAGTCTGCGGTTCCGCAGATTTCATTTTCAGGTGCGTATCTGTCACAGGTTCAGCATGGGAATGTACTCTAATCTTCTGCCAGCCTATTCTCAAGATTTTTCTGCTCCCAATCCATTACGTGAACAGGCCAAAGGACGACCCATGTTCCGTCTACGTGTCATTCCTTGGAGCGACGATGTTTCGGGCAATGTCAGCAAGCAGTATAATGCTCATACTAATATTTACATGACCAATGCAAATCTTCCCCACTCCAAGCTCTCGCAGGAATATTTCATTCGCTTCTGTTCTACTTCGTCCAATGCAAGCTCCTCAGAGCAATTCACTGCTCTTAAAGAAGACTTGTACGTGCCTCCCAGTAGATCACATATAGATCCTGATCGCATATCCTTTTATAAAGTGCTGCAGGAGCCTGGCATGATGCGTATGACTGCCATCTTGAAGAAGACATTCTCTTCCAAGTTATCCCTTATTTTGCACCTGCCTGTTAGCGACTGATTACACAAACAAGATCAAACAACTAAGCGTGACTCACACTTCGGTCAGGCGCTTTATGTTGCTCGCAGGTTTGCGTGCAGGGAGCTATCGCTTAGTGGAGCGAGAGTGAGTTCAGACTAAGTTATCGGGTGAATAAACTTTAGTTCGAGACTGAGGTTTAAGACCTGCAGTTGAGCTACTTAAATACAGTTTGGGTCGTGCTAAATATACTACAAGTGTCTGCAACGGTGCGGTAAACACACGGTCCCTTCATGGTAGAATGCGATCAAGTCTGGAAGGTTAGCATAGTGGTATTACGATGGAGTCGATAAGATAAGATAAGGCCGCAAAATCGTAATATTACCCCCCTGTTAAGGCAGTCGTCCTGACTGCGGTAAGACTTTGTTTCGGAAGGTAGGCTCCTACCAGAGAGGGCGGATTTGGTTTTACCAGGTATTCTTGGATTGCCTGTACCAATGGATGGTCGACTTCTGAGTCGGTTACAGATTCCTGTTCGGACCAGGAATCTGATTCGTCTCCGTCTTCCCACCAGTCCGCGGGAGGGGCAGTGACGAAGGATACTTGTTCGAAGTCTTCGATCGCTTCCCTAGCAGTTGTCCAATTCCTGTTCGTCTACCCAGGAATTTTCCTCCCTTGGATACCCCTTCCATTTAATGAGGTATTCTGTCTTGGTGCATCGCTTGCGACCTCGTCCTGTGGTGCGTTCCCATCGATCCACTATCTCTTCTACCTCGTATTGTTCCTGTCCGTCTACAAGGTCTGGTGGAGGAGCTGTGGGTTGTACTTGGATTGGGAACTCTGGCGGGTGATAGGGAGTGAGAAGATTTTCATTGAAACGGTCGTGGATTTTCCACGCGGGGGGAAGGCGTAACTTGTACGCGGATGCTCCATGTTTGGATACGACTTCAAATGGTCCGACTCGTTTGTCGCCCAGTTTCTTCATTGGGCGAGGGAGATGTAGGTTCGTGGAATCTAACCATACTTTGTCTCCTGGTTGATATTCCACTGCCGGTCGGTGATGTTTGTCATATTGCCGCTTCATGGCTTCTGCTGCCTTTTCCAATGCCTTTGCCGTTTGTTCATGTATCTTCTGAATTTCTGTGATGAAGTCACGAGCCGCTGGGTTGGTTCCTTCCTTGATGGTGAGTGGTGCGAGATGGGGTTTTTGTCCGTGATTTATTTCGAACGGGGAATATCCGGTGGCGGAGTGCTTGCGGTTATTATGTTGGAAGGCCGCGAGAGGTAACCATTCATCCCAATCGTTTTGCCTGTGGTTTATGAAAATTCGGAGATACTTTTCGATCTCCTGGTTCGCTCTCTCCGTTTGCCCGTCCGTCTGTGGATGATAGGCAGTGGATGGGTTTCCTTGGATGTGTAACATGTCATAGAGTTCCTTCATGAACTTGGATACGAATTGTGGTCCCCTGTCCGAGATAACCTTTTGGGGCATGCCATGTTTTGCTCACACATGATCGCGTAGTATTCGGGCCCATCCTGCCGAGGTTAGTTCAGTAGAGCATGGGACCAGGATTACTTCTTTGGAGAATCGGTCCACGATCATAAGTATGGCGTTGTACCTGTTAGAATCGGGTAATTCGCCAATCATGTCCACTGTGATGTGCTCCCATGGTCGGGAAGGTATGGCATGGGGATGTAAGGGGGCTCTTTTTTGCTGAGTACTGGTCTTTGTTCGCTGGCACGCTTCGCATCCCTTGACGTACCTTTCTATGTCTTGTTTGAGTTTGGGCCACCAGTAATTTCGTTGCATGAGCTCCTTGGTTTTCTCGATGCCTGGGTGCCCGGCCGTGATGTGGTCGTGATGAATAGCGATGATTTCCCCACGTAGCTTTGCGTCTCGGGGAATGTATAGTCGTTCATCATAATACATCAACCCTTCCTTTCGGGTAATTCCACGGGGATGATGGAGGGATGCCTCGATTCCCTTGTCCCATTTTGTAACGTCTCGTAGTGCTGTTTGGATTTTCTCGTGTATTTCCTCCTCTCCTGGCATCTGAAGGGCCCGGAACATTTCCGGTTTCAATACCACCATCTCTTCGTTGTCCTGACTCCCCTGATCGTGGTCTGCCCTTCGGGATAAGAGGTCCACCTTTTTGTTCGCCGTACCTGGTTTGTGATGTAACGTGAAGTGGTATTCGGCAAGTTCCGTGACCCATCGGGCTTGTTGACGGTTGAGCTTTTGGGGCTTTCGGAAATACTGCAGGTTTTGATGGTCTGTCCATATCTCGAAGTCTTGATAGGCTCCCATCAGGTAGTGTCTCCAGTCTTCTAGCGCTAGCATGATGGCTAGGAGCTCCTTGTCGTATATTTCATAGTTTTGTTCTGTGACTGTCAAGGCTTTTGACAGAAAAGCTACCGGTCTCCATTTGCCTTCCTGTTCTTGAGATAACACCGCACCTGTGGCTCCTTCGCTCGCATCCGCCTCCACGCGGTATTTGCCGGTTCGGTTTGGTATTGCCAATATAACTTCTTCCGCTAACTTCCTTTTTATCTCTTGGAATGCGTCCTCCTGTGCCTTTCCCCATGTCCATTCTGCCTTTCCTGTGAGTTGGGTCAAAGGTCGCACATGCTTGCTGTAGTCCCGGATAAACCTTCGATAAAAGTTTGTGAACCCCAAAAACGATTGTAGCTCTCGTTTTTTGGTGGGTTGGGGCCACTCCATGATTCCTTTGACTTTGACAGGGATCCATGCGAATAGATCCTTGGCTGATTATTACTCCGAGGTACTTGGTTTCTAGTACCTCGAACTCGCATTTTTCCACTTTAAGGAAGAGTTTGTTGGCTCGTAGAATGGCCAATACTTCTCGTACCACCTTTCGGTGATGATCTTTGTCCTTGGTACAGATTAGGATGTCGTCCAGGTATACGGTGACGTCTCCTCGGGCGATTTGTTCTTTGAATAAGTCGTTCATCATCCATTGGAAAGTCACGGGAGAGTTGGTAAGTCCAAAGAACATTACCATGGGTTCGAATAGTCCGCGATTGGTTCGAAACGCCGCCTTCCACTCGTCTCCGCTTTTTATGCGCACATTATTGTATCCCCATCTTACGTCCAGCTTGGTGAAGTACTTGGCGTCTTTTAGTTGATCCATTAATTCTCCGATAAGGGGAAGAGGGTATCGGTTCTTGATGGTCATTTCATTCAGCTTGCGATAGTCCTGTACAGGTCGCAGCTTTCCATCCTTCTTTTTGACAAAGAAGAATGGTGATGCCATGGGAGATTTGGAAGGTCGAATCCTTCCCGACTCCAGGTTTTCGTCGAGGAACTTATCCAGCTCTTCTTGTTCCGCTGGATTGAGGGGGTAGACCTTGCAGTCTAGGCTTGCGTTCGTATTGGGGATGAGTTCAATGGCATGGTCCCAGGGTTTCCGGGGTGGTAGCTGGTCAAAGTTTTCTTTTGCAAACACATCTTGGAATTCCCGGTATGATTCCGGTACTATTTCCTCGAACGTTTTTGCTCCCTTGCCCTGATTGGCCTTGGCGGCTAGTTCGTTTGCCTTGCTCCCCATGGCTCAAACGTGTAGGGCTTCCTCGAAGTCAATAATTAGGATGGTGTCCCCTTCTTCTACCTCCGTTCCCCATTGTTGTTCTGGGTCCGCATCCGGTAGTGTGAAGGGTATCTTGCGACAAGAGCATCGAACCAGGGATACGGCTCCGGTTTTCCAGTCTATAATGGGATTATGCCGTTTAAGCCAGTCATGGCCTAGGAACATTGGTACGTTTCCCAGATCGACAACCGCAAGGTCTAACTTCTCGTGATGGTCTCTAATGGTCATTCGGAGTTCCACCATTTCCATTATGTCTCCTCCTTTGTTACAGCTTCCATCTGCGTTGTAAACTGCCTGGGTTTTGGTGAGTTTTACCGTATTGAGTTGATGTTCTTGTACGAACGATCGGTTTATACAGCTCCCTGTGCACCCACTGTCAACCAAGGCGTCCACGGCTCGTGTTTGACTGGTATCCAGTGTTTCTAGTTGTACTCGGATGTTAACACTTCTCCCCTTTCCTCCCCGGATGTACTGCGGGGGAGCGCGTAAGTCCTCCATGTTTTGCAAGCATTGCTCGCGTTGTCGGTATGTTTCCTTTGGAGAGCCGATAAGATCTAGGACGAGATCTTCGTCTACCTCTATAAGGCGTCAGGGATGTACCCACATTCGGAGCGTGGCAATCTTTCCTTCCATGGTTTTTTCCTGCCTCATTTTTCATCGTACCCATTCAGCACTGTGGGGTTTAAGCCACCCCCGGTCCCATTTGTCATTATAGTACTCCTCTTCCAACTCCGTTACCTCATAGTCTTCTGGGTACTCTGCAGGTATGGATCACCGGGTCTTCCCCTTTTGATCGGGCTTTGAGGCTTTGTTGATAGCTATAGTCGTCTTCCTCATCGGGTACTTCTTCAAGGGAAACGGTATTTTTATTTGAAATGGGAGAAGCACATAATGGTCCCACCGACCCACCCACCGGGGAACACGAGCCCCCGGTGCCATTATGTGTTAGCGATGAAGGTGGTAAACGCACCGTTATAGGCTGTGAAAGGATGGGGTCCCCGGTCGTCTTGACTGTTCTTTTCGGGGCAGCGGTTTTATTGCTGGGGATTCGCGTTCCCTCTTGCGGCTCCGTTCCATGATGGGGGCAGCCGGTCACTCGTGGCTGGCGCGTACATTCCGCCCCCGAGTGGGGTTCTTCACTGCTCGCCTTGGGCTCGGCCGCTCTTCCTCTGTTCCCCTGTGCTGTCATCTGCCCCCGACAGAGTGAGGTTGATCCCGAGTGTCCTGCCGCCTTGCGCAGCATTAGCCGCTTGTGCTTTCGCACCGGTGGCCAAGGATCTTGAATGGGGTTCT